ACGCACATTAGCAAAGTTTGCCAGCACAGAGCCACACGCGGCATATGCAGCTCTGACCCATGGCCTGCGGGGTCGTTGGGTCTACCTCTTTCGTACGGTTCCCATTCCGGAGGACGCAGTATCAGCGTTGGACAAGGTAATCTAAACCGAGTCTTGCCAGCTGCAATTGGTCGAGATGCATTCACCATATAACGCGCACCCCCAATCTTCATTGGTGGTGCGCACTTCAATCTTCATTGAAGTACATGCATTTCATATTCGGAGCATAGTGCGCACCTGGGATTTATGGCCTAAAATAGCACATCTAAAGTGCGCACTATACTCCGGAAAATACGGTACAGTGGTCCCTCTATAATCCGGCACCATTTGTGCCACGGAAATCTGCTGGATTAGGGAGGGTGCTGGATTAGAAAATCTGATCTACTGCTGCAATGTGCATGAAGAGGACATTTTGGCTACTGAAAATTGTGCTGGTTTATCGAGGGTGCTGGATTATAAAGTGCTGGATTAGAGAGGGACGACTGTAGTAGTATGTACTAGTATAGTACATGCTGAGGCTAGCTGTATGCTCAGTCTATACATTCTTGATCTTATCTTCTTCTTTTTTTCTTTTGTTCCTTTCTCTTTTCTTTAAAAATGTTTTACTGCCAGAAGTCGTCTTCATATAAGGAGGCAGACATGCCTGTTTGTTGTACGACTTTAAATAAATCCAACCAACCAACCACGGAGGATTTGGCGATTCTCAGGCTGCCGACACGTCTCGGGGGAATGGCCAATCCACACTTTCACAGCATGAGCGGGACAGAGCACGACTCTTCAAGGGCAATGACAGCAGCCCAGGTTAGTGAAATTCTGCAACACACATCATGGACCAAGTAAGCACCGGAACGTGTTCGGCAAGATGCTATGACAGCCAAGACGGATTTTGTCAGTCAACGCGGCACTACAAACGAGGCTGAGTTCCGCCAGCTGCGGCAGTCGGCGTCGGCGGATATGGCACGTCGGTTGGAGCATTTGTCCTCCCGAGGTGTCTCTAGCTGGCGCAACACGCTGCCTATCAGAAAACACGGCTATCATCTGTCAAAGGGAGATTTCAGGCCGGATGCGGTGGCGTTGCGGTATGCCTGGGCATTGGTTGATGTGCCTACTACCTGCTCTTGTGGCCAACCGTTTAGTCCGGCCAATGCCATGTGTTGCCCTACTGGTGGTTTCCCCACCATTCGGCACAATGAAGTTCGCGACATTCTTGCCGACTTTAACTGAGGTTTGCTCGGATTTCGCTGTCGAGCCTCAGCTTGCTCCGGTTTCGGGAGAGGTGTTTCTGGCAGCCTCAACTAACACAGCCAACGATGCTCGCGCTGATATCCGGGCTCGAGGGCTGTGGACCAGGGCACAGAATGCTTTCCTGGATGTCCGGGTTTTTCATCCTGATGCTCCGTCCTATGTCACCAAACCTCTCGAGAAACTGTTGGCGGAGCATGAGAGGAAGAAGAAGCTGGAGTATGCTGAGCGTATCATCAATGTGGACCGTGGGTAGGGACCGGCGGATTCTGCTCGAAAAGGTGGCAGATTCTGCTTGAAAAGCAGTGAAATTGGCAGAACCATACAAACCTTATGGCGGGCAATTCCTCTAATTCTGCTCCATTTTTTTATCCACATACCGTATTATCTCTAATATAAGCACGGTCCTTTATTTTTTCAATGTACCTCCGCCCCGTGCTATTAATGGAGACGTTCCTTTATTGGAGACTGTTCCATTATTATTTCAACCTCATTTCAGAGGCATGTTGCCATGCCAAATTCATGTATGACACACACATTTCAGGGTTTTTTTCGCCGGTACAGATAATGAATTTACACAGTGTGCTTATAATGGAGACTGAGCACTTTATTTTTTGAATGCCGCCCAAGGTGTTCTATTATTGGAGACGTGCTATTATTGGAGACTGTGCTTATATTAGAGATAATACGGTACCAAACATACATGAAACTTTCTAGAAAAAGTACCGAATTCTGCCAATTTTTCTGCCGGCAGAATCCGCCGGACCTTCACCGTGGGACATTTAGCCCACTAGTTTTCACCATGGCGGGTTTTTGTGCGCCAGAGTGCTCCAGATTTGTCAAGCGCCTGTGTGGTCTCGTTTCAAATGGGGATACAAAGTTGTATGCCGAGACAATGACCACTGACCTATGTCCGGTGTCGACTGGCTTTTGCATTGTTGCGGTCGGCATGTGCATCCGCGGTGCCCGATCATCATATCACCGTCCTGTAAATGCTTTGCGAGAGTTGGCAATCTCGGAGGGCCGGCTCAGTGAGGTTTTGGAGATGATAATATGATGGTGGGCAGGACAGTGCCCTTGTACTTTCCTGGTTTTCCCCGTTTTTTTTGCGTTTTTTCATTGATTTTGATGTCAAAAGGGGATTAGGGACTCTTGGATCTTTCCTCTACCAAATGGTACCGTTTACACATACACTTGTTTTCATTTTTTGGTGCTGTGTTCTAATCATTCGCCATGCCACCGTGAATTGTATTCTGTTTGCCCGTAAAAGAGGTCTTATAATTAAATTATAGTTCAGCGCGTTCCATTCAACGTGTACCTCTCCTCTGATGAGTTCCCAACATCATAAATTGACATAATGGAACGAAACGAGGCTTGTCAAGTAATTAGTTGTCAGGAGCAACTTCTAGCTGTTATGGAGTGTGACTGATGCAGTGCTCGTGCTGGTGTCTGCAAGCGTCGTCTGGTCACAAGAAAAATCTACCGCTACTATTTTACGGACCCACTGAAGATGACATCAACAAAATTAATTATGACTTCTCCTGGACCAGGAAATATGCCATTGATCTGAAGAAGGATGATCTGCTACAAGGATGATCTGCTACAAGGATTATATAATAATTATTATTATAGCGTCAGGCGCCAACCCTGTAGTCAAGCCGCTAACACCCGATATGGCTTTAGTGCAATTTCTTATTTGGGCGCTGCCAGGTGGAATACACTTCCACCGGCTTGCCGCATGTCTAGTTCACCAGCTGAATTTCGCTCATCCATCAAATTATACCTAGGGTTCCCTGTAAAAAGGCGCTGACGCCTCTTGGGAATTCCCTAGTAAAAGAAGAATAAATAATAATAATAATAAGATCTGGATCATCGGGAAAAGTCGCTTTAGCATCTCACAGTTCGCCACTGCATCACACTCGTGACACACTCCTTTCTACCCACTTTGTCAGCTTTTGAGGTTCGTGATGTATTTGTCTTGTGCAGTTAGCAACTTTCAAATGTGACATTAGACGTCCAAAATGATTTTGTTGGCTGTCAAAGTTCTAGTTTACACCTATCTTTGTCACGTGACGTCAGTATACTTTGTAACGTGCAGTGTTTTAGCGCAACCTATTCTGTGGTCTACCTCTCTTTCTACTTGTGGTTGACTTAGCACCTGTCGTATACGCGGGTAGTTGTGTCGGTAGGGTTCATAACAGCTCGGACCGTTCTACACTATTCCATTCGTGTTGTTCGTGAGCAGAAGAGCATCGTCACTCGGGCAGAAGGCTTCAAGCCCGACGACTTCCTGTATTCGGATTGTCAATATTCGTATTCGTTTCACCCCAAGAGAAAAAGGATGAGCTCTGTTTTTCGACGCATCAGAGTCGGAGAAGGCGGCCACCGGTATCTTTCCAAAACGTTATATCCAAGAGGCTGGACAACAGTAGACACCCCAAAGCCTGGCAAGGCGGCAGAGCCGTTTGAAATCTTGCCGCTGTACGTGCACACAAGGAGAGAGGAATGGGCTGTTATCTACTCACCACAGTGGAACTACAAAGGCAAGTTCACAAAGTAACAGTGGAGTACTGGATCCAGACTGGGAACGTTCTAGTCGCCGATCGAACAATTGCTCGGTTTGCAGCCAGCAAGGCAACCGTCGGAGAGAAGTACGAGTTCATCAACTGTAACTGGTCCATTCAGTCTAGGTTGGTACCTGGTGGCGGTGGAGAGCTACCAATTAATTATTTCATGACCCCCGACCCGGATCAACGCAGACAGGCAGGCAGACTTGTACTTGTTGCTCACTGCGTGGGTCACGTGGGTCTCCCCGGGAGAGGGGAGAGACTCAAATTCAAAAGGAATCTTGGAAAGATGACTATAGGCTATACTGAGTATAGGGCTTGAAAGTGCTACGTCACAGTATAGCAACAATTTCAAAAATTCAAAAATTGAATCCACTTGGATCCAGTTTTTGTTTGGATCCAAGCACATTTCAAGCCGTCTTACTCACCGCAAGGTGATGTAACCAGTGAAACTGACTGATTTGGCTACTGGGGGCGGGGTTACAACTGGTGGCGAAGTAAAAGTCACCCCTGCACACGACATGAGTGGGTTGCTATGCACCCACATACTGAGGCAATAGCAAAGTCACACCTCAGTGGATCCAAAATAGAAATCTGATGTCAACTTAGTACTCCCTGGCCGTTTTTGACGTCATCACTTTCAAGCCCTATTGAACCGCCCAACGGCCGACACCCCCTGAAACCCCCAAAACTCTGGGTGGACTTGAAAATGATCCCACATATGGGCTCAACACACCTCAGTAAGTGGGTGAGGACAACCGGGTGCAGAAAAAGGATTGACAGCATCAGGGTATCCGTCCCGGGATCCAACTGCAGTTACCCCTGCCCCCAGTGAAGGTAATACTTGCTACTAGTGTGGGTGGCTAAATCAGAGTGGATCTGATAAGCTTCACTAGCACCATCGATTACACAAGAGTTAATCTAGCCAGAAGCAGTCCATGATTAACAGGTATGTATACTTCAAATAGAAAGTATATGAACCCTGGAACCAACAAAGGTGGCAGGTACAACATTACACCTTCAAGCAGCCGAGACTGTTGGCAACAGACCCAGCACAATCAGGCATAAGTGTACCCACCAACCGAACTAGCAGACAGACAGACACGCATGCACACACACACACGCGCGCGCGCGCATAGTGGACAAACCATACACGGTTACAAACATAGGTTTATTGCATCAATGCTGTGCTGCGTTGCATGTACAAGAGGCATCACTCCATCAGCATCGGTGTATGGGCAATACAAAGGAATTAGGGAAAGAGGGATTGGAGTTTCAATAGTCGAAAACTATGTACATGTACATTGGAATGTATTGCAAGAAGGCCGGGAGACACCCGGGCAACCCTGCAAGTTCACTGGTTCAATGGAAGCACTAATAGATCTACAGGAGCTGTAGCTGTGGGGCTGTTGCATATTCACAAACCGTACGGAGCGTGCATTGGATAAGAAAGACGTAAACTACTGTCTTCTAAAAGGGCTAGAATAGGTAAACGTGGAGCCGCGAAGGGAATGATACTTTCACATAAAAACAGCAGTTGGACTCACTTGACTAAGTGCTCGTATGTTCAACAGTGCTTAGATTTTGCAACTAACAGTATTGCTACAAACTGCCTGGTACTAGAAGACTGCAGCTGCGGTGCAATACGATTTTACTGGGCAGCTGCAACTACAAGCACTTAGCAATACAAGCTGGTAATGGAACTGTACATGAACGGATCGATTGGTCACTGCAGGCGAGTGCTGGTGCTTTCCTCTATGTACTTGTCTCAACTGCACGGCAGTAACAAGCACCAGCTGCAGCAGCAGTAGCAGCAGTAGCAGGGGCTGTGCACCGTGTAAAACGTCACGCACACAACCATCAGTGGTACTGACGATAGCGTTACAGCCCATTGTTCCTCTTTGCTTGATTTCAAATATCTGCATATAAAAAAAAGTCGCTAATCTCTGCGGTACCGGGCCAACTGTTCTAACAGCAGCCCTTCTTCTCGGGAAGGTCATCCGTCGCTAGATCGATATTCCCGCTGACTGGGTTGTCCGCACCGGCGTGATTGGACGATGGAGACGCTGACGTTTTTCCGCCCATGCTGTTGTGCAGCTTGGTGGCGATCTGCGTGAAGGCGTGCTCTAGGCCTTCGCCCGTCTTTGCCGAAGTGGTGAACATCTCGACAAAGTCGTGATTCGACGCAAACGACTCTGCGGTGGCACTATCAATGTCGTGGTTATCCAGATCAACTTTGTTACCGACCAGGAATTTGACGGCGGTGGAGGCGAAGCTCTCCGCGTCCCGTACCCACGACGTCAGGTAGTGCAGCGACGACGGCTCGTCCACCGAGTAGACGAAAACGGTGGCGTGCGCGCCGCGATAGTAGTTGCGCGTTAGCGTGCGAAACCGCTCGACTCCTGCCGTGTCCCATACACTCAACTGCACAGCACACAGAGCAGAACACAGAAGAAGTCGTCAAGCATCTAAACGCCAAAAAAGGACTGAGAAAAAAAGCAGAGGGGCATTTAGTGTACCTGTTCGTTGCAACATTTACACATCTACTTCGAAGTAGTGGCATGTTTTCATCGAAACATTCCATCTCTGTGTCTACGGTGTTGAAATCCTAAACCTTTCGCCGAGCAGTTTTGTCACTTCCGTCCATATCGAATGTCAAGATTGCTGGTGTCATGATGCTGGATGGTGCTTACCCGTCCCCCAACTCCACGCTGTTGCACTCTAATGATTAACATGCGCATGTATTCTCAGAAGGTCAGCAGTTCTCACACTTTCAGACTCATGCAGAACCAGACCAATGCGGCCTGCAGACGTACACTATCCTCCCGCCGAAACCTTTAGTTAGAACCCTACGGTTTGTTTAGTCCAGTCTAGCGAATGAAGTGGAAGACACCACTGCAGCTGTACTTATGGTTGAATATGGTGTTAAAGACACACCTGGCAATATGGCGGTAAATACACGTCTGCCCACACACGCATACACACATATTGCCCAGTGTGTCTTTACCACCATATTCAACCAGTCAAGTAAATAGCAGGACAAAGCAGCTACGCACTCCATGAAATATATTTAGTACTTCTACTTCGAAGTAGTACCCGGTGTAACCAACGAAAGCTACAAAAATAACTTTAATACGGTTCCCCGGGTGTCAGAGACACACTTGGGTGTAAGCTGCCCCCGCTTCCCTACTGGAGGCATGCAGAATAGCACATCCCAGTTAGTACTTGTTTGTATGGTGCTGAACGCTTGGGCTATAATAAGCAGCAAGGGTCTTTTAACCCAGTTTTTTCTTGTAAAGAAAGCATGACTCTGACCCCGGAACACGATGATTCTAGAAAAAGGTTTTCACTTGAATGGTGCCTGTGCAGTCACGGCACACAAACTTGGGTGAAACGCCATGATGCAGTCGAAATGCAAGCAGTGCACACACACACACACATATACACACACACAAATACACATGCACAAGGTTTCAAGGTGACCAGCATTGCTCGTATACTATTAATTTTGTTGTTCGTGAGAGTTTCACTGAGACAAGTGCTGGCCAGATTCTTATCACTTTTAGATTCTGGACAAACATTCCATGAAGGCCTATCATAACTTTTCAACTTCGCATTGGAAGAACTCTTCTCCAAATGAAGTTCCTCGCATCACACATGCAGCGTTCGGCCCTTATTCCCAATCGAACACGGGTGAGTAAGCGCTCCCGTGCTCATGCATACACCAGTCACCTGGTCACCGTGCCTGCAGGCTACAACTTTTACTTTTTCCTGTCACTCGAGTTAAACCTTTGAGTTGAACCCTGGTGTGAAAGTTGTAGCCTGCAGGCACGGTGACCAGGCGACTTGTGTACGCACGAGCACATGACCGCTTACTCACCCATGTTCGATTGGGAATAAGGGCCGAACGCTGCATCGCAGCCTTTTCGGACCAAAACCAGTCGACTCAGCGTCCAAAAGACTACAACATATGGATCAATCGCAGTCATCCGTGCTTTTATAAGAACGAAATGGCGCCTTTAGTGACTTTTTGCATACAAATCCCCATATAGTAGGGCATAGTCACCCAGTTTCGGTGGAAATGCGCGAGTTCGATTGGGAATAAAGAAGGAAGGGAGAATCTCAGCTTCCTCGAACTAAGACCATTCGACTCAGCACCCCGAAGACTACAACTGGTGAAAATTTGATTTTAGGGTATACCGTAAAGTACCGTTGATCCGCCCCCTCTCTAATTGCCGCCCCCTGTTGATTTTCTGCCTGTGAAGCGACTCCGGCATTTACAACGAAATACGATGTTGAACCGAAGCATGCACTGCTGTACACAATAAGTGCCAGTCCAGGATGAAAATGTGCACAATCCAGCACATCAAGTCTGATCTTCCACATTGTTGTACATCGTACTGCACTTGACAGCCTTGATCTAATTCCCGCCCCCTGCCGAAAACCCAGCTGGGAAGCGACATGGCGTGGGGGGGGGGGGGCAGATCAACGGTACTTTGCGGCACTTCCCCTTTAATTACGTAATTAAGCGGCCTCCACCCCAACACAGTGTGCTCCCGGTCACAGAGCAATGCTGCACATTACCATCAACTTCAACTTCCTATCGATTTCCAGTAATACTATCCCAGGTAGTGTCAGACAAAATTTGCTCGGCTGACGTCGATAAAAATATCACGGTTCGCTTGAGACTTGGCTGGAGACCGAGTTTTCAGCATCCGCCGTGGGAACGCCACCACCCTCTAGGATCAGGGTGCAGGTGCAGCTACTAAAGCAGTGGGACGTGAGTAGATCAGACCCAGCACAAAGTGGTCAAAGATCGAAAAATCCTATTCGCTTCGATATTCTGCGGCGAAATTTAGCTGGCTCATCGTCGATATTTTGCTTTCATTTTGCCAGGCCATTCGATATTTTGATACCTTTTTGCTCCAATGTGAGGCCAAAATGTGTGTCACATGTTAGAAAAATAGCCAGAAGTGGGTCACGTGTCGGCAAAATGTGGGGAAATGACTTCAAATGAGTCATATGCACCGTCCAAGTTGTATATGAGCAATGACAGCTTCAAAATGCCACATTCGGATCAAATTTGGGAGAGAAACATTGATATTGTGCTCGGGTTTGCAAGCAATTTTCCTTTCCAGGGATTTTCGATACTTTGCTCTAGGAATTGCTAGCAAATTTGGCCTGACAATAATCCTGGGACGGTGCAACCTGAGCGATGTTTCAACACCGAAACTTCTCCGTCCACAATCTTGGATGGATTCGCAAGAACAATAGGACGTTGTGTGTGGCTTGCAATGGCATCCCAATCCCCTCCCCCCAAACCCACTAAACACCTTCCACCCAGGAACATCATGTGATTAGAAATCCGAGACATGCCAGCCTCTCCACGAATAAATTATTTTACTTTTCAATTCGAAATTCGAAATGGTTTAGGGACTAGCGTATTACCGCCAGGGTCTGTTGTGGTCGGTCTCCAATTTTCTCAGCACTGCCCGGCACTGATGTTCAACAGCAGAGAAACGTGGCTAGATATCGGGTAGAATCCGACGCTTACCGTAACGGTTTGTCCATTGATCGTGACTGGGCGAGTGCAGCTATCAATGCCAGTGGTCGTCGTGACCGTCTCATCAAATTCATCGTCCTTCAGCCGCCTGAAGATGGATGTCTTGCCAACACCCAGCTCGCCCAGCAGGACGATCTTGTACATGGGACCACGCGACGATGCTGCCATGGTCGCTAGAATCACCTCGCTAGCGCTGCTGCCTGGACTTTAGCTGCGTCCACTAATGTCTTTTCAACACTGCAGCTTACTGAGTTACCCCAGACTAATGCATTCACTAAAATGTTTGCTGGGTCGACCAAGCTGGGAGCTCTGCAGGTAAGCGCTACCACGTGTGGGTGGTACTTTCAAAAGTAAACAACAGTGCTACTGCTACTTGATGTTTGAGTGCTTGTCGAGCGGATCGGCCAAAGAGAGTGGAAAGGTTTCCGCCTGTAAATTGTTTACGCAACAAACAAACTGAGTCTCTCATTCTTCGTATCGGTTTTTCCCGGATCATGGGCGAATATCGAATGTCCAGCTTTCGTGTAAAAATGTGAGTGTGTTTGTGCTGGAAACATGCGTGCAACCACGTCATTTTTGACTCAAATGATCTGGTGGTGTGGAGCTGAGGTGGTCAGTGCAGTGGTAGACCTCAGCTAACTAATAGTAATAGTATTCATGGTGTGTGATGTACATCTCTGACACTAGCACTGTCATCAGCTAGCTCCATGGATCCGGATCCGTAGTGCTGCTGTGCCTGCGACTTGCATGACTGTACTTGTTGTGTCCAGCTGCGCAGACGTCAGACAGATCGCTACATCTGCGGCAGCCGTTCGCTCTCTCTGTCCGCGTAGTCGTATCGCTTGCCTCCGGCCCACTTCAGTCCACAGGTACGTGCGTATCCGGATCTTGTAGCCAAGTGGCTTGCATACACCGCTTTGCTACTATGCCCTCTCCTGTCCTGATCTTACTACTATTCTTAGTGCAATCAGATTAGGGAGTCACTGAATAGGGAATACCAGTATTTCACTACTCCCTTTCCCTGATGTAAATCATGCAATGGGAGAAGACGAACCCAACGAAGCAGCTGAAGCTGACACCTGCGGGGATGAGGTGTTGTTAAATTTCCCTGATATCCGAGTCATCTGAAGCCATCTCAATTTTTCTAGGCTAACGTTAGCGAGTTTTCAAGACTTTCCCGTGACGAACCCAGCACCCAACCACCCTGGCGACGTGCCTCCCCCCCCCCCCCCCCCCCATTGGTTGGCACATGGTGCATGCAGTTTGGCAGCTAGGCATTCAATGGATAAGTGTTCAGCATCCGGTTAGGATTAGCGTGCACTGCACATACTACAACCATGACACCCCGGCGCCCAGCAAGAATGCTGGTGGATGAACCCCACAGTGACTAGGGTGTGCGGATCATGCTCGAAAAGCAGTGAAATTGGCAGAACCATACAAACCTTATGGCAGGCAATTCCTCGAATTCTGCTCCATTTCTTTATCCACATACCAAACATGCATGAAACTTACCAGAAAAAGTACCGAATTCTGCCAATTTTTCTGCCGGCATTATCCTAACAGTGACTTCATTATGTGCAGGCTGGTACATGAACTACAGTAGAGTCGCGCGCTGAAGAACGTGGAACCCAAGAACGTCCAGCCTGAAATACTAAGAACGCCACAGCCTAAAGCTAAGAACGACGGTGTTGGTTTTCTGGCAGCTTGTGGGATACATATGATCCAGTATGCACTGTTTCTAAGAACGTGCTATAAGAACGCAGCCAGATTGCTGAAAAATAAGAATGTCCCAGGCTAACCCCTTAGAAACAACGTTCTTGGGCGCGCGACTCTACTGTAGCCCTTCAAGTGGTGGACAATGCCGGCAGAATTTGAGAGTAGTTTTTTTCTGGTATGTTTCATGCATGTTTGGTAGCGAAGAAATGGAGCAAAATTCAAGGAAGTGCTTGCCGTAAGGTTTGTATGGTTCTGCCAATTTCACTGCTTTTCAAGCAGAACATGCCAATTTTTCGAACATTATCTACCAAGGGCTAGCATGAATCCCACAGTGACTTTAGTTTGCATCCTCAGGGAGCCATAGCCTTGAAGCGATTCATGTGCCTCCCCCCCCCCCCCCCCGATCACACAATTCAATGCAAGGGTTGAGGTGAATACATGTAGGTCCGACGGGGGGGGGGGGGACACAAGCATAGACCAATCCGTTTGGAATCATGGCAATTGGCAGTCGCGAGATGGAATTCGGCTGGTAGACAGACTTGTGCTACGAACATGACACCCCCCCCCCCTCCCTCCCCGGCATTGTACATTTGTAGTACTGAACTGTTGTGCCTCTGAGTCGGAGCCCTTAGAGTGCGGGAAGTGTTGTGTTAAACCACATTCAAAAGGTGGAGCCAATTATCATCGCATTTCCGTTAAAACGGGTACCAACGGTGAGAAGTGGTACGGTCAATGGTCACTGCTGTAATGACCGTGCGTCCGTGTCCAACACCCCAGGCTGACCCAAAACTACAAGAACTACTTGCTCGTCACGATCACTCTTTTCTTGATTCCAGGTCTAGACCGTCATTGGAAGTTCAACATGATTTGGAATCAGTCTGCGATCTGTGCAACATGCAACCGTGACCGAGGCCACTTTGAAGCCAATTGCCGTGATCTCTTTTTAGGAGACCAAACATGGCCGCCAGAGCCAATGATGACGCAGACGCGTGCGGATAGATCCGACGGTCCCTGGCCCAAGGGCGACCCGATCACAGTGGAAGGGGCACTGAGTTCAGATGCGATATTCACCTTGTTCCATCCCGGCACCCCACCCACCCTGTCGTGTTGTGTGGTCTATTGGCGGCCGGTCAGGGACAATTCCATGCAGTAGGCGGATGCCGCACAGTATAATTCCTTGACCTCTGACCCAGCACCAGGCTTCAGCCTTCTTGGCGGAAGTTTGATCACAGCCACTACATGATGTAGTAGTGTACTAGTAGTCAGGAGCACTTTTCCTTACTTCAAGTAGCCAGTGTTCCTCCATCTTGTTATTGTGTTGTTACTGATGATACTGACGTGACAGGGTCAGTATGTTCAGTATGCCCAACTCGCGACCCACGAACAGTCCTTGGCTACACCACATACAGTTGAAATTGTCCAAATTTTCACCCAGGAGGGCATCGTCAGTATCATTATTAGTATTATTAATTTTTCCCAAACCGGTAGCACTACGGAGTACGTGACTGTGTGTACAGTCTACAGTCAGTACAGTCTACAGAGATGTGCTCCCTGCTCCCTGCTAGCTGTATTATAATTATTGTAATTATAGCAGTACAGCTGCTGTAGCTAGACATGCTAGATAGTAGATACACAGTAAAACCTGTCAAGGCGACCACTCGGATAAGGCGACCACCTGTCCCAGACGACCACTACTGCCAGGACCAAGGGATGCCTTTCCAGTGAAATGACCCTGGATAAGGAGACCACCTGCTTACAGAGACTACACTTTGAAGGTCCCTTGAGCGGTCGTCTTAGACAGGTTTCACTGTACTCGTACTCGGTACGCACAGTGCAATGTATGTACGTACATACATTGCACTGTGCTGGTATACTGCCCTCATGCGATGACGCAATTATTATTATTATTTTGCTTGTTCGCGTTGGCATCAACCTGCATAAAGCAGGTATATAGCCTTCGCTTAAGCTGCCATAAAAAAGAAAGCTCATCCTAAGCGAGAGGGCTAGAGGGAAATATAACGATAACGAGATACAGAATACAAAGAAATCCAATGAGTTCAACGTACAATTCAAAACAAGAAAGAAAGGAAAGAAAAACAGAGCCGAATCTACCGATTGATCCATCAATCGACAAAGGGGACTAATCCGTTAGTGTTGCAAAGTAGAAGCTGATTATAGTTGCAGATCTCCAGGCCAGGGCCAGCATATTGCCGATTCTGGATAGGTCTCCGCAGCATTTGATGTGGTAATTATCATAATGTTTGATAAAATTGTTAGAGTATCTAGTATCTAGAGTACCAAGTATCTAGTATCTAGAGTATCTAGTGTAATTGTATCCGTTATTATTGTTAAAAGGGTATCTAGTGTAATTGTATCCGTTATTATTGTTAAGGGTATCTAGTGTAATTGTATAACTTCAGCCATTACACACAGCACACATTAGTTCCTTCCACTTTGGACGATCCTGGGCGAGCTGCCTCAGTGCAACTAGATCCTCGTGTGATGTGAGGGAGTTTGTGGATCTGGAATTTTTCAGGTCGTTGTTGATGGATCGCGGGAGTGTTGTTCTCGGGCGGCCTCGGAACCCTGACGGCCTGAGCTTCCTGGCTGAAAGTATGCTGCCATAGCCTGCTGGACCGGGGATGAGGTGTCTAGTCGAAGCATGTGGCCAAACATGCTTCGATGACGCAATGCCACAAGATATCCGACGTCATCGTACTGACGCGTATGTTTGATTGATGTTCCCTTTCTGTTTCAAATCATCAAAGCAAACTTTCTTTGAAAATAATTCCTTTCCATCTGCCATGAGTTCCTTTTCCTACATTTTTTCCTTGGGTTTCGTCGCATATCCTGGTGTCCAGCTTTAGTTTAGGGCACGTGTGTATGAACTTGGAAGACATCAGTGTCCTATTTCACTTGCGAAGCCACCCAGGAGCAGGGGAAAGGACTGCGTTTGGCAACAGTGCTTTCAAGCTGTGAATTGCATGTGGAGTGTGCAGGGCATTTGCCTTGCTTGAAAAAGGTCCCTGGCACAGAGGTAGTAACGACACTTTCTAAGCGCTCTGCCTTCTAGCATTGTGTTCGGTGTGGATCGCAGTCGGAGGACTTTGCCAATGGGCCTGGTTATAACAAAATAGCCTTTGAGACTGCGTTATTAGCACGTGTCTACATGATGCCAAACGAGCCGAAACGAAGCTTCTCTGTCCTGCTGCCAGTGGTACTAGTGTCATGGCTGGGCGCTATCCTTCCAGGATGTGCCGGTGTGACGCTGAAAGACGTATCCAGTAGCTCCGGCCTGTCCAACATCAAAGGCTATGTGGCGGCAGTGGCTGATATAAACGGGGATCACTTTGCTGATCTGCTGGTTGTTGAGGGCAGTGGTACGTACTGACTGCCATGCTCTGTGCCTCTGGCAACTGCATAGAGACAATGTGCAACTGTAGTTTTCATATCATGCTGTTGATAATAAATCAGAATGATCTGATTGACTGTGTAGCTCCTACGAGGGAAAGAACTGATGAGATCTGAAGCTGTGTTCACAACTGGCGCTTGTACGCGTGAAACCACATGTTGGGAACGCGCCGAAATGGAAATTGCGACAGGTTCCATTTTTCAGCGCGTACCGGTGTACATGCTAGTCCCTTTGACTGGCGGCGTCAACAAATTAGTACTCGACGGCGCAACACGCCCTAAATACGACTCGAATTGCTGTTTTTTTTTTGTGAAAGGCTGAACGCGCGTTTGGACACGCATGAACCGCAAGCGTACTGCATCCACGCGCCAGTTGTGAACACAGCTTTAATGGTCGAAACAGTGCTGTAGGGAGTAAAATCTTACCTGCAATATCTACAATTTGGAGTCCTGTTGCTGGTGTGAATGGGGTCGGCTAGAGAGCACATGAGGTGGAGGTGGAACTGATTGACTGTTTAGCTCCACACAAATTTATGCAAAGCCCATGAACACCAACTCCGTCCCCACGGAATAAGCCCACGGCGTATTGCCCAAGTATGGAATGTATCAGTAGTCGACGTGAGCACACTGGGATTAGGAATGTACTGTTCAACACCTTACACGACCATGCCCAGGTGGCTGTGTGAAGTGTTCATGGTACAAACTATGTCAGTACGGAATGGGCTCATACTGTCCGTGGCTTCTGTTACGGGCAGTGCTCGGTCCCAGCCTACCCAGATCTTGGGAGTTTAACTGTATTTGTATTGTGATTAAAAGTTGCATTTCTCTCCTCTCGGCACTGCTATCAAGCTTTTCTGTCGCATTTAAAATTTGCCCCCGGAATGATGGATACACCTTTGAAGTGCTGTGTCATAATGTTCAACCCAACAAACTTACAACAACGTGTATCCTCGTCTTGTTTTTGCCCGTCACTTGAAGCATTGCACTGATGTGTAACTTTGGTGGGCCATCTGTCTAGTTTTTGTTTGTGTTTGTACGTGCATACGCATGTGTGTGTGTGTGTGTGTGTGTGTGCGCGCGCGTGCGTTTGTGTATGTGCATGTGTGTGTGCAATATTTGCTTCTTGTATCTGCTGTCAGACTGCACAGTGTTGGTATGGAATGATGGGCACTTTGCAAAGATGGTCACTGTTCACAGGTATGCTGCAGATCGCTGTCTTCTACTGAAGTAGTCGTATTTATTTATTTATTTTATTTATTTATTTATTCACAATCACGTGGCACTAGCCAATGAAATGGTGATGTGGGCGATAGCCAGCCATGGCGGTAATACAGCTAGAGGGGGGGGGGGGGGGAAAGAAAAAGAATGAAAGGGGAACTGAAAAGCAAAAGAAGCTAGGGCAGGGCTGGATATCAACTAGTATGTTGCATTCTGCAGTAGCTGTGTGAATGTATTGTAACATTGGCAGGATTTTAGATGTTGTGGGAGGAGAGACCAATGGCGGTAAGCAAGGAAGAGAGGAGATGTTTGCATAGAGGCAGACCGCGCAATAGGGAAGCGGAGAGAGTTTCTGGTGCGCATGTCTTGAGATTGAGCAAACCAGCTTAGGCAGGAGAGAGCATGAAGAGGAGCAATGCCCAGCTTAATTTTATGAATTGTCTGGCATGCCAAAAAACGCACGCGGACCGAGAGCGGCACAGCAGAAGCAAGGCGGTATAAGTCTGCGCTTGGAGTCAGGCGAGGAAGCCGAAATAATATTTTCAAAAGACGCCTATGCATAACTTCGAGTCGAGCAATCAGTGTTTTAGAAATGCCAGCCCAAATTATGCAGCAGTAATCAAAAATAGGCAGAATGTAAGATGTGTAAATAACATGGCGACAGTCGGTGTGGAGGTGGGTGATGTGTGATGAGAGAAATCCCATTACTGAGCTAACACGGCTGTCTAAATTTTCGATCTGGGATTTCCAGGTTAAGTGTTGGTCAATAATGACGCTATGTTGTTCTCTCTCTCCTCTCTCTCTCTCTCTCTCTCTCTCTCTCTCTCTCTCTCTCTCTCTCTCTCTCTCTTCTCTCTCTCTCTCTCTCTCTCTCTCTCTCTCTCTCTCTCTCTCTCTCTCTCTCTCTCTCTCTCTCTCTCTCTCTCTCTCTCTCTCTCTCTCTCTCTCTCTCTCTCTCTCTCTCTCTCTCTCTCTCTCTCCTCTCTCTCTCTCTCTCTTCTCTCTCTCTCTCTCTCTCTCTCTCTCTCTCTCTCTCTCTCTCTCTCTCTCTCTCTCTCTCTCTCTCTCCTCTCTCTCTCTCTCTCTCTCTCTCTCTCTCTCTCTCTCTCTCTCTCTCTCTCTCTCTCTCTCTCTCTCTCTCTCTCTCTCTCTCTCTCTCTCTCTCTCTCTCTCTCTCTCTCTCTCTCTCTCTCTCTCTCTCTCTCTCTCTCTCTCTCTCTCTCTCTCTCTCTCTCTCTCTCTCCCCCCCGCCCCCAGGCGCCGCACGTGACGAGTTTCTGGAAGTGGGGAAGAGGCCAAATGCTATAGAGTTCTTTGTTTGAAGTAGTGTGTGTGTGTGTGTGTGTGTGTGTGTGTGTGTGTGTGTGTGTGTGCGCGCGCGCATGTGTTTGTGTGTGTATGTGTCTGTGCATGTGTACGTGCATGTTTGTGTTATCAGCACTGGCACTATCCACAGTGTGTTGCCAGCTGACTATGACGGCGACGGGAAAGTCGATGTGCTGATCTGTACCCAGTCACAGCAGGCCGTGAAAGAAGAGGGTTTCTATGGAGAAACAATGTACTCACTGCATGTACACTGGGGTACCAACATGACAGGTAACCATAGTAATCATTGTAACCATAGTAACGAGTGCTAGCCACTGTCCGTGGACACTCGGCTAGTTTCTTGTCCGATTTTTAGGGGAGAGTCTGAGACCGGTGTGGAGTGAAAATGCCTTCCTTGCACGATTGCTTTGTCACCACTCTTTCGTGTGTGTGTGTGTGTGTGCGTGCGTGCGTGTGTGTGTGTGTGTATGTGTGTAAGCTGCTATGGCTTCTGCTGTAGCATCGCTATCATCGCCTCCGGCGATGGGCGTCCAATGGTGTGTGTGTGTGTGTGTGTGCTGAAGTAACAATGTATGTACATTGAAACCTGTCCTGAGACCACCCAATGATATGCACGGACGATGGGTTGTTGACAGGGGTCTTTCTACACAAATCACAATGCATGGTGTGGTACCTAGGTTGACTGCTCACTCAAGACAGGTGGCCTCGAAAGACAGGTGGTGTCTAAAGATGGGTGGCCTCTAAATATGGGTGGCATCTAAAGTCTAAAGACAGGTTGTAATATGATTATATTGTGCATTGTGTGAAGTTGATAAACAGTATGTATGATTCTGTTCCTCTTGTTCGCTTGTGTTGCGCTGTAGGCTCACCCAAGTTGGTAGCCGAATCTGCCTTGGCTCCACCAGCCCTCCTAGAGTAAGCCAGTTCACATACACCATTATCATCATGATTTCTAGTTGAACTTTGACTTCTGAGTGGAATGGATTTCTTGCACTCTAAAAACCGGCCTTCTGTTCAACTTTCCTGAAAGCTCGTCTGCTTTGCCAATCTCTGGATCCCAGTACAGTACTGTTAGACATGTTATTATAACGAGTCGCAAATTTAACGATCGTCCAAAATTCATAGGTTAACGAGAAGATATGTTAACGATCTTGCAGTATTCCGGCATATCCACACACAACATATATGAAGCAGTACAGCCTCAACGGATCTTGTTATAACGAAGAAATGTCATCCGTTAAAACGTTAGATTTACTTCCTCGTTATATATATACATGTCTTACAGTAGTCGAGAAATAATTTGCGAAATTCGAAATGCAAATCCTCTCTAGTGTTGCTGCTAGCCGGGCATTCAAATTGTCCTTATCAACTTTTCAAGAAAATGTTTTTAGAAGGAATTTGTTGAAGCATCCCGATAAAATGGTTCCTGTCAGCAGCTGCAGTCTTGCTAAACGGCACTTTTGCTTGCATTGCTACTACGGAACATCTCCACAGTGCCGGGTGTGTCCTAGCACTACGGAACATCTCCACAGTGCCGGGTGTGTCCTGGCACTACGGAACATCTCCACAGTGCCGGTTGTGTCCTGGCACTACGTACATGTATACATGACGTTGCAATGTGCGAACGTCTGATTTTTTTAAGAATCGTAACATTGTGCTCTGTTTACCTTTCTGTTGCAGTGTGAATCTTGATCTACTTCCCGACATTGTCATTCCCATGGCCGGTCAAGTCATAGTCTACTGCAGCAGTACAAGGTATGATGGCGGCTTCCAGAGTGGGATTTTAATTGTACAATGGGCACTATCCTATTGGATTGCTCTGCTGCAGGCTGCTGCTCCAGCACAGCACATTGTTTGCTTGCTGTTGGTTGCCTGAGCGGCAGGCGGCTCCCACAAGAATGCCTCTGAAAGCAGCTCACAATGCACAGATGATTGTCCATCAGAAGGATGCCTCTTGAAAGGGCACCGGGGAATGCCCCCTGCATTTAATGTAGGGGGGGGGGCATGTAAGCCCACCGTACCGTTATAATATGGCAAGATTTATACGTTTTATGAATCTTATCACATAACGGTGCAATGAGCTTACAGTCGATCAGTGCATCGATCTGTCAGCTGTGAGTGGTCGAGATGAAACATGCTTGCTTCGTCTAGTGCTAAGCATGGCCCTCCAATGCCATTTGCTAGTGTTGTTGGTCAAGAATTCAGTGTGTGCATGCTTGGATGCACGGCGTGACAAAGAAGCATACCGGTACATGCCTGTGTGTTCGCAAGCTAAGTTGCTAATTACTTGCAAAAGTGCTCGATACTGGGAGAGCAGAGCAAAATGACACTGCAATGGGTCGAGGCTATATTTTCGTTATCACTCTGAGTTTTGTGGCCCACCGTCAGACAGCAGTTCTGTTGCAGACTTGTGTCATGCCTGTTGTTTGCGTGTGTGTGGGTACGTGTACGTATAACGCAGGCATAGTTTCGAAGACTGCTCGTCCCAGCTGGCGACCAGTACTGATCATCCTGTGGACAGAACGCCGGCTCTGATCTACTCAGATGACACTCCGGGTAAGAGTCTGGTGTTTAAATATTGAAAGGTCCAAAGGTGTATGTGTGTGTGTATATGTGTGTGTGTGTATGTGTGTGTGTGCCCGTACATGCGTGCGTGTGTGTGCACATGTGCATGTGCATGCAGATTTGGGTATGGATCTCACTGCGTGGGTGTGGACGTACGCCACGCATTCTTCATGAGTTCATGCTATCTTGTACTCAGTCTGCACTGCTTTGCTGCTGTTCTTGTTTCTGCTCGCCTACATGACAGTGATATCCAGCTTGAGCTACAATGACTCTACTAACTCCATACTACTCAGTGCTTGGCAAGCAACAGAGGTGAGTTACTCCACACTTACGCAATGCAGTACTACGCTTGTAACCTGTAGGCTGTATGCTGGCAATACGATAATGCGCAGATGTGATTTCCCATCGGAGAGAGAAGTTAATGCTGTCATCATGTTATAGTCTTCTCATTTCTCTCTCTTTTCTGTTGCTTTTAATCTGGCATTGCATACACAATGTGAGCAGCTCCGTGGTCTTTTGTGTTATGTTCTATGCATACCAACATGTTAAATGATGAGAATTATTCTTTCTTTGTATGCAGATCAAGCAGTGGATGCCCATCACGGACAGCTCAAACTTCCTCCCGGCCGCCGAGATCAGTCTTGTTGGCATGGAGACGTGGCAGGATATGGGTACGATATTCCAATACTTGGTGGTGGTGGTGGTGGTGCTGCTGTTGCTCCTGTTGCTGTTGCTGGTACATGTACTGCCACTGTTGCTGCTGCTGCTGTTGCTCCTGTCATCGTCATTGTCGCTGCTGCTGCTGCTATGCTGTTGCTGTGATTGCAGGTTTGACTCCCAAACTTCAAAATGTGCAGTATGCCTAGTACTGCCTAATGCTGTGGTGACGGTGCGGCAGATAATTCCAGTGCTGCGGTGACTCTATGAGGCCAGGACATAGATATTTGTTCATTGTGGTGTTGTGTTTGATGCTCAGATCTTGATGGGAGTTTGGATTTGCTAGTTCCTGTTTGCTGGGATGCCGCCTGTCACAACAGCAGTATTCTGATATTGTTCACAGTGAGTACATACCCTGGTGCTGCTGCTGCTGCTGCTGTTGTTGTTGTTCACAGTGAGTACATACCCTGGTGCTGCTGCTGCTGTTGTTGTTCTTATGTGCAAACCCGATGCGGCAGCCAAACCGCAAATCGGACAAAACATTTCCACTAAGACCCGATCAGGGTGGCCAGCAAGCTCTACACTAAATGCATCAATATTTATTGGTGTGAAGATTGAGTTTAAACTTAAAAGAATTAGCAGATGTGGAAATAGAGTTCTCACGAACTAATGACGGCTGTACAGGAGTGCGTTGAGGCCGAAACGATTGCCCATTTTGCCTTAACAATTAACCAATAACACTAACGATCGATTTATTGATTTTACCGATTTTCCGAACAAGTTTTATACATGTCATGTTGGACATCAGTATACGGCAAAAACAAAATTTGTTCAACTATGTACAGGTACGTACGGGTGAAAGATCCACACAGGCCCAAAAAGACCAAAATGAAATTTGCAACGTGACAGTATAGCAGTGTTCCTCTGCCATTAGGCATGAACGATCAGTCCTCTGTCTTCTACAATGGAGAAGGGTCGACTAGAATCGACAGGCCAGTCGATGATCGACTCCGTCAACATGCCTGAGCGCCTGCTGTCGCACGTTCGCAAGTTACCTGTGCTGAAGAACGACATGGCAGGCTTCGTTCCAGCACTGGTCGTCGCATTGTCACTGCACTCAACATTGCTGGTAGTTGTCGTTGCTGTCGACTGGGTTGCTGGTCCTTTCCCTACCGCAGCGGCGTACAGGTCTTTATGAGCAGAAATCAGGCGCTAGAACAAATTGGTTGTGCCGCTTTGACGGACGAACTCGCGGCTGCACAAATTGCATCTCACTACGCTTTCAGCTTCCTCGAAATATGCCCAAGCTGGCGATCTCTTGGTCCAACTAACTTTCGCTTTTACAGGCGGCAGCAAAGTTTTTGACAAGAACTGAACAAATTAGAAGGCCGGCAGCCACACTCACAGTTTTGCTACAACCTAAAATTGTGAAGCTTTCCGGGTGTTACACTTTCCGGCTACGCTGACTAGTGCAGTGAATGCGCGGAATGTACGACTACGAGTACAGTACCCAAAAGGATCAAGCGCTAGCGCGCAATGATTGTACGGACCTACGGCTTCATGCACGTGTACTTCGACTTTCATGTACTTGTGCGCATGACGTGTGCATGATGCCATGCATGGTCTGCATGTACTGACGTCATGACCGCTCTCGCACTGTACAGTCATAATCGTTATCGATCATAACGATTATCGATTTCATCCATAACGAGTGATATACGAGTAATCGGTATAATGGTTTCGGCCCTTTGGGAATGTTTTTCTCCGCCTTTCCGCCTGTCTCTGCTTGGCGCTGGTCCTTTCTCCGTACCGCCTGGTTACAGCTGTATCTTGCATGCTTGGTTAGTACCATACCTTGGCTGAGGCTTAGTAAGCGCGCTGGACCCCTTTCGTGCCATGAGAGGACCTGCATCATAATATAGAGACTAGGCACCATGAGCCCTAGCCCTGCTTGTAGTAAACATTGCACTAATACTTTGAGATACCTTTATGCACGTATGGGGTAGTCTCGCCTGCGCATATGGGCGTACTCATGGTGCGACCTGACCTTTCCCTAGTACGGCTTCCTGCCATTGCATGCCCCATTGTTGCGCGCCTAGCCACGCGCATGGCTTTTTGCCTGCTGCTCGGTTGTTCGCGATAACTACGGTTTGCCGTACGCTGCAAACCTACATTTAACGAGAAGATATGTTAACCGTCCATAATTATCGACCTTTTACACGAAGAGAAAAATTTCGTTTATGGGTGGGTGGATCAAGGGGAGTTTCGTTTTGAAAATATTGAAATGAGAGACATCAAGGCATTCTTGCTGTCAAGTCAATCTGTTTTTCGTTCAGGGGGGTAGGTGGGTGGGGGAGGGTCAGGGGCGTCGGAAGGTATTTTAGTGTGGTACGGTCAGCCATCTGAAGCACAATTTCCTCGTGTGGCTGAGCCAAAGTTTTTGGAAATTTAGAGCCCAGATCAGTGTATTTTATTGCTCCACAGGGTATCTGGGGCAACAAGTGGTACGGTCAATACCGTACTGACCGTACAGTGTCCAACGCCCCTGAGGGTCCTAACTAAACTTTTTCGTTTCGTGAAAATTATCGATAATGCCGGGTAGCCCCTTATATTTACATGTCTTACAATATTTAACTTCTTGTGAAAGTATGCCCCTGGGCCTTACAGTGACTGTAACCAGAGTGGCAGTGAGTGTCTGCTTTAATGGCTGCTTGAATGCCTGCGTTAATTTCATTGAGCTGTCTTTTTGTCTGTGGCCGTTATCGCCATGTCATGATGCCATGGCTGGTAATTCAGTTCCATTTTTGACTCTTTCCTGCACTGATAAGGCCTTATTGGATGAAACGGTTAGCAATATGCAGCACGTAGAGGATTTTTGATTTTTTTTATCCTTACGTTGTCTGTCTGAAAAGTGTTTTAGACGGGACTTAGGGGTACGGAAGTAGAGTCTTTTTTGACCGTTGTGTGCCCTGTGTGTATGTATGTGCTTCTGTGTTTCTGTTCGTGTGCATGGCTATTTTCCTTGTAGCACGGGGAAAGTCCCTTTTCGGCTGCCAGCATGGTAAGGACTGTCATGTGACTTTGTAGCTAACGTTAGCTTAGAGCTGTTGTTGTTTGCCGCACTACCCCTGCAGCTTGTGTTGTAATAGCGGTGTGACGCGCAGCAGCGTAGCAACGGGACATCTCAATTGCTTCCCAGATTTTGCTTAGCTGAGAAACGCCTGAAGTGGATTTGAATTTTCTGGCCACCCTTGCCTTTAATTTAGTTCTGTTGGAGTCCTGTTGCTGGTGTGATGAATGAGGTCAGTCGGAGAGCGCATGTGGTGTGGAGTTTGAACTAGATTTTAAAAATGATGAACAGGCTGCTTATCCGCCTGACCATCTGCTCATCCTCCTGACCATCTGTGCCTTGTTGATACAGAGACTCTCGCTCTGCTATCTAGTATAGAGTGGTTCCACATCTCTGTCACATGACCATACAGGGCAGCCATGCAACATGGTTTCTAATCCACTCAACCCCTGCATTATACATGGGTCACATGACGTCGGCCATGTTGGTTCCACTGTCCACATGCCATGATCACTTTCTACATAAATTTAGTCACATGACCAAGATGTCAACAGTCAACACCACTCTATACCACCTGACCTGTGACCTCACATCCAGCTGTTCTTCTTGTTGCTGGTGTGTCTGTGTGTAGCGTATGACATCGGTGAACCTGTGGATGATGTCGCCAAGCCTGCGTCTGGATAGTAGCACGTTGCTGCCTGGTCCTGAGTCGCTACTACTGCCGGGTATTCGCTGTGGAGATCTTGATCTGGATGGGTTTGTGGACGGTGTTATTGTGGGGTGAGAAGATGATTTATACTTGCCGTGATGTGATGTGAACTTGTACTTGTACTTCTAATCTGGTCTGTGTACATGTAGGTCAACCTATCCATTGGTAGTAGGCATCGTTGATAGTGATACGATGTAGAATTATGTTTGTCACTCGTTGCAGCCAGCTTGCTATACGATTATATCAAGAGTGCATAAACAAGAGTATGCAACTGTGGTTATGGGTCAGTGCGCGGCGCGCTGCCTTCATTACGTAACTTGCCTTGATCACGCTCTGAAAGCATGCATTCAAACTCACAATTTCTCGTACGAGCCCATCCGTTTTTGTTCGATTCGTTCCAGTATCTACGCGATCTCTAAATTCTGGCGCGTGAACTCCAGTTCCGTACGAAAGTTCATTTCAAACCAGAGGGAAAGTGTGGTGTTTGATTGTCCGCAGTGCGCGGACTGCAGCTGAATGATGTAATGAAGGCAGCGCGCCGCGCATCTGGCCCATAGAAAAGAGATCACAGTTGCATACTCTTGTTTATGGACTCTTGATTATATGTACATGTATGTTTTTTTGTAGAAAAGAAAAAAGGACCAAGAATCTACAAGTTACGCTATAATGTCCACTAGCACCACCAGTTACTAAACAATCAGCTCATGTGGTGTTAGTGGACAGTATAGCGTAAGTTGTAGATTCTTGGTCCTTTTTTCTTTTCTATAAATTTGTCCTTGGCTCTCCATCCGAGTTTGTTTTTGTGTAACTTTTTTTATGATGCTCATGGTGACTGTGGTGGCTGTGACTGTGGTGGTGGTGTTGGCGTGTGTTTTTCCTGCTCAGTGTTGACATGAACAATCAGAAACACACGGTGTTCCTGCACAACGAAGACTGCTCCTCGCACTGCGGCAATGGTGTCACACGCACCCTTGTCCCTCAGGTACAGTGCGCCTAGAATTACCGGTGTCTTTTCTTGACTGTTCATCATGCAGCTTTTGCAGTGCTGGTGGTGGGGGGAGGCTCTTTCCTGGGCCACTGCTTGTTCAGTCACTACACCTTCAACGCAGCATGCATTCATCATGATTGCATAATTAGTTACAGTCCCACCTCGCTTAACCGCACACATCCGTTTTCCACTAAAATATCCGGATGGGCGAGGGAACCGGATAGCCGAACACCGGTTATTCTGGATGGCGAGGGATTCAGATAAAAAAAGGACCGGATATGTGAGGTCTGACCGTATCTGCCTTAGTAAGTTAGTTCTGTGCATGTCTCTTGAGTCTTAACCTAGGCACTTGCCCTCTGCTGTGACCATGAAGATGAGGCCACGAGAGGTGCAGAGGTGCATGGCTTTACTTGTACTACTGTAAAGCCCACGGTATTCATGCCACTGTGCTGTTGGGTACGGCCCTACCCAGTGCCAGGCTAGCTCACTTAACCACCTCACCGAGCTCTATTGGATGACCTGGTCCCTTGCACCGTTCACCCAGGTCTGTGTCCTGCCAGCAGCCGGTACTATTACCCCTGTCCTCGTCACCATTGTGTTGTCATGTTCGTTCTTGTCCATTCTACTCTGTGTGCAGGTGCTTGACATTGGCGGCCATGATGCCTTCGTTGCTAGTTTCTTTGACTTCAAAGGCGATGTGAGTACAGCTAGGAGCAACTCACAATGATTCGTTGATTCTGTTCTGCCATGTGTTCCCTATTCTCTTCCCTTCTCAGGAACGTCGGAAGATATTTTCTGGTAACACTGTCAGACCCCTGAAGTACAGTATATACTCCTGGCTTCTCTGAAAAACTTCGAGATTTCGAGTCTAAATCAGTGCCTTTTATTGATTCACGGGTACCTGGAACAAATAGTGGTACTGTCAATACCGTAGTGACCGTAGCGTGTCCGACGCCCCTGCTCCCCTGCTTCTCTCATGACAATTACCCCACCCCATCTCACCTATCACCTTGTATTCTTCAGGAGACTCTCTTTGATGAGCATCCGTTTGCCTTTGGGGAATTCTTGAAATGTCAATGTCAAGTTATGGTTCTGTACACATGATCAAGCTATGGTAACGTGCACCGCTGCTCCACCTGCATGGTAGACGTGTGTCCTAGAGCTGGGCTGCGGCTGCGTATTGTTGTGTGAAATGGTCCCTTTAGTAGGCATCTTCGCTCTACAACTACTTGAACTAGTCTACGGGTTGCGCATTGAAATGATGTAATGCTACTGTGCCGGTTGCTGTGCTGTTATTTAATACAGCTTTGCTCCACTTGTGCTCTGCGGTGTGTGCGCGCGCTCGGAAGGGGGGGGGGCTTGCACACGTGCTCATGCGTGCGTGCACTCGTGGGTGGGCGGGTGCGCACGGACGCGCATGGCCGTGCGTGCTTGGTGTGTTTGGACAGTTCGCAGACTCGCTTTCTCGATTATTGCAATTGCCATATCCGTGATGTAGCTGTATGCTCTCAGGAATGCTCATTGTCACGTTTTGTCTATGGCTACAGGGCATTCCTGACTTCCTGCTCAGCACCAGAAACGCGTCCAACAGCTCGGTGGGAATTCTCCAGCAGAGCAACGTCGAGCGCAACGCCTTTGTCAAAGTTGTCGGTACGTGTGCAATGTAGTGGTGTACATGTATTGCTAGTCACAGCTGCTTCTGAGATACCGGGACCATTCAGCGCCGAGACACCCGGATAAGAGAGGCTCCATTGTAGTGCTATAAATCCAGAAGATTTGCCATGAATTCTTAAGTCACAATTAATAGTAAGAACTCAGATTTATACAAAAGAGAAAGACCAAGGAACTACAAGTTACGCTATACTGTCCACTAACACCACCAGTTACTAAACAATCAGCTCATGCGATAACATCGCACGACACTGACCGATGGTACTGACGTTCTACAACTAACTGGCTAACAGCTCTAGCACATCTTGGATGCGCACTCCAACAGCCTTCCGACTTGGAAGGTTCTAAGTTATAGAAATAACATAAGGAGGGGAAGTACTCAGATAGTACTCAGATGGTGCATCCTTCTTAATTGATTCAGCCTTACTGATACGTTGGCGACAAGTGTCGATACAACGGTTGACGTGAGCAGAGCATTCGATATCTCGAGCTTTGTCTGTAAGCTTACTGAACTTCTTCAAGAGGAAGTCTTCATAGCATTTACCAGAAATCTGCTGTTGAAAAGCTGTCAATCTCCTATTCTGTTCATTGAGGATCTTATCACTTGTAGTTATACAAGATAAACACCAGGTGACATACCGTTCGAGGTCCTCAGGAAGCGGTTTGGAGAAATCATCAGAAGCGGCAGGAGGTAAAGGAGCTTGAGTCGTAGAGGTGAACGTGCCGTCGTCGTCGTCTGGGACGCGACTGCGCTTGGCTGCCGATTCACCTGTGTCCGTTGAGGGAGCGGTAGGCCGGCGCAGGCCAAGCGTATGGCCACCGCATTGGGGAGTTGCCATAGTTTGAGAAAACGGCTTTGAGGGAGGTCTAAAGTGACAAGATTGAGGGAGGTAGGCTCCTCCTACACAAAGCACTCATTTTCATTCACAAAGTCATTTGCAGTTGTTTTACTGGCCGGTTTCATACTTCAAAGAGTAATCACCAGAGTGATAGACAAATGACAAAGTAACACAAGTTATGCAAGAGCGGGCGAACTGTAATTGTACAAGTGGGCCGCCAAAACGCCAGGGGCCCCAAGAGCAATGGGAATCTATTCTACGGTGTAGATATTGAATCTACGGTGTACCAGGCAAGAATTGCAATGTAGGTGTGTAGGCATGCAATATGTTGTACTTATAGTACTAGTGTGCGTATTGTGATAAACGTAAACATGCAGGCATGCAAATGCTGTACTATACTACTACTACTAATGTATGTATTGTAAGTTTTGGCAGTGTCAAGTTTTGGCATTGTCAAATTTTGACACTGCCAAGATAAGAACGAGTTTTATTTGTGCCGGCACACCTCTGGTCCCGGCACATGCTTTCAGCGTCATCATTCGTGTGTTGTTTTTGAACAGAGTTAGCAGCTTGCGTGTTGTTGTTGTTGTTGTTGTCGTCGTTGTTCTTGCTGTTCTTGCTGTGTGTAGTGACAAGCTGTGTATCGACGAATACGTGTGTATCCTGGGTGAGTGCCAGTAGTACTGTACATGTCGTTGGTTGACAGCATGAAACAAAGGTGGAGGACACCGTTGACAGCATGAAACAAAGGTGGAGGACACCGTTGACAGCATGAAACAAAGGTGGAGGACACCGTTGACAGCATGAAACAAAGGTGGAGGACACCGTTGACAGCATGAAACAAAGGTGGAGGACACCGTTGACAGCATGAAACAAGGTGGAGCACACCGTGTTCAGAAACAGTTGTTTCATGCTGTCAAACCAACAACATGTGTGAACTAAAACAAGGTTTGCCTAATACTAGAACGGGGACATGCACGGACTAGCTGGGAAGACGATGTGTTCGTGGCACCACACTGCTGAGATGATAGGTATTCTAAAGGCCGATTCATACTTCATTTCGCGCACGGGAAACGCGTCGCATCGCGAAAAAGTTGATCTGAGCTCAACTATTTCGCGTACGGGAAAGCCATCGCGCGACGGACGCGCGATGACTTTCCCGTACGCGACATGAAGTATGAATCGGCCTTAAGCTGATTGTACCATCATTCTCGAGTACCTGGAGTTTTGTATCTTCATTACTATTCATCATTCTCTAGTAGTTTCTCGGGCTTCACTTTAGTGTCCCTGTTTTGTCAGTTTTTAATGAGTCAAAATCAGCTGCAGGCAAGTCCGAACTTAGGGTTGTGTTCTGTCTGAAGTCACCAATGTTGGCTGTGTCTCCGCTCCCCATCCTGTACCTGTTTGTGTCACCAATGATGCATGTGTTTGACGTGTTACTACATGATACAAGCCATATATCATGCGTACTGCCAGTCACATCCTTCAGTGCATGTCAGGGGCGTCGCACACGGTACAGTCACTACGTTATTGACCGTACCACTATTTGGCCAAAGTACCCTGTAAATCAAGAAAATGCACTGATTTGGGCTCTAAATTTCCAAAATTTTCGGCTCAGCCATCCCTCCCCTACGAGTGAATTGTACTTCGGATGGCTGACCGTACCACACTAAAATACCTTCCGACGTTGCCCCTGCATGTAGTTATATTTCCTCTTTCTCTCCCTCTTTGTTTGCTGCTGTAGCCTGGGACAGCTGTAGTCGGCACACGCGTGTCGTATAGCATGGCACAGCAGAGGTTGAACGACGTCACATCTTCGAATTGTAAGGGCTCAATGCACACACATACACACACACACACACACACACACACACCCACACACACGCGCACACACTCGCGTGCACACACACACACACACATGCACAATTTTCAAATCATTACATCTTTTTTAAAAGACATGAATTTAAAATGGTGGTGTGGAACCAGTTTTAAGTCTTCTGGTGTTGTGTAACGGCAAAGTGCACTGCATTCTGTGGTCAGGCAGTGTGCCTACGTGTATCTTTACTTCTTGTTCTGTTTTGTGATGACTTGCATACTCCAGTACCACTGCTATCTCAGGTCGGTACCATGACACTGCAAATGCCATCGGTGATCGTAGGCTTAGGGAGACCCATCACCTATGTTCGATCAATGTCGGTTGCCTTGCCATCGTTCCCTGGACAGGTATGCGCCTGACTATAGCTTGTGGCACTTTTAGTGTTGCTGCTGCTGCTGCTTCTGTGTGTGTGTGTGTGTGTGTGTGTGTGTGTGTGTGTGTGTGTGTGTGTGTGTGTGTGTGTGTGTGTGTGTGTGTGTGTGTGTGTGTGTGTGTGTGTGTGTGTGTGTGTGTGTGTGTGTGTGTGTGTGTGTGTGTGTGTGTGTGTGTGTGTGTGTGTGTGTGTGTGTGTGTGTGTGTGTGTGTGTGTGTGTGTGTGTGTGTGTGTGTGTGTGTGTGTGTGTGTGTGTGTGTGTGTGTGTGTGTGTGTGTGTGTGTGTGTGTGTGTGTGTGTGTGTGTGTGTGTGTGTGTGTGTGTGTGTGTGTGTGTGTGTGTGTGTGTGTGTGTGTGTGTGTGTGTGTGTGTGTGTGTGTGTGTGTGTGTGTGTGTGTGTGTGTGTGTGTGTGTGTGTGTGTGTGTGTGTGTGTGTGTGTGTATGGCTTGTTACAATTCGCATCATTTGGACTGCGTAGCTTTTGGAACCGAGATGTTTTTGGCAAAAGTAGTGGTCATTCAGATATTCTTATGTGTACATTTACTTAGGTAGGTTTTGCCTCCAACCACATGCTGGTTTAGCTAATAAGGTAGTCTGTTGAAGGCAGTCTGTTGAGACCTACAGTCCATTCATTGGAAACTGGCACCCTAACTTTTTGGTGTCTCCCACACATAGTTGTAGGTATCGTGAAAACAACAGTACATCCTGCATTGTGTGACCCGTGCAATTACTCCTTGCTACATTTGAGGCCAGAAAAGTCCAAGAACAGGGAAATAGAAATTCAGTCAGGTTTTACAAAATTAGGACAGGTATGCCATGGCAAAATGTATGGAGAATCAGGTCCAAAACCCAGATTTTTGAGATTTAAAGTGGGTTTTTGATCCTCAATTCGGCCCAAATCCGACTTTCAAAAGCCAGCGGGCCAGTTTCCGATGAATGGGCTGTACATGTACAAGTCAAGTTTCCGCTCAGTAAGCTGTTTGTCTGTGTGCACGCATTCCCTCCTGTGTATGCATGTGGTTTACTGGTTACAGCAGAGCTTATCACACCAATGGCCCGCCATCATTCCAAACTCCAAGGTCCTCATCGTTGCTAATCCAACCGATCAGCCGACGAAGTAAGCACTCGCAAGTCACTTTTGAAACCACTGTCAGGTCTTTGTCTGCTTCCGTCTTATGTAGCCATGAGGTGCTGATCTGCTCTAGTGTGCCATCTATAATTGATGTCTACCCATACCGCACACTGGCGCGTTTGTCCGACTTTGGAGGATTGCTGCTTATCTTTCGTGATTCAGTCGTGCACTGTTCCCGGGCCCCCGCCAGGGTCCACTTCACGAAAACGTAACAGCAAGGAGTTTGAACGGGGTGGGGGCATTATTAGGATGCTCCACGAACCCAATGAATTGTTGGCATTGTCGGATTTCATGATAGTGCATATCTGGCTAGTTTGACCATGTTGACAGTGGCTTAATTTTGTCAAGCGAAGAATGCAGTGATTTTCAAGAGTACATAGGTACAGCCAATTTATCCATAATGATTGGTTTTTGATAGATTCTCTTATTTCTAGCCGGTTATTTGGAAGAAATAATAGAGGAATATGGAGGTTTTGCATTTGAGTTCATGCATTCGTGTCAGGACAGTGATAAAGACACTATGCTCTGCTGTTTGTACACATGTACAACCAGTCAACGCCATGAAGATGTGAATTCTCTCTGCTGCTCCTCTCCAAAAAGTGATTTTTTGTCACTGAGTTTTACTTTCATTGGAGTGCAAACTTGAATGTAGAATTTGTCAGTTAGTGATTTGTTGATAAAAGTGGAGCAAACATTTCGTTACCTGCATGATTGTGTGTATAGCTTTTACACTATGTTTATTTGTGTGTGTGTGTGTGTGTGTGTGTGTGTGTGTGTGTATTTGTATGACAGATGGGAAGCACGGCTGTTGCTGAATGCCGGGCAGGCGGTGTGGCAGACGGCACTTGTCTTCACATGCACCTGTATCGTTTTAGCCCTGGCGTTCATCTTCCTTCATCGGCGTGAACAGGCAAGTGTACACAACACATGCATGCGTACATGTTCTGTTGCTGTACATACTCATGGCACCTATTCAGCCATCTTGTATTTATGTGGTCAATAGGGGCAAGGATGCCACTCTAGAATTCGATGTTATATTTGTAATACGAAAGTGGTTAAAGACCGAAAATCCCATTCACTGCACCCATGCTTCCCTCGTGCCAGTCCGTTCTGATGTACTCATCTCCCACCGCTTTAGTAGCTGCATCTGCACCTTGATCCTTGAGGGTGGTGGAGTTCCTACGGATGCGGAAAGCTCAGTCTCTAGCCGAGTCTCACGCGAACCGTGATTTTTTTGTAATGCCATACTGGCTTTGTTCATGTGTGTGTGTGTGTTTGTGTATCTGTACTGTACAGAAAGAGGACGAGTTGGAGCGGAAGGAGCAGTCACATCAGTTTCACTTTGACGCCTTGTAACAGCATTATTAGCAAGTTCCCGATGTAAGACTTCCTCAGTGTTAGGACCAGCAGTACTATCGTATCCTGTGAGTCCAGCCATCTTGAGATTTATATCATGCTTCTATAAGCATACTGTTGTGCCTAGAAACCCAGGATCAGTTATCTGATGACTGCCTTGCGGCATGAACGCTCGGAGTTACAACCAACCTGAACGTCCTCCGCTGAGTCCGCTATGTTCTAAGCTCTGTCTATGACATGGAGCACTCTCTGTAGCTCAGGGATCTCAGATTTATGATGCTGCTTCTCTATTATTTTTCAAAAGGTCCACAGAGGATCCACTTCGAAGTAGTTTCCATGGCACTGGCGAGGATCTAGTTGTCACGGCATTGATAGTTTGAATTTTTGAATTTGTCCGCACTTTCCCGAGTCACATGGTCCTATATTATCAGCCCACAGAACATCAGCAAAAATCTCAAAATAATTCTATCATTTTCTTATCCAGCGCGCCACACGGCCACAGGCCACAGGCTGTGTGACAGTGCAGCTGTGAGCACTGAGTGCCGGTCACTTACAGAATGACTGTGATCACAATGTGGCATGAATGCATGCAGCATAGTCCTGGTTTTATACTTGCGCAGATCAATCAAATTTAAAAAAAGTTTCTTCATTCGGGGCTGTGCCCTGGCACATGAACCTTCCATTGAAACTCACAATAAAAAATCAACACAGTCCGATTTATCACCCTAGCATAGCCGTTTCTAATTTACTACCATTTAAGATGTGTCTTTGACACTGTGTATGCTGCAAGCATTGTTATTGACTTCTCCATCCTGGGCCATGGACTGCTGCCCTGATAAATCTTATGGCGAGTCGTTCGTGTTTGCTTTGGCTTCAGATTTTGCAGATAGGCTTTTCGCTAGGCCTACATACCGCTCTTCATGCTTCACCGCAAGCGAATTATTTTTATGGCAATTATTGAGTTCTATGCGTGGTATAAAATATTTACAAAAAAAACTATGAAAAAAACTATGTGTGGTATTGTCTGTTAACCACCGGTTTCCTGTGAGATGTGAAAGTTAGACTCAGTACTACACTTGTAGTCTTTGTAATCGCCCGGGTCCGGGCGTTTTGTACCAGAGACCCCCTCCCCCCCCCCCCCCCTGTGTGCACGCTACTTTACAGCAGTGTGTCTGCTTTTTCTTATCACTAGATATCGCAGTGATAGGCTTTGAAATAGCTATATAGGACAAGGGACACATCCAGAGAAATGGTCCGCTGGAATTTAGCTGTGACTCAAAATGTCCTGCAAAACAATCACCAGGCAACTGATAACAGCTTTACAGCATGCTGTGTCAGCATCGGATAGCGGCAGCAATGCATCGCCGTCTGTTAGGGTATGGCCGAGCGGGATTGGGGATATCGTGTCCATATTGTTGGAAGCGTGCAGACCGGCAAGAAGCCAGAGAAGAGGGAGCACGTCTTTAGTGAGATGGAAAGAAAAAGAGACAGACGGAGACAGAGAGGTCATGTAGGTGCAGACCCAGGCTCATGTCTGGTGGTCATTTTGCTGATCACCACCGTGGATATACATACACGTTGTTGGAGCATTTGCTCGCAGTTGTCCTCAATCCTCATGCCGTGGGGTACAAGTACTTGGATTACATGTACTGCCTCTGGACATGTTCAGTGGTGATCATGACTATACAGACTGAACCACAATCATTACTTTGTTGTGCGCATTCGCCATTACATCATAATCTGCGACTCTGGCGGCGCATTGCACGTTAGCCTCCATATGATATACTGTGGCCCCATTATAATATTAATCCGGCACCATTTGTGGTATGGAGATTGTGCTGGATTAGGGAGAGTGTAGATTAGATTTATTGGTGCCGCGGGCATGAATAGGGCATTCTGGTCACTGAAAAGTGTGCTGCTTTATTGAGGGTGCTGGTTTATCAAGGCCCTGGAAACCTCGTTGAGTCCGACGGTTCCGGTCGGTTGTGCTGTAAAAGGTAACTGAACGACGTAAAATTGTGAAAGGCAGACCGATACATGCATCTGTCGATCTCTGTGCTCACACTCACAGATTATGTAGCTAGCTTGACCTCTGCTTGGCAACACGTGATGGAGTGTTTGTTCAGTGTTTGCCTTTTGAGGCTAGGCGAATGATGTCATTGTATTATGCTTTGCATGGAGTGGTGAACCATAGCGTGTGATGTCACCATGGTCTCTCCATACAACAACACCACCACCACCAACAACAACAACAACAATAACAACAACAACAACAACAAGCGGAAAGAAGCGATTCCGAATGGTTCGACTATGAATTGAGTAAAAAATACTAGTAGGTTGCAAGCAAATCATGACGAGTGCTGATTTCCTCGGCATGTCAGTTCCTGTACATGTACACAGCTGTGTTCATCTACTGTGCATCATGTTCATGTTGTTGGTTTCATTACAATGTCATGTCCTTGTTATTGATGATGTTGTTTGCATAGTGCTGTCATTGTTTTGCAATAGATACTGTATTACGCCGTGGTAGTATTGTTTCGTTCCGGTCGTGGATACACTTGGTAGTTTAGCATTTCTCAGATACAATACTGAACATTTTCTTCAATGGCCGAGAGCTCTGTCGCACCCTGTAATATTATGGTGGAGGTAATACGATACTGTAGCTGATTGATGAGTCCAAAATGGCCAACCTAAACGCTGTCTAAACTGTCCCTCCAGGAAATCGCGATTCCACGGATGCAACAAATTTCGCGATTTTGGCCCAAACCCGCGATTCTCAGCAAAATCCGCGATTTCCCGCGTTTTCTGTTGTTTTCTGCACTATATCTCACATTTTTTCCACTTTTCACGCAGTTATTTTCATGATTCTGTAGGTTATTTGTACAGTACGACTCTCGAGTAGATATACGATGCAACAAATTTCGTGATTTGGCCCAAATCCGCAATTTTCAGCAAATAATTCCGCGAATTCCTGGCAAGTTCTGCATCATTCCGCACTTTAAGTTCTGCATCATTCCGCACTTTTCGTCGCATTTTTTGTAACTTTCTGCCGCAATTTCTTGCGCAAGGTTTCGAGAGTTTTTTCCGCAAATTCCCGCAGGGACAGTCTAAAGCTTTGGAATCTGGAGATTATTGATGTGAAATTGTGCACATCAGGTTATCAGGTACAATAGTGTAACCATGGTAACAGTACTAACAAACCATCACAAACAATTGAAACATCTTTGCTGACGTCAATTATCATGATCAAGTCATTCGATTCAACATTCATCTGAGCTAGCTGAGGCACAGCAGTCAGCAGTGCTAGTGTGACACTGACATTACACGGTGCAGTCGTCCAGCACTTGGCAGGGGTACGCACTACGCGGCAGGAGTGGCTGGGATCGCGTGAGCAGATCGAATTAATAATTATTTTTGACTCGTTTCCCACGCACGTGGCTGCAGTCAGCTTTTCTTGCCTTGACTTGATCGCCAGCCGGCAGTCTGTAGCTTGAACATGAAGCGCGTGGCAGCTTCGCTAGACGATTCTGTGATGTGTGTCCTTGTGACTTGCATGTCAGATGCTCAGTTGGAACAAGAAGTCGAATGATTTTACTTTAGTGAAAACACACACACACACACGCAGTTATTACTTTTCAGCGATACAGATAATTATAGTTAGCGTTGCTGCCAGTCGTGTCCATCTTCGCTGTGTACAACGCACAATGGCTAGTATTGTGCGCTCCGAGTTGGTTGATGTGCTCGGCACCACCCCAGCGAATGCACTCGATTTGTCCCGCACCGAGGGACCGAACAAGATCTTTAGCGTCAACGGCGAGAGCCGCGAGTTCCATGTGAATTATTCCGAGCAGGGTGTTGCGTATGGTGAGACGGAGAAGACTTCTGTGTCGGTCGTCCACGCCGTGAAGTTATCCGGAGGCGAGCGACGGATCGCAGCTTACAACCTATCTGCCGCGCCCGTCGAGCGGTGGGGCATCAACTTTCCCGGAGTTTTGCAACTGACAGTGGCAGGCAGCGATGCCGCGGACAGCAGTCAGATCTACTTGCCCGGTGTGCGAATGTATGACCCCACCGGCAGGACAGGTAAGAACAGCAACTATTTGTTACATGTGGTCGTACATGTACTGACAGACCTGACTCCATTGCCTGATCTGAAAGTGCATGCATTGAGACAGACTAGTTGGTGTATGTAGATCTACTAAGTATCTAGAATACTAGAGTGCTGGCAACTGAAATCCGACCCCCTGAGCGGTGCGCTCACATCGCAAAGAATGTGAACCCACCGCTCAGGGGGTCGGATTTCAGTTGCCAGCACTGTAGTAATGTGTTTGACTGTATCAGGGTGCTAGCTAGCATAGTGACCCGAGTCACATGACCTACAGTTGTGGCGAGTGAAATCCGGACAGCGGACCGATGTACCGGTACATGTGTTTTGAGTACATTTTCAGCGCTGTGGCGTGGGTCGGTTGTTAATGACTTCATGTACGTCTTGCTGAGCAGTCTAAGACGCGGAGACCACGTATGTACAGCATCATGCGGTCCGGATATCACTTGCCATGCGATAACGCTAGAGCAACAGCCATTGAGGTACGGAGTCGTCCGCGGCAGTGCCTCGCGTCCGTGCAACCGTGGCATGCAAGCCAGGCACGTTGTCAGTTGCAGCGTGTCAGGCCACTTTAGCTAAACATCACTCCCGACATCATGCCGTTGGGAAGTTAAGGTGAAGCATGGTTCACGTACATTTCCCAAACCCTGAGACCGGTGTCGTTCTCTGGCGTATCCTAATGCAAACAGCCACAGCAACATATCCTATTGAACTCTAACTCATACCATTATCATAATTATGTTGCACGGAAGAATGTTACTGGTACGTGTATGCATCATGGACTATGTGTTGGCCCAGTGGCGCATGGAATTCACTATAGGCTTGTTTGAGACTGTGTTCCAAGTTCGCGCGGTTTAGTGCAGGGGCGTCGGAAGGTATTCGACATTGGTGCGGCCGCATGAGTAGGTGGGGGTCCGACCTGGAGTCCTCCCCGTAAAAATGTTGGAAATTGGACCCAAATAGCCCATATTTCATTGCTTCAAAGTCACAAGATAAAATTATTGGTGCGGCTTTGGCCGGACCTGCTGCACCGGTTCCGACGCCCCTGCAGTGAAAACGTAGAGCGCCGTTCATGCTACACTCTCAGGCATCACCGTCGGTGACAACGCCTTGGCACAAGTACAATACACACTGGGTCGCATTGCCAGCTAGCAGCGGGAGAGTCATCCCTAGAGCTGGTGTGTACTGGCTACAATTGAGCTGAGCCGATTATAAATGAAAGATTGCCACAACTAGTATGCGAAGCCGGTTGTGTTTCTCAACGTAGCCGTTTGTAACATGGATGTGTGAATTTTACATTCTTTTACATAATATGTTGCTGCTGCTCCTGATCATGATGGCATTGTGTGTGTGTGTACATGTGTCGTTATCAGGTGATGCGCATGCAAGCGAGAGAGTTGGCCCCAGCTGCGCTGCCTTCCAGACAGCCGTCACTGTCATAGAGCTGGCTGCCGCGTATCACGGAGCGTCGCTGCAGGAGCTGCGCGAGGTTCACGAATCGTTTCGGTCCTGCGTCGTGCGCTATCATGGTAGAGTGGGACTGTTTGACTGGATGTTTCAGCAGGTAAGGTTGTGTGCTGTGTCATTTACAGTACTGTCGGGTAGCGCCGAAGAACGACCAGGCTAGAATTTCACCAAGCACAGCATACCAATGTATACACGGTGACTCAACGGTGCATAGACTGCAGTACACGAAAATAAGAAAGGCTTGGGCTGCGGGGCTGACCCCCCAGTTCTTCGGATCCTGACAGTTCTGTACTTGTATAGTATACCCTAAGCACAGTGACACTTCAGTACACTATACATGTAACGTATTACTACTGTTCTGGATGGCAATCGCCAGTCAGTCAACTGTCAAGTCAAATAGGCAGAAAAGCGTGAGCTCCCGTGCGGAGAGCAACCAGCTTTCCTAGAAATGATTGTCCAAGTGGCTACCACTACTGTAAACCCTGAAAGGTTTGCGTCAGTTTTAGTTCGAGATTTGCGAGCACAGACACATTGCACCTGGAGATGTTTGTGATTGGAGTCAATTAGTGAATTTACTCAGTTTCTTTGCTACAATTCTACGTTTCGCGCCGGGTTACTTTTGCGATGTTATACCCATCGCGGGAGGATGCCGGATCGCAAAGGTTTCTGGGTTTACTGCATCTCGAATTGATGATAATGATCATGCTTAACGCAATGCTTTACGTGCACGTTCTTCTTGTTGCTGCTGTGGGATAGATTGAGGATGTGGTCTACTCGAAGAAAGCAGTCACGCCGTTCTCCGACTTTGCACGTGTGATGGTTGATGAAGGCAAGCTGGACGGGTCGTCCGATGAGTCAGAGCACACCATGTAAGAACAAACTTCATTGCTTTCTTTTGAGTTTTTTAGTGTAGGTTTATGCACACACCGAGTGCCGTCATATGCCTTTTCGCTAAGCTACCAGCACTGAAGCACCATTGGAATACTGCAAAAGCCTTATATATAACGAAGTGCTAAATCGATACTTTCATACTGTTGCTAGTGAGCGCTGAGGAGTGAGAATCGTTACCTTTGGTACACGTAAACTGGTCAATTTTAGGAAATTATTATATTTGCGGGTCGTTAGAATACTGTAAAAGCCATATATATAACGAAGTGCTAACTCTTACGAGTTAACGAGGAGAAATCTGTCGTTAAAATAGAAATCGTTATACAGAAATCGATACATATCCTGTCCTATTGAGCGTTGAGAATGAGTGAGAATCGTTACCTTTGGTACACATAAACTAGTCAATTTTGGGAAATCGTTATATGCGGCGCCTCGTTAGAATAATGGCTTTTACAGTAATGGCTTTTACAGTAATCCCTGCCCACGCTGACTAAAAGCGAATGCAGCGCGATATCAAGGTTACTATTCTCGTCATCCTCACCATCCCTACTACCATCATCACTGTGCATAGCTTTCACTACTACAATGTAGCATGTACCGTCAAACCTGTTTTATAAAAGGTGACCCCTGCTCCAAAAGACCACTGCAACTTTAGGAGGAAAGGATGGTACTTCCAGTCCAATGACCCTGGATATTGGAGAGGAAGATTGCCTACCTGTACACGGGGACCAGACTTGTAAGGTCCCTTCAGCGGCCCGCTTAGCCGGTTTGCACAGTACACTATCATTGTTGTGTGTGCATGTCTTGGACCAAAATAGTACTTAAGTACATGTTTTGTTTCTACATTTTGTATCACAGGGTATACCTCAGCAAGCTAGTGGCTCCACCGGCGTACTACCGCAAGGTGAAAGCTAAGGACAATGTGGACGACGTCGTTCGGCCGGAGGACCGCGCAAAGTTCGACTCATTTCTGTGAACAGCCTACAACTAACATCAGTAACATGCAATCTGTGCCATGGCACAAGGTTGCCTGTAAATTAATAAGAGTGATTAGTCTTATTACTTCAAGTACTGAGCATTGAGCGGTTGAGCATGAGTAACTGCCTTGCAGCTATACCCATATTTTTACTATAGATGCTGCTAACACGGCTGGTTATGCCCATAATCATACGCACTATAATATAATTATGCTAGTGCTGCCGGTTATTTTCAACAAGCAAGGCCCCTCTTACACATTGGCTTTTTGTTGATGGGCTGGCTAGCTTGAACGTTGACATGGACTAATAAATAAATCGCTTGTTAGTAGTAGCAGTGAGTTGTTGGGCAGGCGCAGCAGTGAGATCATCTCCGCCCCGGTATAGATTTTTTGCAGGCACTAAGTGTGTGTAGCCGTAGCACATCGTGCAATACGATTGTTTCAGTTGGTGGATATGTAGACATACAATTCTTATAACCTCACTGGAGATCCTTCCATTGTCTAACGTTAGTGAATAACTGCATATCAAATTAATGTGATAAACAGGGTAAATGTCTGTATTTTAACACCAGTATTTCACCCCGAAAAAAGTCGGTGCGGCTCATTCTACGATGGTCAAATTATGTAATAAACAGGGTAAATGTCCGTATTTCGTGACAAAAAAATCTGGGTGCGGCTTATACTAGTACTCCGGAAAATACTGTAGCAAGCTATGTGCTCTCTCAGTCGTCGCAGGCCATCGATAATAATTTTTTTATTAGTCACACAGATATGCCCATGAATGGTAGAACACTGTGTTCCAATTCCTCCAGACTAGCCTGAACATGTGATTGGTTAGGCGACAACCCAGGCACACGGTGTATCACCCATGCACATGCACACCGGATTTCTCGCACATATGGTGTCACCGTATGTTTGAGTCACCCTGCTGTACATGCTGCTGCATTTGAGTCACCCCATTGTACGAGTACACGCTGCTAATTTGAGTCACCCCGTTGTACATCACGACCCAGCTGCAGCGGCCGCTGGTCAGCCCACGCCCACACACAACACCACATGGGGGAACGGTGACGTCGTTTGCCTGTGCGGCAGAGCGGCAAGAAATCCAATCTATTTTTTTTACACTATCTTTGAAGATAGAGAGCACTTAAAAAATACAAGTGCAAATAGCATGATACAAGCAATACCTAATAGACAACTAGGGCTGGAGTAGGTCTAACCGGGAAAGAAACAAGAGGTTACGAGGAATGAGGGCACGGGGGATAACAGCAACGACAACATTGCACATAGTGAGGATTTTACACCGACAGTGGGAGAAAAATGTTTTAATTTTGCCAACCGAAGCAGCGGTAGATTTAGATTTCCTGTTAGAGATTAACATTTGCAGTTGGGGGATGGGGGCTTCTGTTCGGTTTCGTACTCGCGGTAGCATCGAGCAATATAGAGAGCATAGCAGGGATACTACTAAGGCGAAGTTCAAAGGGCTTTGTCAGGCGTTGTGTTCGCTCATGTTGCACGATGGCGAAGCAGAAATCGCACCTCAACCACCCACTATGGTAACTATGGTAACGTGTACATGGATGTAGCCCGTCGTAGACAGGACGCGGCGGCAAAAGCGCCAGCAGCAACTCGAGCAACGGACAGCCGCAGTAGCAGCAGCAGTGCTCGCCTAGCTCGGGGGGAATGGCCGCGCACGATGGACTGGCACACTGGCGGATACTAGCGCAGCACAGCAATTGGTGAAGCACAAGGTGTAAGTATGGGTGCATGCATGTATGTATGCTCAGGATGACACCACCAGAAGCTGCAGTGGCTGCGGCGAAAAGCATCCGCTCCGCATGTGTGCGTCAGTGGTGTCCTCGACACATCCTAGCAGCAGCAGCAGCAGTAGTGCCTGCCACCAGAGGCACAGGTCGAGGCTCTGTCGAACTGATGTGCACGCTTGGGGCATTGTGGTGGCGGTGGCGTATTTTGCTAAAGGAAGGCAGCGACGCAGCGGACAATACTAATAAACAGGGTATGCGTGAACGCTGCTGTTGGCCAGTCAAAGGAAATTAAAATCTAAAAAAATCTCAGTGAGCCGTGACAGTGAGTGATGCATGATCACAGCGGAGTGGTACGCATGAAAGAATACTTTTGTTAGGAATTGTTGTGCGTGCGTGTGTTTGTAGGTGCGCGTGTGTGTGTATATGCGTGTGTATGTTACGGGCGGTAGTGTGAGTGAGTGCGTAGGTTGTCTCCTGGCTGACTGGCATGATGTGCTCTAGTCTACTGTGGTGGACTTAGCAGCCATTCTGCCATTCTGACAGTCTCTCTAGTACCGCCGTGGTGCTACTGGCGGTGGCTTCTCGTCATCCTGCACACATATTATACACACACAGACACACACACATCATGAGATCAATTCATACTGCTCCTCACGCTAGCAATGTCAGTATGATATTAGTTAGCACAAGGCTTGTGCCTAAAGCGCGCGCGCGCGCGCGTGCGAGAGAGAGAGAGAGAGAGAGAGAGAGAGAGAAAGAGAGAGGGGGGGGGGGGGGGGGCTCGAGGTCTACTTACATCATCGTCAGGCATTTGGTCTCTGTACGGCCCCATATTGTGATACTGGCGTGGCGGGTTGGCCATTTGCGATTGTGACGAAGGCGTGCTGCGCTGCGTACTTTGACGAGCACTGGCACCACCACTGCAACAACAACAACAACAACAGCAGCAGCAGCAACAACAACAACAACAGCAACAAAGACAACAACAAGAAAGAAAACAAGCTGAGGAGACACATTTCGCCGGCACAGCTGAGGAGACATCCCTCACAAGAGTATAAGGAGGTATGCTGTGTTATTGACGCTAATAATTGTACAGAATTTTCAGGTCTCCGTCTTATATACATGTATTATCGGTAGGGCTGAGTCGGGTAGCATTTTCTTCGGGTATCGGGTCCGGGTAGTTTTCCACGGGTAGCACGGGTACCCGATCGGGTATTGTTCCCATGGTAAGACCACAGTGCACACCGGCCCCTTCCCTTGCGCACTGGGCCATGGGTAGACATGCGTGAATTGTAGACCTCTCTCTCTTCTCTTTCTACATGATGTCATCATGGTCATCTGCGACTTCGGGTACGATTCGGTACCCGTCTACCCGAGGTCCTCACGGGTAGCACGGGTACCCGACTACCCGTGCACACCACTAATTATTATCGGTGCATTGATACGCCACATTCGACCTCCTTGTACCCAGGGTGTTGTGGAAAAAGGGGTAACTCATATCTGGAGAAACAGGGAGTACCATATTTTCCAGAGTGTAAGCTGTACTGGAGTACAAGCCACACCCAGGTGTTTTTGTCACGAAATGCAAACAGCTGTCCTGTTTATCACGAAATACAGATATCTACCCTGTTTATCACGAAATACAGATATCTACCCTGTTTATCACGGTTACAGATATCTGTCCTGTTTATCACGGTTACAGATATCTGTCCTGTTTATCACGGTTACAGATACCTACCCTGTTTATCACGGTTACAGATACCTACCCTGTTTATCACGGTTACAGATATCTGTCCTGTTTATCACGGTTACAGATATCTGTCCTGTTTATCACGGTTAATTTGACCATCGTAGTATAAGGCACACGGACTTTCTTCGGGTGAATTACTGGCTAGTATAAAGTGTGGCTTATACTCTGGAAAGTACGGTGTATGATATATGTCTGCCTATACAGTAGTATGCAAACATGTCCAAGACATTGCTGTATAGTTATGTACCTTGCTCCCACAGGTGTGACATTGGGAATGGGCATGGTGCTGCCGAGCGGGTACTGCAGATTGTCGTAGACCGGGCCGCTCTGCTTGTTCTGGATCTCGGCATGTATGCGCGTCCGCAGCGTCTCAATGTGGTGCATGACGGCCATGTAGACAAACTTGTACTGCGCCTCGGTCTGCACCATGCCAGAGCGCTGCGCGCGCACATGCTGAATGGTCTTCTGGATATCTATCTCGTAGTCGATACCTGGTCATCAATGATGTACAGTGCACACGCACACACACACGCGCATACGCAGAGAGACAGGCAGGCAGGCAGACAGACACAATACCCGTATTGATTTCTGCTCAATTACGCGTACACTACAAACACCGGCAGAGAGACTGAAACTCACAGTCCGGAGCCAGTCCAGCCAGCCAACGCTGTCCAGGCACGTAGGTATGACTACTAACTGACTAACTGACTGACTGACTGCAAGGCACTGTGATAGTACATACTGCACGCTTCAGTCTAACCGTTACGAGAATGCTAATCGGCATGTGTGCAGTCAACTGTCAAACCCAGCACCACACGATGTACAGACTGTAGTAGCAATCCGCAGCAAGCATTACAAACACATACAGAACTACAATGTTGAACTCGGATGGTGAGCCAACTGACTGTATATGATTCGTATATGATCTGGTTACGTTGGTGGACAGTTAGTCATAACTCGTAACATTTTGTCCTTCACCTTTTTTTACCAGAACTACAATGACTTACCATACTTCTGTATTACGTTGAGTAAGATGTCGATGACGATGATAGTACCCGTTCTGCCTATACCAGCACTGTTGTGGTGTACAGTTGTAGCGATAAAAAGAGCACAGTTCACAGTTCACAGGAGAGAGAGAGAGAGAGAGAGAGAGAGAGAGAGAGAGAGAGAGAGAGAGAGAGACAGAGAGAGACAGAGACAGAAAGAGACAGAGAGAGAGAGAGAGAGAGAGAGAGAGAGAGAGAGAGAGAGAGAGAGAGAGAGAGAGAGAGAGAGAGAGAGAGAGAGAGAGAGAGAGAGAGACAGAGAGAGAGACAGAGAGAGAGACAGAGAGAGAGAGAGAGAGAGAGAGAGAGAGAGAGAGAGAGAGAGAGAGAGAGAGAGAGAGAGAGAGAGAGAGAGAGAGAGAGAGAGAGTTGGCACACACAAAAGACAGAAGCACATGTTGACACATTTCAACAACACCGACTCAAACTTCACTCTAGCATTGGGTAACCATATCCTGTCTTTGATAACCTGGTGGTGAATCAGATAATCTCATCTTCCACCAAGAGAGAGGAGCCTCTTACTCTGCGAGACAAACTGGCATCATAACAAACATGTCAAATAACTGTCTACTCGAGTTATTATTTTACTAGCACTGCAATACCATAGGGCAAACGAGGTATCTTCTGGCTGCCTCACCTGCAATGTACAACCATTGGTCCTGCACCCTCCGAGCGCCTCTGTGTGTTGTTGACGTCGTGTAGGAAACTCAGCACCACGCCAGGCTTCTCGGGCACACCGTGATCCGGCCATGCCTTGAACTGGAACTGGTAGATGGTACGGACACGTGGCGGAGACTGCGTGCAAGCACAGCACAAGTTTGACAGCACAAATGAAACGGGAGCAAGCAACGGCGATGGGAAAGTGTTATCGGCATCTGCGTGTGTGCGTGTGTGTGTGCGTGTGCGCAAACACGGTCAAATCTACACTGGTTAAAGACTTAGCCAACACCCAACACCAGAGTGTGCTCAGCCAGTTTCCGTGCTAAAACTACGCACGTACGCACGCACAGACACAGGCACACACACACACACACACACACACACACACACACACACACACACACACACACACACACATGTGCCGCATCAGAGCACCCACCTCTTGCGTTTTCGCCTCGAACTCTCGGAGGATGTAATCAGCCTGGACGGTCTCCTTCAGGTTGGTGACAATGAGCCTGCCGATGGTGCGTGATGAATCCACATCCGGCCAATAACGAGTACATTTGTTCTGTATTGACAGAAACAGTTGGGAAAACAGCAGCACCACGCCACAGCATTTTTATTATATTTATTTTTTACAAATATTGTTTTTATTCCATTTCTCATTTTTCATTCGTGTTGGGTTTAACTACTCACTGTACTGATACATGGTGATGATTGTGCTTTGCTTTGCCCGTAAAAGAGGCCTTCCCTATGCCATAGCATAATGAAAACAGCACCATGCCATAGCATAATGAACACAAAGATCATGTGAGTGTGTACGGGTGTGTCGCAACTTGCGACTCTATTTGACACACACACACACGAACACACGTGCCTGCAAGCACACTATACGAGTAGATCTACATGCACTTTGTACACCATACGGACACGGGGGAATGCATGGGGTGGGGGTGCTTGCAAGTATAAAGTCACCGTAAGCACTCCATTCGTGTCAAACTGACAGAAGAGATACATCTGTGTCCACGAGCACGAACAGTTATCAAAGCAGACTTCTTCATTGCAAGCAGCACTACAGAGACTCAGAGTTTATCAGTTGCAGTCACAGGTACACAACCACAGCGTGTGTGCATGCTCAGAGTGCGCTTACACGGCCCCGCTCCACCTCGTTGGTGGTCATGACAATCACGCGAGAGTTCTCCTGCCAGACCATGCGCCAGAAGTCCACCACCGTCCCGGGGAGGCAGCCCTGCGTTGCCACGTACGACGTGTTGGCAGAGTTGTCGCCGGCCGGCGTGCTCTCAATCTAGACACAGCGCGGCAATGCCACGGGCAAGGACAAGAGCAAGGACAGAGCAGGCAGTCAGACATAACGTTATAACACAGTGTAATGAATCACCGCGTGCGCAAGCACTGTTCTTTTCGGTCTTGTTCCCACACAAGGCAATTCAAAGGAGCTGATGCTAGTTAAGCAGATACACCCACATACACCTGTACATTTTCCAAGGATGAACTTCAGTACTCACACCCATGCATGTTTACTTCAAGTACGTGCACATGCTGGCATGATATTCTTTAAAAAACAAACATAACTGCTACAGTCTTGGAGAGTCAGAAAGCCCGTTTGTTGCGTATGCAAGTTAGTCATAATATATCTATTACACCGTTTGCTACTGTATTGCGCATGCTCGCATATCGTTGTTGTTGTTGTTGCTTTACCTGACCAAGAGTAATGTCTTCCAAATGCTAAGTTTGTGCGTGCCAGTGAGAATGCATGAATGTAATGGTATGTTAGTCCGCAAGGGGACATAACACCGTTCCACATAGGCAAAACTTACCACGGCTGTAAGCGACTGTTGACAGCGTAAGTAGTCGGAGCATGGACAAACCAAACACACATGCGCACACGTATGCACCCATGCACCCATGCACACACACACACACACACGCACGCACACACACACACACGCGCACGCATAAAGAAACATCAAACTGGCTTGACCTAAATTCATCTAACATTGATAGCCTGCGCACACTGTCATGGATATGGCAATCCGGTCGAATGACCAGGGCCGGAGCCCTCAGTGTGTACAGAACGTTGCATGCAGTGCACATGTTGATGGAAACACCCATAAACAGATGGTACAGGGCCGGTCATCCCATTTTTGGTATTTTTGACACGACTGTGTTGAAAGTCGATTCCAGTGCCAAGGGAGCTAGTCTGGTCGATGACGTGTAAAGTGTTTCCAACTGGATAGCTTTCGTACAAAAGACAACAGCAGTCGCCAATGGCTAAGCTTCGCGGAAACCCCCCAAAGAGAACAGAGAACTTCACCACCACGTGTGCATGATTGCAAGGAGAGATTTGCAAAGAAGCAATCGTGTTGTAATCAGAAAATTAATCTGACGGCCCCAAGTGGTTCTGCATCATGGCCTATTTCTGCTATCCGCTTGCACACCTATTCCATCTGAGACACTCTGTTCTCAGTCCTTGCTTCCATACCTCACTCGTTATCCGGTTTACATCTGGCTGCGGCCAACTACCCTTCAATTTGTGTGTTGTCGCTATTGCTGTCTATGTCTCTGCGCGTGCCAGCATATGCGGAGCGAGAACGAAATTTACCCGAATATGCATTTCTCTATGGGTAAACGATACTATCCGGAAGAGGTGGAGGCTGGTGTGACAGCCAAGAGAAAAGCTGGAAGTGGTGCTCAGCCCACACTAGGCCCTGGTGGACTGCAGCACGTCAAGCAGTTTTGTAGAAACAACAGGTATTCTAGCAGCGAGAAAGCCAGTAGTGCCGCCGACTTGGCTAATGTCTGTCCAGCAGGTGAATCAGTAGGTGCTAGGCAGGTGAGACGGTGCCTATCACAAACCCACCGCTTTGGCCGTCCGCATGGGATATCCGTCCTCACACAGGCACACAAGCTCCACAGTTTTGCGTGGACAATCATCCACCAGGACCACGACTTTGAACGGACAGTATTCGCCGACGAAGCTTGCGTTTCTGCCGGCCCCGACAGCCGAATCATGTTTTGGTTTCCTCACGGTGCTGTGCCCGTTGTCGAACAGTTGCAACATTTGGCGAAGGTGCACGTCCTCGGTGCTGTGTCTCGGTTTGGCACAGTGGGCGACCGGGTGCATGCCAACACATGGAACGCGAACACATTTTCTGCCGGAATGGAGCAGTAGATCATCCCATCCATCAGCGAGTTCTTCGGCAACAACCGGGAGCTGCAGTTGGACAATGCGACTGCTCATCGTTCACTTAACGCGCAACAGCACATCATCGACCACGGCGCGCTGACCATCACATTTCAGCCTGCATGTTCACCGGATCTGAACCCGACCGAGAATGAGAATATTCGGAATTTGCTGAAGACGAGACTTCAGATATCGCCGATCTAGTGCCACAGATCATAATCATAAGCGATGACGATGACGATGATGAGCAGCAGCAGCAAGCACCACCACCACCACCAGGACCAGCACCAGCACCACCACAACAGCCACTACAGCAGCAGCTTGTGGCGTACGAGGAGGTGGTGGTGCTCAAAAGAGAGCTGATGGATGATGGAGGACTGGTGAAGGTTATGGTCTTGACCACTAAAACCTTCAGATACAACTGGCGGTACACAACTGCCAAACTGCGAATCAGCTGTGCAAGGCCCTGGATCTGGAGTGGGGAGCACTGCAGCCTGCCGATGTGGCGAGTTTCGCCGCATCCATACCGAACCGTCTGCAGGGCGTCATCACTAATAATGGTGGTCACACCGAATATTAGCCCAGCTTCCTGGCTACTGCAAATTAAGAAAATCAGAACAGAACTGTGTATTTTCCCTCTCTGTCTGTCTGTCTTCTTCTGTGTTTTTCTTGGTGGAAAGTTCCCGCACGTAGAGTTAATCATTTCCCGCAATGTGCATTGGCACGTGTAAAAATCCGCGCCAAATCTGTAGTTCACGAACACAATCCAAAAATGGACCAGCGCTGCAGCGCATGAATGAATGTGTGTACCGTACGCGTGTTCACGGCTGCACAGCCAGCGTCTGGTTCTAATTGGTTGTTTTCGACACCCTATTGGTCCGGTGCGAGGTCATTCGCAGCACCCCTCTTTCCTGCTTGCTGCACTTCGTATGGTTTGGTACGTGAGCACAAACTCACCTTGCCTCTTGTCGTTTCCGCCTCTACAGTTTCAGTTTCCAATAAACAGTGCCGGTTGGAATCCAGGAAAGGCATTTTGCTAAGATCTCAATCGGTATAGAGTTCTTTGCAACACAAAAAAGCAAAATCTGGCGAGTGTCGGTTTCGTTGCCAAGCATTGTGACGCCTCTACTGTGCCGGTGTAAGCTCTAAATCTACTTAGAAACGTTGTGTATTGTATTAAATTGCATGCGAGCCCCCAGCCACCTTAGCATAGCTACACTTGCACCTATAAACCGACACCAAGACAGACGACGACGTACCATGATATGATTTGCGTTGATGTAGTCGCTCGTCGATTCGTTGACCGTCTGATCCTTCAGGATAACACGTGTGTGGTCGACTGTCGGACAGGCAGGCCATAAAAGGAAACACACACACACACACACACATACACACGCACACAGATAGAATGGTATGGTATCTTATACCAACCAATGCACTAGCTGCTAGTGTGCTATGACAAAATCGTCAATGCGTATTCTTCAAAACCAGAAATCACACGTGCACACACACACACACACACACACACACACACACACACACACACACACACACACACACACACACACATGTGTACCGAACATACATTTGCCAGCCTATGTACTAGTATGTACGTGTATGTACACGTGTATGTGTATGTGTATGTGTATGGGTATGTGTATGTGTATGTGTATGGGTATGTGTATGGGTATGGGTATGTGTATGGGTATGGGTATGGGTATGTGTATGTGTATGGGTGCCCAGACTCCAGAATGAGACTTACACGGTAGGATATTCTTGTAACGGTTTTTCGTTCTATTGTCGGGATGTGCGCCCTCCTTTCGGCTGTACAGAAGTTTAGTTTCTGAGTTTTGAAGTTGCTGTAGAGAGAGGAAAGACAGGAGAAAGAAGAGAAAGAGAGAGAGGGAAGGAGAGAAACACAAACAAATTAATAACGTCCTCAAACCAAGACCTGCCAACACGGAAAGTCAGATTCTACAGAACCTGCTGTGCTAGTTGCCATCCAGAGATGGAAGCCACCACTCGGGTGTACAGCAAGAGGGTAATGAGTGGTGCGGCCAATGGAGGTGGGGTGTCTAGAGACCTCCCCTGGAGAATTTTGAATATTGCTATTGCTTAATTCTAGCCACCTGTCACAAAACCGCAGTCCAGCTAAACGGGACCGGCTGAACGAACCGCTTGCCATGGCCCTATCACTTACATCAAACTCCTCGAAGAAACCACCCTTGCCGTACGTCTCGGCGTTCTGCTTCGTCAGCTGCGAGACGCGATCCTCAATTCCGGTAATGCTAAACTTGGTTGCGTTGTACGGCTGCAGGGCAGAGAGTGAAACAGTGGAATCAGGAGACACAACATGCACATTCATCACCTGTACTTTACCAAGAGTGAGAGGACCAAGCCCTGCTTGACAGATACGGTCACTGATAATTACTAGATATAATGTACACATACGTCAGAGGTGATAGCGGGGCGACCAGGCCTCCCAGTGATTGTCAAGCCAAGATCGTACGGACCAGATCAATCCATATTCGGGTTTGCCCAAATCCATTTTTTCCAAGTGTGTGAAGATTAGAACATGAGATTGACTTATCAAGTTTATGCTAGCTAGTGTGTCTGGATACTACTGCCAGTACTAGCCTGATCTCCCAATATGCAGAGGGTGCTAGCAGCTGATTCCATCATGGACACACAAGCACCACAGCCAACTGAAACGCCACATGGCTCTGTAAACGCAAGGGGCAGATCAAGCTGTCAGCCAGTGCGATTTAGCATGGTTACCCATAGTCCTGCTAATATAGTGGGTAGGATATGCCCCCCCCCCCCACACACGCATACACACACACACACACACAAACACACACACACACACGCACACGCACACACGCACACACACACACGCACGCACACGCACACACTACCTACCTGCCGTAGATGCACCACAGTGCCGGTCGTTTCCACCATGGGATTGCTCCTATAATAGTCGATTAACTCCGGCAAGGAATCAAAGCGATCGCCACCGCCCACGTCAAACTTGTTATCTTTATTGTGTATCATGATGTGTGTAATTCGGTCTTCGCAACGTGCCGTTAGTACGTAGTCACCCGGCTTGCTAGAGCTTGCCCGGACGAGGTAGCTGCCATTCTGGCCCTTCTCCATGAGCAGCTCTGCAGCTTCCGAGCCGGATATGTGCCCATGGTACCATCTAGCACAAGTAGGTACGGGAGAACAGAGAGAATGTACAGCCGTGAGGCGTTACCAATCCCTCCCACATGTGCAGTTCAAGTATAATGTGAGGTGCATGATGGAGCCTGTCGGGTGCACACGTTTCTGCAGTAGATTAATCACTGCAGACCATCACAAGCCAGACTGCCACCCTCCCCTGCTACACACACACTCGTTAGTAGTGTGTACCTGTTAAGCTTTCCCTTTATTCCTGATGCTATGTTGGCTGGGCCAATCTGAATCCGTTGTGTTGGTCGTCAATGCCCATCTTACTGTTAATATCACCTTGGCCTTCGGTCAATCTTTCGTTAAGTGTATCAATAAATCCTTGCCGAATTGAATAGTGGACTCTCGCTTTGATCAACATTGTTGTCTCATGCAGCGTGGTTAGACTCTTGGCCATACCAACTCACCTCTCATTCGTTACTTCCTCGGAGAGTAGCGGGTACTTGAGCTCGATAATGGCCCCGCCAAGCTCCTTGAGCTGACCTTGGTTCTCCGTGTAGAACTGCACCAGCTCCGACAGCGTGGCAAACTTCTCACCACCGTACAGGTCGTAGAAGTCGCCCGTGTTCTGGATCTTGATGTGAGTGATATCCTCCGCTCGCCTGCAGCAGCATTCAACCAGCACAGCAGAGAACAACTCGAATGATAACATAGTCAACCAAGGCAGAGAACTACTCGAATGATAAACGGTCAACAGTCTCGAAAGAAAAAAATGGTTGAAAGAGAAATAGACAGCTGCTCACAATGGCCGGTGCCCCGCACACTGGGACCATCAGTGTTAGTTTTGGGCCTGTTTTGGTAATCCACATTTATTTATTCAAAAAAATATTAACAACAATGACAACGACGAAGACAACGACAACAAGAACAAGCAAAACTGGCTATAGCGAGAATAAAGATTTTAAACAACGACAATCTCTTATCGGCCACAGGCCATCGTGAGAATTAAGATTTTAAACACCACATTCCCAATGAGTCACAATGACTTCCGTTGACCATTACATTTCCTTCATGAAGCCCAGACGCACTGCACCTCACGTTGGATCGGGTTTGCAGAGAAATAGAGGCCACCAAAATGGCGACTGTTCGGACATTGCCATGGCCGCTAAAGGCATGGCCCATGGAACACAGGCGCTAGCGGCTCGGCTCGTGCATAGCCACTACCTACATGTACATGGCTTCCACACCCCGCATGATCCTACCCAACATGTATTACATGTCTGTTACATGTACGTAATGATCGTTACATGTACGTACTGTAAGTCTACACATTTTCGGCCTCCCAGGGCTAAAACACATTTTGGCCGCATCAAATTTTCGGCTTGTACTAACTGCCGCCTGCATACACTGTCACACTGAACCCTTGCAGAACATGATTTTGGCCAAACATGACCAGGCCGAAAATAGCCGAAAATAAATATGCGCCGAATATTTGTTGACTTACAGTAGCGACTATTACATGTACGTAGCGACTACTGCATGTTTACACAGCCAAGGCAGCACAGGTTCTGTGGACATACTGCAGTGTGCTGTACAGCCGCAGTGTTGAGTTTCTCTCAAACTCAAACTCTCTACTGGGCAATTACATACATGTAATCATTACAATGCAGCTTTGTGAATCAGAGCCACCATATCAGACATTGTTGTGTGACCCTGAGTGTGTGTGTGTGTGTGACGCATGTAATAGCAGTACACAAGCTGTGGCCAACGTCACAACTGTACAGCTAACGTTACATGATTGTAGTTTTAGTATACATTTATTTTACTATTTCGATAGTCTAACACAACACTGTCACGAACAGAGTGCGATACACAATGAGGTCTGTACACGAGTGGTCGCTGTGTTTATTTAGCGGAGAGACGCTGATAAAACACAACCAGGCATTATTATCAGCACGGATTGATGGTCATGCCGGATACAGGACAGCCGACTGGGTACAACATGATCGTACTCTGTCGCTCTGTCCCTGCTGGGCGTCACGACACACCTGGGCTGGGGCCGAAAGGCAGAGCGGCCAATGTCCTGTCACAGTGCGCGAGCATGTCCTTGCTCATCTTCTTCCACGCACGGAGTTGTGCCAGAGAGGAGCAAACAGTCCGTATATGGCGAATACTAGTACTACCCAGACACTGCACATGGCGCTAAGTAATTGCCATCGAAGCAAATAAAACTAAAACTGCAAAAGAAAAAGCCGCGTTACAGTACGAGTAGAAGGACCAGCGACAGCACACTGTCCGCACACACAACCGGACAGTCTCAGCACTCGAGAGAAGATACAGCAGCTGGTCATCAAAATACCAAGTCCCAAGCCACGACCGTCGCAACATCAGCACTGCAGTGCATGCAGTGGAACGGCTACATGGCCCACTCCATGCACCAGGCAGGAAGGATATTTTCGAACCATGGGCATTGCTTGAAAATCATCATCATAATAATTATTATTATTATCATCGGATTAGTGGCTAGCTGGGTAGTTTCCTGATCGAAATTGATCCGAAAATGACGGCGCAGTGGACGTATCTTTGTCACTGCTGCTCTCATCGAGCAGCGGATGGGAGGCGGCTCGATGGTGCTAATAAGCACACGCCAAACGTCGTCGCAATTTGTAAACGACATGCGGCCCTCGCGCTCGCGTCGCTTTTCGAGTAACAGAATGATCTGCATGAGCGCAGGCCGTGCGTGAAATAACACAATTATTTTCACTTCGCAACAACCGCCGCAAGTGACCAAGCCTACATTACGAACTACGAACAAACGTGCGTAAGAGCTTGGAACACACGCGTATAGCCACGCGTCTGTGTACATACAGCGTACAAGAATGGGACAAGAACGGCATGAGAGGGTAACTGGGACACATACCTGACCGACAGAGTGAAATCTCCAGGGTTGCTCTTGCTCGGCCGAACGAGGTAACTTCCATGGGTACCTTTCTCTTTCAGCAGCGTTTCGGCATCAGTTCCAGAAATGTGCGGATGGAACCATCTATAAACATCACACGCGCACGACCACGAGCAGGACAATACACGCACACATATTAGAAGACATACATCGCCTACACCAGCAGCAAAGACATGGCCTCGGAATGGATGTAACTCCAAAGTAAACTCGCCACTCGTACCTTCTCGTCGGCACGGCCATGGCCGAATTCACAACTAGCAACTGTGTCTGCACTCGGCTGAAATTGAACGCGTGACAGTAGCAGCTACTCGAATAACACTACGAACTTTGCTTCTTCACTAGCTGCTCGAGGACTGGATCGCTTACTAGGCAAATCGCCCAGCACACGGCCCAATCCTCCAATCGGACAAAAAATAGTACTGCGACGAACAAGCAACCACTGGTTGGTGGTCCAGTCTCTGATTTTTACACTCTTTGCACTCTTTGCACAGCTTCTCAGCCTTCGTTCACTCGATCGACTACATGTACATGCACTCATACATGACGTAGATCTACATAGAGTGCAATCTTCTTCATGTTCAGTGATCAAGGTGATGCCCATCCGGGAGCTACACTCTGTCAGTGTCACAGTCTGTGTCTGCTGCATGCAGCTGCTGGTAGTCGAGTCTTCACGACTTCCTTCAGTCAGACTCTTCACGCTGACGACGTGACGTAGCTCTACGTCCTGACGCGTCGACGAGTGACGAGAGACGGATTTACTGCTGCAATGTGCATGAAGAGGACATTTTGGCTACTGAAAATTGTGCTGGTTTATCGAGGGTGCTGGATTATAAAGTGCCTCTACCATCTACCTCTATCGGTAGAGTGACTCTACTCTACTCTACCAGGTAGCTAAAAACGAACGCAGCCTTACAGTCCATTCATAAAAAGATGGGTCCTGGCTCTGGCGAGCTCCCGTATTTGGCGATTTTTCGTGATTTCATCGTACACAGTGCAGTGCTGCGAACTTTGAAATTTGAAAAAGGGTCCAAAAAGGGTGCCTGAACTGGGGTTCGAACCGCAGAATGCACTGTTGCAGGCGGGGTCAAACGGCCTGGATTTTGATGGTTTTTCCCAATTCAGTGCTTTTGGGGCAAAACCTGGCCGAAATCCTATTCTTGCTATGGCTTGCTTTTTGGACAAAAAAACTTCAGAAACATAATTGGAAGAGGATTCCATATGGGATTGCAGAAAAAAATTCTAAAAAAACTCAACGTTTGACCCATTTATGGCCAAAAGCTAGAAGTTCATTTTTTTCTGAATGGACTGTAGAGGGACAAACTCTACAAGTTACAACAGTACGAGTCGTACTATTCCGTTTTTTTCTGCATTTTGTACCGTGCATGATGACGCGAAGCGGCTGTCACATGATGTAAAGTGACTGAGTCCGGAGTGTTGCACTGCATACATTTGTGCACTACGAACCGTTGTGCCAGTGTCACTCGGGGTCGACCGGTACCGCGGTCGGGGAGTTCCAAAGAAACGCTATTTTTACCCTACTGGGCCTCCAAAATAATTACAGTGTCACTCCTCAGTCTCAGCCAGGGAGTCGTATTTTACGACTCCCTGGTCTCAGCTCACAAACTGACAAAGATCTAGTGCATGCATGCATTATGCAGTCTACAGTCAAATCAAAGGCGCTATCATGACTCATTGACTGTCTGTACTACTGCATGCATACATGTAGTGCACTGAGCATGCCCCGGCCCCCCCCCCCCCCCTCTCTCCAAAATGCAACAGAGTCAGTAACACTAATATTAGTAATAAACACTAGCAGACAGTCAATCAGTGCTCACACTACACTCAGTGTCTGTGCACAAGGTGTAGTCACTCGAACAATGCAACCAGTCACTGAGTCAGTGACACTGACCCAGTGACTGAGCCAGTCATGCAGAACTGACTCTCCTCTCCATCTACTCCATGCCGGATCCAGCACTGCGAAGTGCTGACCATGGCACATAAAACAGTCAAGATAGGGTTGAAGTGGGGAAAATGGCAGTCTGTCATGTATGGCAAGGACCGTGACTGTACTGGTAGGCGAATCGTTTTTATTTCAATCCAAATCCAAATCCATTAATAATGAGCAACAGAAACCATCAAAAAGAAGGTATAAAGCAACAGCAAATGAAGGTATGCGAGAAACACCCAATTTTCTAAAAAAGAAGAAGAAAAGAAAGAGAAAAATAGTGAATGAAGTCTCACACATTGAAAAACACGAGATAGAAACCACTAAAAAGCCGCGATCATAGACCCCACCCTATCAATAGTATCATGCCATGGATAAAACACAGTCAGCACGTTTCCACAGACTGTGGAAACAGTACTGTTTCCACAGTCATGTGGAAACAGTACTGTTTGCACATGACTACATGACTGTACTGGTAATACATGTACATGACCACTAATACACTAGTACATGACATACATGTACATGATAATGATATGGACACTTTGTTGTTATCAACAGGCAAGAAAGAAAATGCAATCGCTTTAATTAAGTCAATGGCTCTTGCCTTTTTGCTTACCAGATAAATAAGCCTTTTTACAAATACTGTATGCACTGCTCTTTACGTTATTTTCTCCTTATGCAAGTCGCGTACTCCTGTTTTGAGTTGTTTTTCTTCTCTCTTTTTCTTTCCCTACTAGTTGCTGTTACACTCACTGATCCGCTAGGCTTATGCACAGATATACAGCATTCCGTCACTAGTGGGACCATTGTTATTAGGCTAGGGCCTGTTCTGGACTTCCCACTCTAAATAAAGAATACAAACAAACAAACAACGTCAGCTTTTCGTCATTGTCTGCAAACTCCAAAGCAGCTACTAACACAGGTATAAAACTTCACTCCTCTTTCATCATGGCGTATTTTGATTGGCAGTTAGTTAGGGCCGTTTACAGCGGAGTTGAATTGTGATCAGACGATAGAAAAATCATGGTGTTTTAAAAACGTTTCGTTCCTTTCTTCTCAAGTATAAAAATACTACAGTACAGTACAGTACAGGGAATGATGGAATACTAGTACTCCTAGGCTAATAAGATACAAAGTTCAGATGATACACTCCAATAATATGTGGAAAGTAAACGAAGGCGAAGAAGTCACTGGGTGCAAACTGAACAGCATTCAGACCCCGAGTCACAAAAATGTTGTGACTTGAAACGTCAAGTGATAAAGAAGCTAATCAGTCACACTTTTGCGACCAATAATGCAACGCCGAACCGCAAAGACGAAAGATTTTCCTTTTGAACACGAGGACCTAACTTACATATACATGTACATGCACGTACATGTACATATATGGTATTCGATAAACCTTGTTTTAGTACTTACTACTGACATAAATGTGTTGATAGTGTGACAGCATGAAACAAGGTGGACCTTGTTTCATGCTGTCAAACTATCAACATTATTATGTACATGTACATGTATGTACGCATGTACAACGCTTCTACTACATTGTTTGTACAGTGAAACCTGGTGAGGAAGGACACTGAGAAGACAAACTTTCGCTTTAGAAGAACTAGTACACTGTATTCATAACTCTATTAGCCTAACATTGTGTATTCACTGGGTATACATGTAACATAAGTTATAGATAAGAAGAACTCCCGTTATTGCAAACAAATACCATCGGTCCCTTGGCGTTCGTCCATAGGATTAGGAGCCTGGGTTTGAGTGTACCTGTAGTAGTTCTAGAAATAATGGCAAGAAGGTACATGTACTGTCGTGGACATGGAAATCCGGTCGCACGTCTAGCGGCCCCAGGGCGCTGGCCATGCAGCCGTAGGCACGTTTTATCATGCACTGCATGCTGCTGGTCGCATCGGATCAACATGTGCACTGCATGCAACGTTCTGTTGGTGCTGAGGGCGCCGACCCCGGTCCAGTCGGGGATTTCCATGTCCGCGACAGTACATTTGTGTAAGTAGCATATACGGGAGATGTGCATGTCCAGTATGATACTTGAAGTACCTTCAAAAGTGAAGTGACTACTGCCGGTGCATGGGTACTACAAAACTATTAGTACATGATACCAGCCCTCCAGGGCACCGACTCAGTGCTAGCTGGGTACAGCTGTGATATGCTGCCAGTCTGCATTGGTCTGGGCACTTTGTGACAGACAGCAGGACAGAGTCCAGTCTCCAGACGGCATGAGTGTACTTCTTACACTCTTCACTTAGTGCTGTCATTCTGGACAGGCTGTCACCTTCACTGAGGCTTCAGTTCAGACAGTTGAGTCTCACTGGGCTGCAATCATCCATTCCTGGTTCCAAGGCCAAGGGCCAAAGGACGAAACAGTTCTGTGCGCAGATAGAGCATTCCTGGTTCCATAATGCATGCTGGCATGAAGGTTCTGAACTAGTTAGTATTACACTCATAGTCATACTCACACTCGCAGCTACAGCAGTGACTTTAGCTGCACTGGGATCCACTCATCCAGGTCAGACGGACACAGTCACAGGCGCAAGTCAGTGTAACACATGACTTGTCATGTCATCCATAATAATTATTTTATGGTCATCGTAGCTTGTACCGACGCTACGCTTGAACATCCTGGCGACGTGGCCACTCCTTCGCTATCCAGGAAATTGGGCAAGTGAAGTCATCCATGATTGCACCATGTATAATGCCGACTCCCAGATCAAAGCACTCCGAGCTACTTGTAGTCAAAAGCATAAGAGTTTCCTATTCACACGGAGGAGCGTCGTGATTTCCGGGATGAACAATGACAACACTGACTGGGTCAGGGTCAGGGCGGCATTGATAATGATAGTCCTGCAGTTGCAGCCATGGCTGGCCATGACCCCGTCGGTCCCATGGCAGCGCTGGCTGCGGTAGACGCTGCTCTGCTGAGCTACTCGACTCGTGAAGACTATAAAAACATTCTTCTCCATTTGGGTGGTGTATTTATTATTCTGATGAATCCCAAAACGAAAAAAGGCTTGTGCAACTATCTCCTTGCTATGCTCATTGATGCTTGAACAAACCAGTTGTGATCTGGTGATCGTGGTGATAGGCAGGCAGTCCTAGGCGCCAGCAGGTAGTATTCCAGTAATGCGTGATTGCTACTGAAACCGTGACTGTAAGTCTGTAACCATGGTTCACATGCGCATATGCAACCAGTGCACTGTACTGACTGTGCTCATGCCACCGGCCGGACCTGATCAGATCTACCAGTAGTGGCAGTACCCTGTATACCATGGTATACATGTAGGCCCTGGCCTTTGCCGAGCGAGGCAACCAGGTCTGTGTCCCGGGAGGGAGGCCTCGGGGGTGATCAGTAGAGTCATGCAACTGCTGTCCCCGCGCCCCCCCCGACCGGGGGGGGGGGGGGGGGGGGTGATAATGTACGTGTACAAGAAAGACTGCCCAGGTAGTAGACGTACAGTGATGATCTTGTACACGTATGACTATGAGGCTGTGTTTACATGAGGCGTTTCAACCCGGGTTGAGTTCGACCCGGGTCAGATTTCAACCCGCCATGTGCACAAAATGAATGGCGCGTTTACATCACACATTGCGCTTGACCCGGGTTGAAATTTCGCCCCGGGTTGATTTCAACCCTCCCCTTGGGGGGAGGGTTGAAATCAACCCGGGTCAAAGATATCGTACTACGACTTCTGTGCGTATCTCGCACCAGGTTTGAACAGCACTGCACATGCAAATTTCGTGCGAAAGGATTCACGTGACCATACAGGACTCTAGAAGTGGAATTTTGGCGGCATATCAGTATCCGACCCGGGTCAACTGTCTTCATGTAAACGCTCACCTATTTTGTCTATCATACAGACTTTCAACCCGGGCTGAACTCGACCCGGGTTGAAATTTCTCATGTAAACACAGCCTGAGGATAGGTTTCAATTCTGACTGCGTGCATAGTACCAATGACAATGGCATCACAGTGTGCCAACTACATTACCCCAATTCTCAGCGCCACCCGGGATCTGGGAAACAAGACATTATTCCCGTCGGCTCCTGATAAGAACTGGAAGGTTATTTCCCATGCACCGGAGACACGGCATGCTACCAGAAGGAAATGGCGTCTAACAACAACGCTCACACCCGGTGCAGACAGAGCATCCGTATGAATTGATACCAAACCTCACCGTCCCGGATCTCCAGCACTACCCCCAACGACGTACTGGAGAGTACAAACGTCAATACAGCCACTGCACAGAAATCCAGTGCCGTGTGTATTGTGTGCGATGCTACATGACAAGCACAGCAACCGAGCGAATAGAATTAAAGCACCTACTTGCAGGCTATAACAGAGCCTAAAAATCTATTACAAAATGCACTCAAGGTGCAATCTGATAACATATGCCAAGCTTGGAGGGTGGAAATTCTCCCGCAAAAGGCAAGTTGATCATAATAACTAGCTTTCATAGACTCAAGCCACTCTCATTGACCAGCAGCAAAAACAGATTGCCAAAATGGCATCTTCATGTCATGTAGTTCTTGTAAATAGGCTCGGATGGACATGGTAGTACAGCTTTCAACAAGCAATGTGCCACTCAGAGCGGTGCTGCACTGAGACTATTGATCTAGACTACCTAGGGTAAGAGGATGTCATTTAAAAAAATTAAAATTTCGACCGATTTACAACTGGAATTGTGTGTGAGCGTGCGTGCGTGTGTGTGCGTGTGTACGTGCGAGCGTGTGTACGTTTGAGTGTGCGTGCGTCTTCAGCCTGGCAAAACATAAGCCGGTCGGAACGGGTCAACGTCTGCATTATCTATCAGCATGCCCAGTGAGTATATGGCCTGTGTTTGATCTGTAAATACTTATACTAACAGGAACATTGGGTAAGAAATCAGCTCAAGAAGCTTAACCAGCATTCAGCAAACGGGTGCAATTGTACCAGCAATTTCATGGCAGCATTAGCAAAATAGAGCTATGTGCAAGCGAGCGGAGAGAGAGAGAGAGAGAGAGAGAGAGAGAGAGAGAGAGAGATAGATAGAGAGCGAGAGAGAGAGAGAGAGAGAGAGAGAGAGAGAGAGAGAGAGAGAGGGAGAGAGAGAGAGGGAGAGAGAGAGAGAGAGATATCCGTGTCACGTGGCATTGCTACCAAACGTACCCTCTGGCGGTCGGAAGTACTTTGGAAAGACTTTGAGCTGCATGTGGCTGAACGCGTAGCGACGCTCGCCAATATTCTTGTACGTGTTAATCAGCCGTGTCCCTCGCCTGCATGCATATATATGCATCAACACAGATACACACAGAAACAAAAACACCAGTCAAAGTGCGAACAGGTCGGATGTAGCGAATGGGATTTGCGGTCCTTGACCAGTTTGTGGTGGTGGGTCTGGTCTACTCACCGCGTCTCACGCGCACCATGAATTATTTCAATTTTTTAAAGTAGTTACTGTGCTGAAGAAATTCGGTGTCGTGGAACAGAAATACTTCAAGACAATGAGTGGCTAGTACACTGGCTACACTTCTTTGGAGTACGTACACTAATACAGTATTACACACAATAAACCGGAAAAAGTTTTCGTTTCCGCAGGAAGTACTCTGGAATATAAATTAAAAGCACTGATTTCGTCCACCCGTTTTTGAGGACCCTGCATTATGCTTTATCAGTCCTTGGACCTCGTGTATACACAGCGTCGCCCATAAAGTACAGTACAATGTCATGATGTAAAGATTGTCAACAAGGGCACAGTGGGTTAGCCACTCATTGTTCGTTTGTTTAGCTTTGCTTTACTTCACGCCAGGCACAAGCAATATCTGCGTTCTCACTGGGTGTATTGCAACCGTTCCCACAACTCGAGTTGTGCAGCAGCACACAGCACACACGGCAATGCACGTACCGTCTGATGACGTCCAGCGCTTGCTCAAAGTTGTCTGGCGCTAGGCACAGCTCCTTCTTCATGAGCATGACTTCCTCCAGCGTACAGGACATTGCAGTCCGATCCTTGCCACTCTTGCAGCTGGTTAACCGCAGACCGTGCATTACACGACAGATCTGACCCACATAGCAGCAGCAGCACATGAAAAAACATTTAAAAAAAGAAAGTAGTGTGTCGAGCAGGATTCAAGCAGATCTCCTGCTACACAACCACAGCTTAGTTGAATGCTCTACGCGACTTCCTGCCACGTCGCTTATCTGCATCAACTAGGATGCAATGGAGGAATTTCGCCGTGGCAGACACCCACCCATACAGAAGCTGCACACTCTGGGTTTCATAAAAAAAACTTGACTATGCTAACACAATGCAGAGCTCACACAATCACTCTTCGTGTTTGCGACTTTCCCAAGGCGGGAAATCGCAAACTTCTCATCAACTAAAACAAGCAAGCGTTTCGGAGACAGCAGTTTAATAGTTACAAGGACGACTAATTGCACTGTAAGCATTTCCTATAATTATGTCGACATGTTGTGTAAAATGAATACATGTAGTATAATCACCTTTTTGTTTCGCTCTTTTTGCCCTTCTTTCACTTTCATTTGTCCATACAAGATTAGTTTCAAGTAGTCCCCATTCCATTCTTATGTAGATTCACTGATGAATGTAACAATAAAAGTATATTAAAACAGTTCTGAACAAATCGTCTCTTTCCCTCTCGTTGCGTGCCTTGCGATCATCATAATATGATGATCGATGAAAAGATGAAAAGTTGATGAGAAAATGTTATATTATAACATTTTCTCATCAACTTTTCATCTTTTCATCTCACAAGTTGCACTGAAGGATACAGCAGAACAACAACTACATGACCTTCTTTAAGTGACTGTCGAAAACCTTGCTAAGGGTCCCTAATGTGACAGATAAACTCACCCGCCCACTCAGTGTCAGAATATCAATGTTACGCGGCTGCTTAGCAAGTACAGTATGCCGCAGCTCATCCAGCAGATGACGTACTTCTACAATATTGCTCTGGGTCTCCTTGTCTGCAATAGATGAGGGAAAGGAGAGAGAGAGAGAGAGAAAGAGAGAGAGAGAGAGAGAGAGAGAGAGAGAGAGTAAGAGAGAGAGAGAGAGAGAGAGAGAGAGAGAGAGAGAGAGAGAGAGAGAGAGAGAGAGAGAGAGAGAGAGAGAGAGGGGGAGGGAGAGAGAGGGAGAGAGAGAGAGAGAGAGCCAGACAGATAGAAGAAAGCAAGACGTTGACATGGGCCAAGGTGGGAGGTAGGCGAAGAAGAACTTCTCAGTTTCCATGGTGTAAGGTGGCCTGAACTGATCAAATAACTCTGGTCACCGTGGGCAGTTAATAAAAATACGTACTTGCCATACAGAAGACCTCCTGGTGCTTCTCGAAAAAGCGGAGCAGCTTGCCATAGCTGGTTAGATTGACAGAGTCTTGCAGTTGTGCGTCACCTCCCTTGATACCACTGCACAAGGAACAACAACACAACAACACAATCACACAACATACATGCACAATGCATACTGTATATAATATGCACATGGATACACACACACAGATACTATACATACGCACGCAAGCACGCACGCATGCAGGGGTACATGCACAAAAAAAGCACAAAAAAACCCAAACAAAAAAAACATGCACACCCTACAGCAAACAGCATGACAGCTTGCACTGGGAGTGCAAGCTGTCATGCTATAAACAGTGGAACACACCTACTGTAGAGGCAGAAAATTTCGTCGGTCAATAATTTCGTCCAAATCCAAAGAAAAGGAGTTCGTCCGGTTGAAAATTTCGTCCATGGATCGTAAGAGTGTATAGAAAAGCTGGACAAATCGATATTCGTCCTACATTTAATTTAGTCCAAAATCTCCTTGGACGAAAAAGACGAAATTAAATTCCAGACTCATATTTCTGCTTATACAGTACTTGGAAGCAGTGCACTCTGATAAGATGTACACTGACTTGCTTAGCATGGACATTGTCCGGGGCATGGGTGCACAACTCCGTAATAAGAAGTACCTCGGCTAGATATGCTATAGTACGTTTCCTAGACGTCTAATGGTCAAATTAACGGTGATAAACCAGGTAGATGTCGGTTTTTGACAGGAAGAAGACACAGTACAAGGACACACTGACAACAGTCACACTGACAACAGTCACGCTGACAACAGTCACGCTGACAACAGTCACGCTGACAACAGTCACACTGACAACAGTCACACTGACAGCAGTCATGCTGCTGACTTACAGGTCGGCAAGCAGCTGCTTTTCATTGATGCCCTGCGTGAACAGGACGACGTGAATGCCAAACGACTGGCCATTTCGCAGTTCCGACGGCATGCGCGCAAACACGGTCTTCCTCAGCGGCACGGCCACGTCGATGGTGCTGCGGACTCCCGATATCCGCGGTGCTGGTGTTTCTACGTCGTCCGGCATCAGTTCAAACTACAACAACAACAACGAACAACAGGTCAATGGATGGTGTATAGCAGGGGAAAGGAGATTGGTAACAACGACAACACAGCACATATACAGTCGACCCCACAGAGAACGAGCTCGTATATAGCGAATTTCGTGATATAGCCAACCATTGACCATGTCTCCTGTTCGAACCCATACAAAACTGACCCTTTGTAGCGAACAGATTTCATTTATCACGAGACATGCCTTGTAAGACCACATAGAAGCGAAGTGCAGCAAAGCACTGCCCAGCAGTCCCGGGCACACACTAGTCATGGCCTGTTGCTGCTGCTGCCTTACTTGCTGGTATGCTGTAGGGTGCATGTCTGCTATAAAGAGATTTGGCCGCAAAAGAACTTATTCTCCTACACAATGGTGTTGGACTGTTGGAGTCCACTGCATACACTACAACACTCGACACACACAGAGAACAGACAGCGATAGGAGAAGGCAGACGAGGACGTACCCGTAACTGCACAACCTGAAGATCATCGAGTGCGGTTATCATGTCTTCCAGCATGCCCAGCTCATCACCTAAACGAGACAAACAAAAACAAAAACGCAAAGACAGACAGCAGCAGCGACGGCGGCAGCGAGAGAGAAAGAGAGAATTTACGTTCTCATTTATAACAATTCCACCTCGTACATGCACAAAGGATACACCAATAAAGAGGATAGACTCGGATAGAGAGCCAAAAATTAATTTATAATAAAAGAAAAGGACCAAGTAACTGGTGGTGCTAGTGGACATTATAGCGTAACTTGTAGTTCCTTGGTCCTTTTCTTTATTCTAAACCAATAAAGAGGATATTTTCAATTCGACAGAATGGCACCTACTTTAGTATGCATAAAACATGGCGACTCTGCACTGGCTCGTTTCTGCGGGGCAACGTTTTCGATGCGTGGTAATTTTACCACTCAAACTCACGCAGACTGCGCGACCGAGCGCAACACGAACTGACAAAAGCTGGCTAGTACACAGATACCACCCCTTGCACTCTTTGGACCTAGTTGCTGTCGACACGTTGTGTTGACTTCACAAGTTGCAGTTTCCACCTCGGGAGAGAGTTTATTGACGTTTATCTTTCTGTAGGCTACACATCTTGCAATGGCTGTGAGCGAGGACTTTAGGGCCGGGTTCCACTGCGGCTCCGCTGCTCGTCATCCGCGGCTTGAAACGTCATCATTACCATATTGACTGCGGCTCGAGCTGGAGCAGCGTGGCCGCGGCTCACCACGAGCCTTCGCTACGATTCTTGATCAAAAACTGCGAGCCGCAGTTGCGGCTCGACCTGTTTCCCGTACTTTGCATTGTTTTGTATGTGAGAATTTCAAAATTCAAATTTTAATTCGTTGCGCAGGCCAGAACACGAGGATTTTTTTGATTTATATAAGCTCTCTGCGTTTGCTGCACGAGGGTAGTTGCAGTTCTTCGCTTCCTGTTCATCAGTTTCTGTTCTTCACCACTGCTGCAAGACTGCAGCCAGCAGTATTCACCATGCAGGCGATGGTGTTTTTCTTCCTTGACAACGCGCCTGGTCATAGTGCTACACGTAATTTCAAGGCCGTGCCAGCAACAGGCAGAAAGTCGCTGCCACCACTATACTGTCACTACTGAATGTGCTTGCCCTGCCAGAAAGGAGGCAAAGGCATCATGCAAGCACATCGGACCTCTGTGTTACGGTTAGGAGGAGTCTCAAGCCTCTTCCAGGCTGGCTACGTTCAGAAAATCGAGTTAGTGAACTTAGAAAATGTAGTGTGGTACCGGGCCCGTTGCCAGCCAGAGATGAAAACAAAAGCAGGTTACAGAATCGTACTGTGTGCGATCTTGACTGAGAACCGAGCTGTGGAAAGTACTACCACTGTTGAATGCACTTGTCCTACCGGAAACAGGCCCGAAGGCATAACGCAAGCACATTGCAGCTCTGTGTTAGGGTTCGGAGGAGTTTTCAAGGTGTGGATACGCTAGGGTAGTAGGGATCTCCTCACCCGTACTGGCACACTGCAGTCATGGAACGCTCCTGGTCAGAACAAGAGTGAGCCCATGAAGTTGTGGAGATGGACTGGGGGCAAGGGGAAGGCCAAAAAGCAGAAAACACAGCGGCTGCTATTTATGAGCCTCGTGCCGCTGGTCATTTGCTGTCACTAGCACTATGGTATCAGTAGAGGTACACAGCTTTCAAACAGCCGCTAGACTCTTTGGAGAGCAGCCCGTTAGATCAGCGTGTCCTCCTCCTGTAGTGTCAGCAGATCCATATAGACGACTGCTGCTTTTGAAATTAATCGGCATGTGGTTGTGTCTACGTTTCTAGGATAGTTCTGAAGAAATTCAATACTGTCCATTGCTCCATCCACAGGTTAGCCGTCACCATAACACAGAAATGCATGACGGTAATGCTATCAACTCAGTCCACGTTTGGACGTGTCTTACGTCTCAGTGGCAAAACATCTTTATATCGCCGGCAGAGTAGCTAGCATGCATCACAGCATGTTTGATCGTACCAATAATTGCTTTGTCGGGACTCGGAAGCCTTGATCCTCAGGTTTGCGAACAGAAGTTTCAATCGCCGGTGATATTATCGAGCTTGGCTTCGATCCATACAACGACTGCTGCGTTTGAAATTAATCGGCATGTGGTTGTGTCTACGTTTCTAGGATAGTTCTGAAGAAATTCAATCCTTTCCATTGCTCCATCCACAGGTTAGCCGTCACCATAACACAGAAATGCATGACGGTAATGCTATCAACTCAGTCCACGTTTGGACGTGTCTTACGTCTCAGTGGCAAAACATCTTTATATCGCCGGCAGAGTAGCTAGCATGCATCACAGCATGTTCGATCGTACCAATAATTGCTTTGTCGGGACTCAGAAGCCTTGATCCTCAGGTTTTTGAACAGAAGTTTCAATCGCCGGTGATATTATCGAGCTTGGCTTCAATCCATACAACGACTGCTGCGTTTGAAATTAATTGGCGTGTGGTTGTGTCTACGTTTCTAGGATAGTTCTGAAGAAATTCAATACTGTCCATTGCTGCATCCACAGGTTAGCCGTCACCATAACACAGAAATGTATGACGGTAATGCTATCAACTCAGTCCACGTTTGGACGTGTCTTACGTTTCAGTGGCAAAACATCTTTATATCGCCGGCAGAGTAGCTAGCATGCATCACAGCATGTTCGATCGTACCAATAATTGCTTTGTCGGGACTCGGAAGCCTTGATCCTCAGGTTTTCGACCAGAAGTTTCAATCGCCGGTGATATTATCGAGCTTGGCTTCGATCCATACAACGACTGCTGCGTTTGAAATTAATCAGCATGTGGTTGTGTCTACGTTTCTAGGATAGTTCTGAAGAAATTCAATCCTTTCCATTGCTCCATCCACAGGTTAGCCGTCACCATAACACAGAAATGTATGACGGTAATGCTATCAACTCAGTCCACGTTTGGACGTGTCTTACGTCTCAGTGGCAAAACATCTTTATATCGCCGGCAGAGTAGCTAGCATGCATCACAGCATGTTCGATCGAACCAATAATTGCTTTGTCGGAAGCCTTGATCCTCAGGTTTTCGAACAGAAGTTTCAATCGCCGGTGATATTATCGAGCTTGGCTTCGATCCATACAACGACTGCTGCGTTTGAAATTAATCGGCATGTGGTTGTGTCTACGTTTCAAGGATAGTTCTGAAGAAATTCAATACTGTCCATTGCTCCATCCACAGGTTAGCCGTCACCATAACACAGAAATGTATGACGGTAATGCTATCAGCTCAGTCCACGTTTGGACGCGTCTTACGTCTCAGTGGCAAAACATCTTTATATATCGCCGGCAGAGTAGCTAGCATGCATCACAGCATGTTTGATCGTACCAATAATTGCTTTGTCGGGACTCGGAAGCCTTGATCCTCAGGTTTTCGAACAGAAGTTTCAATCGCCGGTGATATTATCGAGCTTGGCTTCGATCCATACAACGACTGCTGCGTTTGAAATTAATCGGCATGTGGTTGTGTCTACGTTTCTAGGATAGTTCTGAAGAAATTCAATACTGTCCATTGCTCCATCCACAGGTTAACCGTCACCATAACACAGAAATGTATGACGGTAATGCTATCAGCTCAGTCCACGTTTGGACGTGTCTTACGTCTCAGTGGCAAACCATCTTTATATCGCCGGCAGAGTAGCTAGCATGCATCACAGCATGTTCGATCGAACCAATAATTGCTTTGTCGGAAGCCTTGATCCTCAGGTTTTCGAACAGAAGTTTCAATCGCCGGTGATATTATCGAGCTTGGCTTCGATCCATACAACGACTGCTGCGTTTGAAATTAATCGGCATGTGGTTGTGTCTACGCTTCTAGGATAGTTCTGAAGGAATTCAATACTGTCCATTGCTCCATCCACAGGTTAGCCGTCACCATAACACAGAAATGTATGACGGTAATGCTATCAGCTCAGTCCACGTTTGGACGTGTCTTACGTCTCAGTGGCAAAACATCTTTATATATCGCCGGCAGAGTAGCTAGCATGCATCACAGCATGTTCGATCGAACCAATAATTGCTTTGTCGGAAGCCTTGATCCTCAGGTTTTCGAACAGAAGTTTCAATCGCCGGTGATATTATCGAGCTTGGCTTCGATCCATACAACGACTGCTGCGTTTGAAATTAATCGGCGTGTGGTTGTGTCTACGTTTCTAGGATAGTTCTGAAGAAATTCAATACTGTCCATTGCTCCATCCACAGGTTAACCGTCACCATAACACAGAAATGTATGACGGTAATGCTATCAACTCAGTCCACGTTTGGACGTGTCTTACGTCTCAGTGGCAAACCATCTATATATCGCCGGCAGAGTAGCTAGCATGCATCACAGCATGTTCGATCGAACAAATAATTGCTTTGTCGGAAGCCTTGATCCTCAGGTTTTCGAACAGAAGTTTCAATCGCCGGTGATATTATCGAGCTTGGCTTCGTTCCATACAACGACTGCTGCGTTTGAAATTAATCGGCATGTGGTTGTGTCTACGTTTCTAGGATAGTTCTGAAGAAATTCAATACTGTCCATTGCTCCATCCACAGGTTAGCCGTCACCATAACACAGAAATGTATGACGGTAATGCCATCAGCTCAGTCCACGTTTGGACGTGTCTTACGTCTCAGTGGCAAAACATCTTTATATATCGCCGGCAGAGTAGCTAGCATGCATCACAGCATGTTTGATCGAACCAATAATTGCTTTGTCGGAAGCCTTGATCCTCAGGTTTTCGAACAGAAGTTTCAATCGCCGGTGATATTATCGAGCTTGGCTTCGATCCATACAACGACTGCTGCGTTTGAAATTAATCAGCATGTGGTTGTGTCTACGTTTCTAGGATAGTTCTGAAGAAATTCAATCCTTTCCATTGCTTCATCCACAGGTTAGCCGTCACCATAACACAGAAATGCATGACGGTAATGCTATCAACTCAGTCCACGTTTGGACGTGTCTTACGTCTCAGTGGCAAAACATCTTTATATCGCCGGCAGAGTAGCTAGCATGCATCACAGCATGTTCGATCGAACCAATAATTGCTTTGTCGGAAGCCTTGATCCTCAGGTTTTCGAACAGAAGTTTCAATCGCCGGTGATATTATCGAGCTTGGCTTCGATCCATACAACGACTGCTGCGTTTGAAATTAATCGGCATGTGGTTGTGTCTACGTTTCAAGGATAGTTCTGAAGAAATTCAATACTGTCCATTGCTCCATCCACAGGTTAGCCGTCACCATAACACAGAAATGTATGACGGTAATGCTATCAGCTCAGTCCACGTTTGGACGTGTCTTACGTCTCAGTGGCAAAACATCTTTATATATCGCCGGCAGAGTAGCTAGCATGCATCACAGCATGTTTGATCGTACCAATAATTGCTTTGTCGGGACTCGGAAGCCTTGATCCTCAGGTTTTCGAACAGAAGTTTCAATCGCCGGTGATATTATCGAGCTTGGCTTCGATCCATACAACGACTGCTGCGTTTGAAATTAATCGCCGTGTGGTTGTGTCTCCGTTTCAAGGATAGTTCTGAAGAAATTCAATACTGTCCATTGCTCTATCCACAGGTTAGCCGTCACCATAACACAGAAATGTATGACGGTAATGCTATCAACTCAGTCCACGTTTGGACGTGTCTTACGTCTCAGTGGCAAACCATCTTTATATCGCCGGCAGAGTAGCTAGCATGCATCACAGCATGTTCGATCGAACCAATAATTGCTTTGTCGGAAGCCTTGATCCTCAGGTTTTCGAACAGAAGTTTCAATCGCCGGTGATATTATCGAGCTTGGCTTCGATCCATACAACGACTGCTGCGTTTGAAATTAATCGGCGTGTGGTTGTGTCTACGTTTCAAGGATAGTTCTGAAGAACTTCAATACTGTCCATTGCTCCATCCACAGGTTAGCCGTCACCATAACACAGAAATGTATGACGGTAATGCTATCAACTCAGTCCACGTTTGGACGTGTCTTACGTCTCAGTGGCAAACCATCTTTATATCGCCGGCAGAGTAGCTAGCATGCATCACAGCATGTTCGATCGAACCAATAATTGCTTTGTCGGAAGCCTTGATCCTCAGGTTTTCGAACAGAAGTTTCAATCGCCGGTGATATTATCGAGCTTGGCTTCGATCCATACAACGACTGCTGCGTTTGAAATTAATCGGCATGTGGTTGTGTCTACGTTTCAAGGATAGTTCTGAAGAAATTCAATACTGTCCATTGCTCCATCCACAGGTTAGCCGTCACCATAACACAGAAATGTATGACGGTAATGCTATCAACTCAGTCCACGTTTGGACGTGTCTTACGTCTCAGTGGCAAACCATCTTTATATCGCCGGCAGAGTAGCTAGCATGCATCACAGCATGTTCGATCGAACCAATAATTGCTTTGTCGGAAGCCTTGATCCTCAGGTTTTCGAACAGAAGTTTCAATCGCCGGTGATATTATCGAGCTTGGCTTCGAAACCACGCGCCATTATCGGTCTTAACGCGAGCCGGAGCAGCGCAAGTTTACAGCAACCTCTGGTGATTGTCAAGTTCCTGAACAAAGACAAGGCTTGTATTTGCCGATGTGAGACATGAATAATGGCTTGCTAGGAGGGACCACCGTCAAGCACCCTGGCTGGACATGCGCAGCGCCGCCGCAGCTGTTGCTGCAAACCTAGACGAAGCAAACCCACCGGACACTGAGCAGCAGAGTTGTCTACGTGACACCGTTGTGACTCCCCCACTGGGGATGAGTGTGATTGGCTGAGCGATGCAGACAAACGGATGGTTCGGTACGAAGTGAATGCCGTGCCATACGGAGGTCAAGACCTTGAAGCCGCCACAGCTGTGCAGCATCAAAGTGATCTCTGGCGCACAGAGCACAAGAAGCGTATCACTGCTTCCGTTAGCCAAGCCGTGGCTCACCAGAGGACGACGACCGACCCATCCAAACTTGTGTCACGCATTGTCAGTCGAGTGCCGTTCTCTTCAGCCGCCACGGAATGGGGAATCGCAAAGGAAGACAAGGTCAAGTCTGCTCATGTGGAACGCAAGAAGAGACAAGATCTTCCTTTTGATGTTAGATTGTGTGGTATGTTAGTGTGTCCAGAGGAACCCTGGTTAGCTGCTAGTCCTGATGGTATTGAGTGTGAAGGAAACACATCCCTTGTTCTTAAAATCAAATACTCACATTCTTTATACAAAAGAAAAAAGGACCAAGGAACTACAAGTTACGCTATGATGTCCACTAACACCACCAGTTACTAAACAATCAGCTCATGCGATAACATTGCACAACACTGACCGACGGTACTGACGTTCTACAACTAACTGGCTAACAGCTCTAGTAGTTCCTTGGTCCATTTTTCTTTTGTATAAACTAATTCCTGGCTCTCCATCCGAGTCCATTACTCACATTCTTGCAGAGATATTGCTAGTCCTGATGGTATTGTTCGTGAAGGAAACACATCTCTTCTTCTTGAAATCACATCAAGGCCCATAATCTTGCAGAGATTTGTCTTTTTCGTCTGCTGCTTCACAATCCAGTTCATTTTTCTCGGCTTCCAGTGTTTTTGGCCCACTGTAATTGAAGAGGAGTCATGCGTATTTCTACCAGGTACAAACAAATGCTAATGTTTGCCACTGGAAAAGGATAGAAAAGAAAAAGGACCAAAGAACTACAAGTTACGCTACAATGTCCACCAACACCACCAGTTACTAAACAATCAGCTCATGCGATAACATTGCACGACACTGACCGACGGTACTGACGTTCTACATTTTTGTGGACATTTTAGCGTAACTTGTACATGTAGTTCCTTGGTTCTTTTTATCTTCTATAAATTTATCCTCGGCTCTCCATCCAAGTCCATACAAGAAAAGAAGTCCGTAATTTCGTTGTTTGGTCTTCCTCTAAGTTATTTGTCGAGCGCATTGCTCGAGATTCAGATTACACTTTTGATAGGGCTGAAACGATAGTGGATTTTCATCTATCGATCACCCTTTAGTTTAACGATCGATTAATCGATTATAATCGTTAGCAAACGGTGTCGGAATTTTTGTTCAAAAATTACTTCATTTCCACAAGCTATGTCTTCAGAATACCAAAAAGTCTGCATTTAATTGGGTAGCAATGAAACATGGCAGTTTCGAATTCAATTGAACCTCAGAACACGAGCCATACCCCTGGCAACTGTATACTCACAGGGAACACTGATTCAAACTTCACAAATACGGCGATTTCGGTACTTTCTGGACACAAAATCCCTAACGAGTGATTGTACTTCTCTTTCCTTTTATACCGTAAGTGTACAAATTTTCGGCCCATTCAATTTTCGGCCTTCCAGGGCTAAAACACATTTCGGGCGCATCAAATTTTCGGCCTGTACTGCTGCTGCCTGTATACACTGTCACACTGAACCTTGAAAATCCAAATTTCGGGTGCAACAAATTTTCGGCCAAACATGACCAGGCCGAAAATAGCCGAAAATAAATATGCGCCGAATATTCGTTGACTTACGGTATTGTTTTCGCATCGGTTCCATCGCTTGACATTGTTTAATAAAGCAACCCAACGTCACTTCAGCTAGTCCTCCTTGTTGCGAGTACAGTCAGACCTCGCATAACCGCACACATTCATTTCCACAAACAATATCCGGATAGGCGAGGGGACCGGATAATCGAACACACATACGAGTCCTGTATGTATGCATGATATAAGCTGTAAATCGGTAACCATCGGTTTTCTTCCGGATGGCGAGGGATACGGATAAAAGAGGACTGGATACGCGAGGTCTGACTGTAATCTATAGCGTAACGATTAGTTGATTGCTTAGTAGCAATGCGTTTCTACTACCTTGCCTGCTGCTTCAAGCTGTTACGCATAGGTGCCACCGCCGCCGCACTACTGATGATGCATGAACAGTGCTGCTCAATGAAATCCAGTTGCATAACTCAAGAACGCGCCGGGCATTGCGCAGCCCTAGGCCTGCGAACACTGGGCTGCGAAATGGTGCAAGGCGCAAACTTGAGTGACGCGACTGGATTTCATTGAGCGGCACTGTATGATGAGTGCAACAAGACTTACTAAACGTGCTGAGTAAGCTCTCCCAGTGCACAAGCAGACCGATGTGTGCTAGCTGAGTGCCAATCACTGTCAGCGTAGACGAGCTGCTCACTTCCAGGTGACTGATGAATGCAGTGATGATACTGGTCAGCTACGAAAAACATACAAACACACCATGTACCACGTACACACACACACACACGCGCGTATGCACGGGTACATGCACGGGTACACACACACACACACACACACACACACACACACACACACACACACACACACACACATGTTAACCGCAATCATGCAGAGTATATTGTACCAAGAGTACATAAGGCTGCAACCACACTACGCAAACATCACTGAACAAATGTCCTTGCTTATCTCGGTACAAGTATGTACTCAATCACACTGCAATCTTTGGCATGCACTGATGATACTTTCATGCAACTCACTGTGGACAGCTCATTTGGAGAACGAGATTGGCTTGTGTGACGGATTTTGGGAAACAGAAGTTTTAGGAACGTGGTAGACAACAAATCGTACTTCACGTAGATGGTGGAAGGCAAGCTGGAAGGCCAGTTTCCGAATGCAAGAGCGTACATTCTGTTTCTTGGTACGCCGTTATGGTCATCTCTGGAGCAGCGCGACTCCACTCATCAGAGACGAACAATACCCGTGGCCAAGAGGCTTGCTGTAGGGCCTTATTATCTATGCCAGGGTGAATCGTTCCAGGAAGTTGCGGCTCTGTTCCATATAGGTCCCAGCACAGCGGGGAAATTTGTTCATGAAGTTGTTGATGCTTTGCACAAGCCACTGGCTGCAGATTGTATTATATTCCCTGTCGGAAGCGAGCTACTAAAGACTATGCGGCAGTTCGAAGAACTGGGTGGGTTACCTCAGTGTGCTGGAGCTGTGGATGGCACATTCATGCGTCATGTGAAGCATGAATAGTGTGGTGATCTGTACTGGTGCCACAAGGGGTGTCCTGCGCTGGTTCTCTTTGCCTGTGTGGACAGCAAAGGTTTGCTCCATCCACAGGTTAGCCGTCACCATAACACAGAAACGTATGACGGTAATGCTATCAACTCAGTCCACGCCGGCAGAGTAGCTAGCATGCATCACAGCATGTTCGATCGAACCAATAATTGCTTTGTCGGAAGCCTTGATCCTCAGGTTTTCGAACAGAAGTTTCAATCGCCGGTGATATTATCGAGCTTGGCTTCGTTCCATACAACGACTGCTGCGTTTGAAATTAATCGGCGTGTGGTTGTGTCTACGTTTCAAGGATAGTTCTGAAGAAATTCAATACTGTCCATTGCTCCATCCACAGGTTAGCCGTCACCATAACACAGAAATGTATGACGGTAATGCTATCAACTCAGTCCACGTTTGGACGTGTCTTACGTCTCAGTGGCAAAACATCTTTATATCGCCGGCAGAGTAGCTAGCATGCATCATAGCATGTTCGATCGTACCAATAATTGCTTTGTCGGAAGCCTTGATCCTCAGGTTTTCGACATAGTGCTTGGTGACGCCAGTGCTTACAACAAGAGCCAGCCGAAGCGAAACATCAGCAACGGTATTGGGCTGAATGCACCTTCATTGCAATGCCAACATGCAGCCGTCCGCCCATACCTTGTTGGAGGCAGTAAATTCACACTCTCCACTACTCTGATGAAGATATTCCCTGACAACGGTGCTGTACCAGGCACACCGTCCAGTTTCAAAGCTGCCCACGTTCGTACCAGCCGTGTTGTGGAGTGCGCATTTGGTTGGCTCAAGGAGCGCTTCCGAGCGATTAACAACTGCCAAAGCACCGCTCCAAAGTTCGCCAGCAAGTTTGACCTTCTATGTTGTGGACTGAATACCATCATTGAGGCAAAGAGGTCAAGTTCTGACTTGGGCCAACTACGCACCAACACAGCAAGTGGCAAGGGTAGACCGGAATAATTTTATTGGATGACACTTTGCGTAGATTCCTCAAAATTTGGTCCGCACAATCGTCGAGTACATTGATTAATGGCGGTGGCGACCTCCTTCTCCCCGACCGATCCTTTCTTCATGTTTCCGTTCTTGTCTCTAACACACGAAGTACAGCAGGCATATCGTTTCAACAAGGCCTTTCGTTCCATTACTTTTCAAGTCGAATACAATGGTGGAACGAAAGGCCAAGTCGAAACTACATGGATTCTGTGCTTCGTGTGTTACTTTGTTTCCCTCCAAGCAAGAACCTATTCAGATCTTGTCTCTCTGGCACTATTCTGCCCATAGCTTTTAATTATGTTTTTCTAGGGGAGAAACGATTGCTGAAAATTGGTTATCGATTACCTATTTGCTAACGATCGAGTTGTCGGTCATAGCGATTATCTTGAGGTATTTAATTTCGTTGAATTAGCGCTACTTTCCTCTTCTTTCTTTTTTGCAATGGAGCAGGTCAGAACTATGAGGCCAGCAGAGTGCAACTCCTAAGTTGAGCGGCGGTGGACTCATCCAGAGCGGGATTTTTCATTGCGTCATTTTCGGCAGAAGTACCACCAGCTGAGTATGCTTTTCTGAGCTTGTCACGTCGTTATAGGCATCAATTTAGGGGCCGTCCGGCATTATCGATAATTTTCACGAAATGAACAAGTTTAGTTATGACCCTCCCCCACCCACCCACCCCCCCTCCCTGAATGAAAAAATATATTGACTTGACAGCTAGAATGGATTGATGTTTCAGCTATCAATATTTTTCATAACGAAACTCTCCTCGACCCACCCATCCATAAATGAAACGTTTTTGTTTTGTGTAAAAAGATTGATAATTATGGACGGCCCCTTATCAGATTCAGAACGCGTGCATCTTCCGTCGGTTGTTCTGCTTTGACAGTCGTAGCTACGACGTCCACGGTGCTTGCACTTTCGATCTCTGGTTACTCAAGATGGCAGCATTGAGCCAAAAGACCAGGAACAAATGTCATGGTTCGCGCAAGACTTGATTAGACCAGGTTAGACCAAGTTTTCCGCATCTGTAGGAGTGCCACCACGCTCAAGGATCAAGGCTGGGAAGGACTGATGTAAAAAATATCCCGCCAAGAGCTGAGTGATGGTCAAGTTGCACAATCTAGGTTTTAGTCTTACACGCCCTTGTTGTACAGTCCTGCTCAATGAAATCCAGTTGCGAGAGTCAAGTTGGCGCTGTGCGCCTTTTTGCAGCCCAGTGTTGGCAGGTCTAGGGCTGCGCAACGCCCGGCGTGTACTTGAGAAACTCGACTGGATTTCATTGAGTAGTACTGTACATTGCTCAAGAGACAAACACCAGATGTGATAGCATGCTCGCGGTGCTGGCTGAACACAGCATTATGGTGAAAAGAACCCCTCTTGATCATAAGAACAGGTGTCTTCCAATAAATGAAGGCTAAGTGTTCAGTTATGAAGCGGAACATTATAAGCTCCTTCATTAGGCCCCAGTCTGTAAGAAGCCCCGTGCCTGGAAAAATCTGAATACGTACAGTTTAATGAAGCACAATCATTTTTTTTGACTAGTTTGAGGGGAAGACACAAACGGGAAAAGTCCGAAGAAAATTTTTTTCAAGACATTTCAGTAACTTACTGCTTGTGAAAAGCACAGGTCTCTCCGATGGCGAATGCCACCGACACCAGTAACAATGTTAGGACAACCGACGTACTCCTACCATGAACAAGCGCAGATAGAAACAAGATAGCGAATGAACAGACACAGACACAGACAGATAAACAGAGGAATACTGTACAAGCAGAAATATTCGTCTGGAATTTAATTTCGTCTTTTTCGTCCAAGGAGCTGTTGGACTAAATTAAATGCCGGACTAATATTGATTTGTCCAGCTTTTCCATACACTCTTATGATCCATGGACGAAATTTACAACCGGACGAACTCCCGTTCTTTGGAGTTGGACGAAATTATTGACCGACGAAATTTTCTGCTTATACAGTAGATGAACAGACAGAGATAGACAAACAGCCAAATTGCTTCGCCTTCTGTTTATTGCCTTCTCGGCATGGCTTCTTCTTCCTTATGCCGCTAAGCTCGCATAATGCCTCAGAGACTTTAACGTCCAGCTGTCAGCACTTTAATAGTCCCCTCCAGTGTTAGCACCTAGACATAGCAGTGCCGAACCTACATTGAGTCCTCAATGCAGACACATACATACCTTGAGCAATGAGAACGTCAAGGCGGCCTGTAACTGTTGGAACATGGCTGCCAGGGATGTCGACAGGTTGCATATACAGTTCTCAATGTCATTCTGCATGACTTCACCTGCGCCACAGCGTAACACAGGCAATACAGAAATCATAAGAGATGGTGTCCGTATGAATAACAGATTGAGAGTACATGCGCACGCCCATGCATTGTGAAACTTTACCATGTCGTAACTGTCAAAACCAGCTCGAATTAAACGATCAAAACATCCAGGTCGAAGAGGAAACAATCAGCATTCCGTAGAAACCATCCGCAAAGCGCTGCGAGCAACGGTTCCCGAGATAAATTGGTCGCAAGTTCAGCAACTTGACAAGCGCGGAGTGCCACGCGAAAGATGAGAATTTAAAGTTATCAAGACCTTTCCTTGCGCTGAGTTACTCAAATATGCATGGATTCCACTGGTGGGATTCTCACAACCATAGTGAAAAATCGGAACTATATGATCGAAGAGAACAAATGGCCGAGCAGGACAATATTGCACACATTTAGAGAAGTTTTCGTTATTTCGTTGCTCTCCAGTGCTGGAGATACTACGAGTAGTATGGTGTCCTGGTCATCATGTCTGAGCTCTTGTGGAGACCTTTCCAGGAAGCCTAATATTGTGAAGATTGAGTGAATACAACTGACGTTACGATACAACGAACACGAAAATATGCAGAATTTGAAATTTCCCACCTGCTAAAGGGCTAACAGAACCAGCAGCAAATGCAACAGGCGCTCACATCGACACACCACCAGCACTGGCTGACTGCCAGTTAACTTACTGAATTCGTTGTCGTGATTCACAATGGCGTCGACTTTGGTGGCGAGGCACAGCGAGTGCTGTTGCACATTCTGACACGACATGGTTACATCCTGCAGCAGTAATGTAATGCCGTTGATAGTGATGTCACACAGAGACAAGTATAGTCAGCAATGATGTCATAGCAACACCACAATGACATCATCACATCTTTGTTTGGCACACACAGGGAACTTCAAATAAAGTGAGCCTGAGTTTGTGAGGCAGTTATCAGCAAACAGGTCGCACAAAATGCCCCAAATCAAGTACAACGCGTTCAGCATTTTCTCATCTCTCCAAACACGGCCATATCACACAGGTGCTTACCGTAGAAGATGTTGCAGACTTGACAAACTCCTTTCCATTCCACACCCATTCTAGCAATGACACACATGTGCACACACACACACACACGCACACATACATACGCATGTGCAAACACACAAACATACACACACACACACACACACACACATAAGCATAGCAGCAAAATAGTCCGTACTTGCAAAGTAAAGGGCAAACTATGAATAGGTCACTACTACTTAGCGCCCCGTCCCACATGCAGTGGTGCATCCGCTGTGGCAACAAGCTTTGGCGAGAGTGGTGCCGCAACTCTCCTACGACAAAATGTACTGGTACGGTGGTCTCACATGATTATGTCACCTGTACAATCCTCCTACCTCACCAACCACCCTGTTCGGCTTGTTAAAAGTGATCGTTCACCAAAATACGCAAGGCTACAAGCTACACATGCCATGAGGATATTGGGCACACAGGCAGGCACACTGACTCTGAGTGTGTCTACCTGTGTGTGTGTGTGTGGGGGGGGGGGGGGGGGATGGAGAGTCACATTGAGAAACAGGGGCAGAGACACACTGGCAGCACACTGCAGGAAACAATCAAGGCCATAGTTACAGAGACTGACGCACAGAGGGACATAGCAATTGAGAGGCAGAGGTGGAGGAACAAAAGGAAGATTTTGACACTGCAGAGAACGGCGGAGGGAGATAGAGACAGCGGCATAGTGCAAACCTTAGAGTAGTGTTTTGTAAATAAAAGTAAATAAAAGTTGGCACATCCCGTTACCACCGGCTATACAATTGTGTTGCGTTTCGTAGACTGCAAAGAAGCTATTGCTGACTATGGCAGGCAAGGGAGAGCACAGAGCGTGCACATTCAATCCTGCGCACTCAGTGTTGCACACTCAGTGTTGCGCACTCAGAGTTGCACACTCAATGTTGCACACTCCATGTTGAACACTCCATGCTGTTGCACACCCCATGTTGAACACTCCATGCTGCACACTCAACGCTGCACACTCCATACCGCACACTCAATACTGCACACTCCGTACTGCACACTCAATACTGCACACTCCATACTGCACACTCCATGCTGCACACTCCATGCTGCACACTCCATGCTGCACACTCAATACTGCACACTCAGGTTACGTTTGGTTGGTCACATTCCCAAATGGGAATCACTTGGAATCACTCGGAATCATTCTCGCCCGTTTGGTTGGTCAAAAAAGTGCGTTAGGTTGGTCACATTCCACATGATTCCAGAATGGGAATCGCTGAGAATGATTCTTTTTGGAGAATGATCATTCCACCTCACATGCTGGAATGAGCATTCTCATTCCGGAATCAAAAATGATAATGGCTGCCACGAGCCAAACAATGTAGCAACAGGTTCAAGTGCCTCAAATCATGCACTCAGAAGTACCATGACTCTCTCAAGGAAACTAGAGTCGGGTAAAAGAAAAGACAGCCGCCGTTCCACAACGACATCATGGAATTGTTATGTCAAGTGATTCCTAATTGATTCTGGCGCGTTAGTTAGGTCAGGTGATTCTTGCCGATTCCCATTCCAGAATGGTTGTCATTTACATTCTGAAAATGCCCAACCAAACGCATCATCAATATCGCACACTCAATACTGCACACTCAATACTGCACACTCAATACTGCACACTCCATGCTGCACACTCAATACTGCCCACTCAATACTGCCCACTCCATGCTGCACACTCCATGCTGCACACTCCATGCTGCACACTCCATGCTGCACACTCCATGCTGCACACTCCATGCTGCACACTCCATGCTGCACACTCAATACTGCACACTCCATGCTGCACACTCCATGCTGCACACTCCATACTGCACACTCCATGCTGCACACTCAATACTGCACACTCCATGCTGCACACTCAATACTGCACACTCCATGCTGCACACTCCATGCTGCACACTCCATGCTGCACACTCCATACTGCACACTCAATACTGCACACTCAATATTGCACACTCCATGCTGCACACTCAATACTGCACACTCAATACTGCACACTCAATATTGCACACTCAATACTGCGCTCTCCATACCGCACACTCAATAATGCACACTCTGTACTGCTCACTCCATATTGCACACTGCAATCAATATAAAGTGCGGCGGTCTAACCTGGATTGATGGCGGCAAAGCCCTCTCTGGTATCCTTCTCGGTAGCGCGTGACAGGTTATACACACACTCATGCAGACTACCTGCCTTGCAAACCTGCACTAGCTCCGATATCTGCACACAAAGGGCATACACACCGATGTACAATGTACATAAAGATGCTCATAACATGATCACCTGCCACCTACACCTTGAGTATACAATAGAAAGCCCTCGTTGCTTCCCACAATACACCTGCAGTGCTGCTCAATGAAATCCAGTCGCGTCACTCAAGTACGCGCTGGGCGTTGCACAGCCCTAGACCTGCGAACACTGGGCTTCAAAGTGGTGCAAGGCGCAAACCTGAGTGCCGTGACTGGATTTCATTGAGCAGTAGTGCTTTCTGGATAAACATATTGCAACAAGGGAGATGGACTTTCCGCGAAACTGAGCGACATTGCAAGGTGCCGGTCACCCGAATCAAACCCGTATTCTCACAGAACATGTGCTGGAGAACATTGTTACGCATGTCACCAGACAAACAGGCTTCAAAACAGACAACACATCATACCCCGTACCTTCTCCTCCATTTTCACCATGGCCATCCTCAGCGTGTCGTGGTCCTTTGACTGTACAGCCCTACAAGGTAATCATGGTTAACATCACACAACACACACAGTTATACGGTTCAGCAACTGAAGCAAAGCAAGGGGAGTGACACACACACACACACACACACAAACACACGCACGCACGCACGCACACACACACACACACACACGCCAGAGTCAAGACCACTCAACAACTAATGCGTTCTGCAAGGCTAGATAGTCGCTCCGTCACCCAACAACGCAACATGCATTCGGTGCGTGTGTGTGTGTGTGTGTGTGTGTGTGTGTGTGTGTATGTGTGTGTGTATGCGCGTGCATGCGTGCGTGTGTGTGCATGTACATGTAGTGTGAAAATGTACATGTGTAGCTGACATGGATGCAGTGGCAAAGTGACAGTCACAGAGCGGCCATGCACATCGTCAACACTTACTCTCGAAGAAGATCTTCAGCACCAGAGAATGCCTCCTGTAACGTCCGGATTTGCCCTGGCAGCAAAAAAATAGAAACAAAAAACCTGATAAGGCAGTGACTGCACATACACAAGTACACACCACTACACAATATACACAAACATTACACATACAGTGCTGCAACATGAAATCCAATCGCGGAAGTCAAGTTTGCATCCTCAACCAGTGCACAGACCAGTGTTCACAGGTCTCTTGCTGCACAGCGGCCTGCCCGGCGTGGCATCGACTTCGCATGATGGGATTTCATCGAGCAGGACTGTCACGCTTTGTTTCTGGAATTGTTTGGTGTGTGTCATGGCTACCGAGCCGGGTAATAGCTAGTCTTCTGAAGAGCGGTGCATGGAGCAGAGGAGTAGAGGAGCATTGCAGCACTGTACAGTGAAACCTGTAACTAACTACCACCCCTTGGGGCTAGACAAAGTGGTCTTTAATAGTGGCAGGTGGTCCTTAGTTAGAGGTTTGCACCGCACAATAGGGGTGAAACGATTAGTTCGAATATTCGAGTATTCGTTCGAAATTTTCAAACGAGCGAGTATTCGAAATTTTGCACTCGATCGTTTTTTTTTTTTTTTTTTTTTAGTACAGGTAGACTCCCTCTAATTCGAACACGGTATAATTCGAACATTCCGTGTAATTCGAACTTTTTCGTCGTACCGATCTTCTGCAAGTCACTTCAAGTCAAAATCGAATGCATAATTCGAAGTACGAAAAGTGCGCCGGTTGGATAATTCGAACCCAGTCTTCGTACAGAAGAGCTATTTACAGTACATTGGCTATGTCCTTTGAACGCTTATTTCGAAGTGAGATTGAGTTGCTATCCTTGTAATTCGAAGTTCATTCTTTTCTCCTTCTCTAGCCAAGAGTAGCTCAAAAATCGATCGATGGTCCGCTGCAGGATCGACTATAGCGTTCAAGAAACCCACCTTCTCTCGGAATTTCTTTCAAGCCCGTGCGAGGCAAATTGCAAAGGTTTGATTGAAGACGACGTCTTCCAGGTGGCTGACTCTCTTCGCGGATCTCGATTTTCTTCACTAGAAAATGAAGATGTCAAAATGATTTTGTGTCGATCCAGTGTGTTGATGATCCGTTGTACACGACCGGTACGACCAGCTATGTTTCGTTGATGCAAATAAAAATGTGCAAAAAATATTCAGCATGCGATTTCAAGCATTTTGACATACATATCAGTGCATGGGGCTGCATTTGGATAATTAGAAGTTCTGGATAATTCGAAGTTAGGGCCTGGCAATTTGAGGTTCGAATTAAAGGGAGTCTACCTGTATTGGCATTCTAATTTTCAAAAAACTGCTGTTGGACCGCTCATCCACTGGTATGCATGTGTTATGCATGCCTTTGAGTCAGTATTTTATGACTTGGATGATGCGATCACCACGGCAAGTTACGTTAGTTTGTTATGAGATACACTCTGTACAAGACGTTGGCGACTTTTGTTCTATGTTCACAGATCATTTCTCCCGGATTGGTCGAGAACTAACAAATCTAGCGATTTTGAATTTTGATAAAATACTCGAAATAATCGGATACTCGATCGAATATTATGAATGAGTGATCGATTGGTCAAAATAGATACTCGTTTCACCCCTACCGCACAACCATAATAATGTGAGACCGTCCGTGCCTGGCGAAGTGGTCTATAGTAGCAGGCTGGTCGCTAGTCAAGGTGGTCTTTAGTTACAGGTTTTACTGTACTTGCAAGTTGTACTGATGGGTGTATGACCAAGTCCAGTTAGCCCAGTTAGCCAGCACACCATTTGATTGCACTATTTGATGTCCAGGCAAGCCGCAGCAAGAAATCTGATTTTTTTCATGGTTCACGTGAGACTCGGCTGGAAACCGAATTTTCCGCATCCGCAGGAACGCCACCACCCTTCAAGGATCAAGGCGCAGATGCAGCTCCTAAAGCGGTGGGAAGTGAGGAGATCAGACCCACCAAAGTGGATGGGAATGGGAAATCTGATATTGATCCTGTATAAACTCGGCATGTGAGACAAAACCTAAGCGCTCTATTGAACAAGTGCCTTATATAGCACCCCCCCCCCCCACACACACACACACATCCCCTCTTTGAATTCTTCCCTCCACTCATCAGACTCTTGCATACACCCCCGATGGTCCATGATGCAAGTACCAGATTAATGAGAACTCAAATCAAGTATCATGGTGGTCACAGCCATTGTATTACTACAACAGCTGTGACATTCTTGTCAACTACAGTCCATTCAGAAAAAGATGGACTTCTAGCTTTTGGCCATAAATGGGTCAAACTTTGAGTTTTTTAGAATTTTTTTCTGCAATCCCCTATGGAATCCTCTTCCAATTATGTTTCTGAAGTTTTTTTGTCCAAAAAGCAAGCCAGAACAAGAATAGGATTTCGGCCAGGTTTTGCCCCAAATGCACTGAATTGGGAAAAACCATAAAAATCCAGGCCGTTTGACCCCGCCTGCAACAGTGCATTGTGTGGTTCGAAACCCCAGTTCAGGTACCCTTTTTGGACCCTTTTTCAAATTTCAAATCTTGCAGCACTGCACTGCGTACGATGAAATCACGAAAAATCGCCAAATACGGGAGCTCACCAGAGTCAGGGCCCATCTTTTTATGAATGGACTGTAACTTGCTCAAGTGCCCTGCTGTAGGAGCAGGCAATGGTACTGATAGTACTGCAATTTCACCAATTTCCGGTGCGCTTTTATTTTCGGTACTTTTGGTGCATTTCTTGCGTACCTAGAATTTCAACAGCCACACGTACACGAACACTGTAACATCCATCATCAGGGACTGCTTCTCTGTACCTAAAATGCCTGTTCACCTAACCTGGTCCGTTGCCCTTGCACCTAAAAATTTTGAGTACCTAAAATTTCTGAATTAGAGCAGTTGGTAGTCGATATTGCTACCTTCACTAGCTGCAGATCTACGATGATATGAGGAACATGAATTCAAAGTACAGTGCTGGCAACTGAAATCCAACCCCTGCGCTCACATCGCAAAGACCCAACACGGGATCGTAAAACTACGAAGTTGAGACCGCTAGAATGTGAACGCATCATCGCTCAGGGGTCGGATTTCAGTTGCCAGCACTGCACTGTAGTTTGCCGCCCATGCTGACCTTCTAGACCTTGATGTCCATGTCCATGGTGACAATACTTGAAGCAGAGTCTGTGTAGGAGCAGTGCATGGCAGTACGTACAGCATGGTCACAGTTCTCTGGTTGTCCAGTGCTGCAAATACCAAAGGAAGATGCCGACACGTCCGTGGAGCCGATCGCATCACCCAGCTCCAAAGCGAAACATGTAGACTGCAACAGCTGCATCTGACGCAAGGTTGGAGTAAGAGGCTAAAGGGTGATGATGCCAAGCTTGTCGCAGTATCAGTAGTCAAATCGGTATCAGCAGCCACATCGGTATCAGTGGCCGCAGCCGTATCAGCATCAGGCCAGTCAGGGGCAGTGCTTGCATGTCGTAGCCAAACAAAGGGGTGTCGGAGATGAAACACATGCCTCCGGGGTTTCGTTTAGATCCAGTGTCACCAATGAGAGTAGCACCACACACACAGCCCTGCTGCCATTGCACATGCTACCACCTTGGCTACACACAGCAGGGCAATGTAGACTCTTTCCTGACGAGGAAGCACCAATGCCCACAGGAAGCCGACGTGCAGCTCGTTGAGACTAAACGTAAAGACACCACTGTCAGACGTAGACACATATGTCCCCGACGCTGACTGTACCATTACGCGTCATCTGCCAGACCAAACAAGGAATGGTGTTGTGTGAGATGGAACCCAGCTGTGGACAGACTAAGGAAATCAGCTGAGCTTCAGGACGTCACCAGGATCATGCAGACATAATGCTCCCCAGGGGCTGGCGTTTTCGCTTTAGAAGTAAAACACCACAAAGTGTGCAAGGACAGATTCACAGAGGATATTGAGAGGTCGTGGAGACCCAGTTCAGATACTGATGCTGGAAGTTTGGACGACGACGACAACTATCGCAGTCCAATATGTCGCCAGTGCCGCCAAGGATGGGTGTCTGGTGAGATGGAACCCAGCTGTGGACAGACTAAGGAAATCAGCTGAGCTTCAGAACGACACCAAGATCATGGAGACATAGTCCTGCCCAGGGCCTGGCGTTTTCGCTTTAGAAGTAAACCACCACAAAGTGTGCAAGGACAGATTCACAGAGGATATTGAGATTTGAGAGGTCGTGGAGACCCAGTTGCGATACTGATGCTGGTAGCTCGGACGACGACGACAACTATCGCAGTCCAATATGCCGCCAGTGTCGTCAAAGATGGGTGTCTGGTGAGATGGAATCCAGCTGTGGACAGACTAAGGAAATCAGCTGAGCTTCAGGACGACACCAGGATCATGCAGACATAGTGCTCCCCAGGGCCTGGCGTTTTCGCTTTAGAAGTAAAACACCACAAAGTGTGCAAGGACAGATTCACAGAGGATATTGAGAGGTAGTGGAGATCCAGTTGCGATACTGATGCTGGAAGTTTGGACGGCGACGATAACTATCGCAGTCCAATATGTCGCCAGTGTCGTCAAGGATGAGTTGAGGCTAAACACAAAGCCACCACTGTCAGACGTAGACACATATGTCCCCGACGCTGACTGTACCATTACGCGTCATCTGCCAGACCAAACAAGGAATGATGTTGTGTGAGATGGAACCCAGCTGTGGACAGACTAAGGAATCAGCTGAGCTTCAGGACGTCACCAGGATCATGCAGACATAATGCTCCCCAGGGGCTGGCGTTTTCGCTTTAGAAGTAAAACACCACAAAGTGTGCAAGGACAGATTCACAGAGGATATTGAGAGGTCGTGGAGACCCAGTTCAGATACTGATGCTGGAAGTTTGGACGACGACGACAACTATCGCAGTCCAATATGTCGCCAGTGCCGCCAAGGATGGGTGTCTGGTGAGATGGAACCCAGCTGTGGACAGACTAAGGAAATCAGCTGAGCTTCAGAACGACACCAAGATCATGGAGACATAGTCCTGCCCAGGGCCTGGCGTTTTCGCTTTAGAAGTAAACCACCACAAAGTGTGCAAGGACAGATTCACAGAGGATATTGAGAGGTCGTGGAGACCCAGTTGCGATACTGATGCTGGTAGTTCGGACGACGACGACGACAACTATCGCAGTCCAATATGCCGCCAGTGTCGTCAAAGATGGGTGTCTGGTGAGATGGAATCCAGCTGTGGACAGACTAAGGAAATCAGCTGAGCTTCAGGACGACACCAGGATCATGCAGACATAGTGCTCCCCAGGGCCTGGCGTTTTCGCTTTAGAAGTAAAACACCACAAAGTGTGCAAGGACAGATTCACAGAGGATATTGAGAGGTTGTGGAGAACCAGTTGCGATACTGATGCTGGTAGTTCGGACGACGACGACAACTATCGCAGTCCAATATGTCGCCAGTGTCGTCAAGAATGCGTTGCTGGGGCAACAGCAAGTCTTCCAGATGGCATCAATTAGAGAATGGTACGTTTGCCCAACACGGTGTTGGCCCGTTTGGTAAATCCGCTCGCTGCATGTTCCCTACTTCCGATCTGTCTAACGATGTCGGACACGACTGACGCTCTGATGGCAGGTGCAAATGTCCTCTCCGGTCTGGGCCGACCGCAGGCCGCGCTCCCACTCCGGCAGCTGAAAGATGACTTAGAGTTCGTAGAACGAATAAACGTTCGGTTTCTCCGCAGGCACATCCACAGAGAGCTCCAGGCGAGCTGGTGCCCCAGCAGACCAGGCAGGCAGCACCATGCCGAAAAGCTGAAACGCTGCCTCAAAAAGCAATTCAAAGGAGACAATTCTCATTTTGCCTTTCGAGGCTCAAGGCGTATGGTGAGGTAGTGTATTCCTCTGATCCGGAGGTGGAAAAAGTCACGGAAGCCGTCGCCATTCTGCTTTCCTCCGGGCACAGGAGCTCCGAAGAGTAGCAAGTTGGCAGTTGCCTACGCCTGACCATCGGTGTCATGTGACGCACAACCTCTTCCATTCCTGCACGGAGATCCACTCTCCTATCAAAGGAATGAAGCGTAGAATGCCCTGGCCAGCGACAGCCAGTGCTAGCTCAGATGCTGACACTGAATTGCTTGTGTTGTTGTACAGTGCACTGGCCTAGCCCCTTGGCGATGCGAGCCAGTCTTCTGGACTAGTCTTCATCGTAGTCCTGTAGAGTTGCAATAGCGCAACAGCTACACAAGACAATTCGAACAATGGGAAAGGATATCATCACGTACGGCAAACACGGAAACATTCTTGAAACAATTGTCAACCTGACTAGGCCCATGGTGAGACAGTCACAGGGTGCCCTGACGTCCAACATCGTCGAGGCAGCTCGGTGAACACATCACTTGCTACCCACGCCGAAAACCTCTTCGACAGTCAGGGGAGGGGGTCTTCATTTCTGAGCTGTTTCTAAGCTTTGCCTTGCGGACTACGAGGGTGGTTTGTCAGTTGAACAAATTACCCTCTCTGCCTGCCCCCCCCCCCCCCCCCCCTCTCCCTGCACCCCACCTCAAGCACAACTCTCTGTGTAGAATAATGTAGTACACGCTCAGTCACTTACGAGACGCGTGGTGCTGCTCCTCTCGACAGTTGACAACGTTAGAGCGAGGCTCGTTACTTGCAGCGCCAACAGAGGCGGGAGCTGCATTCGGCATGCTACACAGCACGAACAGAACAACACGGCGTATAGGGAATAAGAATACAACAGTACAGCAGTCATGAGTGCTATTATTATAGATGTTGCTCTATCTGTCACATGACTATACAGGACAGACATGTAGGTTACAACTCCACTCAACCCATGCACGGGACAGCCATGTTGGTTTCCAACTCCACTCAACCCCTGCATCTATGGGCCACATGATGTCAGCCATGTTGGTTCCACTGTCCATGTGCCAAGTACAGTAGTAGAGTGCTAAATCCTACTCCTCAAATTATGCTACCCAAATCGCCTGCACTGTCACCACACTACCGTTGTATGCTTGTCCATGCGTGACTCGCACCAATGCGCTGGCTGTGGTCACGTGCGCCGTACGTCATGGCACCAAACAATATGGTGCATGCAAACAATGCAGCCTCATTTTGCCTTGCATGCCAAAGTTCTTCTTGTTGGGTTCAATCCATTTTGTGGTTGACCAAACTTGCCAGATCTCGGCTTTTTTACCCAAATCCCATTTCCATATCACTCATTTACATGTACTTTGACACAGTAAAGGGTGCTGGCCACTTCCATTTACGGCTACTCAGGGCTCTCGGTCTCAGCCACTCAGCCTTCACTAATGCTCTTGGCTCATCAAGACTGCTGCTTCAACATAGATTACCTGAGTATGACCGACCATTTCGATTCCTCTCTCCGCAGCCTCTCACTCTGCTGACCGGCCCTCCCCGTTCCCCAAGCAGTCTGTTGTAGTTAATGTGTGTGTGTGTGTGCGTGTGTGTGTGCGTGTGTGTGTGTGCGGGTGTGTGCGGGTGTGTGTGTGTGTGAGTTTGTCATGGCTTGTACTGCTTGCTAAAAGAGCACACATACTTATGAGAGGTGACGCCGAAGGGTTGTAGCAAGCGGCGAAGTCCACCGCTCCGGAACTTGAGAGAGTGCGCTGCAGGGGCTCCGACGGTTATCACTTCCCACATGCCTGATGTGAATTACACACAGTAGAGCAAGAATACACACACACACACACACACACACACACACACACACACACACACACACACACACACACACACACACACACACACACACACACACACACACACACACACACACACACACACACACACACACACACACACACACACACACACACACACACACACACACACACACACACACACACACACACACACACACACACACACACACACACACACACACACACACACACACACACACACACACACACACACACACACACACACACACACACACACACACACACACACACACACACACACACACACACACACACACACACACACACACACACACACACACACACACACACACACACACACACACACACACACACACACACACACACACACACACACACACACACACACACACACACACACACACACACACACACACACACACACACACACACACACACACACACACACACACACACACACACACACACACACACACACACACAGAAAATACACACTCAAAGTCAGGGCAGACACCTACCCCAAACAAACACCCCTACTTCAACATCTACACCATCACGCTGGAGAGCACAGAGCAAGTTGCACGGGCGGAAGTAAAAATAGTATCGGGAACATGGGGAAACCTCAAATAACAGGGCTTTGGATTTATTTAGATTCCCCTGGAAATCTGGCAACTGCCTAAAAGCTACTACAGTCGTCGCCAAAAAAATCCGGCCAATGCTATGCTAGCTACCGGTAGCTGTACGTGGCCGCATGCACTGCCACTGCCACTGCTAGTGCTAGGCATGCACTGCCACTGCTAGTGCTAGTGCTAGGCATGCACTGCCACTGCTAGTGCTAGGCATGCACTGCCACTGCTAGTGCTAGTGCTAGGCATGCACTGCCACTGCTAGTGCTAGGCATGCACTGCCACTGCTAGTGCTAGTGCTAGGCATGCACTGCCACTGCTAGTGCTAGGCATGCACTGCCACTGCTAGTGCTAGTGCTAGGCATGCACTGCCACTGCTAGTGCTAGGCATGCACTGCCACTGCTAGTGCTAGTGCTAGGCATGCACTGCCACTGCTAGTGCTAGGCATGCACTGCCACTGCTAGTGCTAGTGCTAGTGCTAGGCATGCACTGCCACTGCTAGTGCTAGGCCTGCACTCGATACTCCGCAGTGCACCGTCTGTGCTGTGCTGTGCTCGACTCGACTGCAGCAGGCAGAGTGTAGCGCGGACTGTTTTAGTTCAGTGCTGTGCTGCATGCTGGTAGACCTTCTACTGTAAATGCATGCATGCATGCATGCGACAGGCACCATGCCACTGTACACGTATCCATGGCAATGGCCGGATTTTTTGGCGACGACTGTAGTATTAAGTGTCAGTGTAATGATGTGAAAAAGGGACAAACATTTACTCACCTTGCCTCTTCCGAGGAGTTACCGGTGCAGTGTCTGCAAGACCAGAACACACACACACACACACACACACACACACACACACACACACACACACACACACACACAGACGCATGCACACGCGTGTACACACACACACACAGACGCACGCACACGCGCGTACACACACACACACAATTCAAAAACGCATGACTTACACTCCTGACTCAGCAGCGTCAGGGTCAAAGAGAAACGCACTTGATACAAGCTACTGGACTGCGCGTTCGAGTATACCGGTACAAGTGTGAATGCGTGCAAACACAGTGCCGTCTACTTGACACTTGGTGCGGTTGATTCGCATTTGCGATCCGTCTCTAGCAGGCCTTTTTGCCGAAACAAACGATTAAAACGTGTCTATGCGCCCGTGGATGCATGGCCACATGTGTCTTTACACCCCTAGACTACAGTGAATGTGTGCAAGTCAACTGTGAATCACATTCACTACTTCACAACTGCAGACCGCACTAGAGATCAAGTCTCCGCACACCTTGTCACAAAGCAAGCTGCAGAACATTGCACCAGCTACACTGTGAGTGCAGGTCGGCCAGTAGCTACCGTTGTGGGTGTGTGTGTGTGTGTGTGTGTGTGTGTGTGTGCGCGCGTGCGTGTGTGTGCGTGTGTGTGTGTGTGCGCGCGCGCGTGTGTGTGTGTGCGCACATGCACGAGTGCGTGCGTGTGCGTATGCCAGCTACTCACCAATAACTGCCGACATCTCCACAGACGAGCCCGGCCGCATGACCTTGATGCCGACCGGTGCTGCCGCAGGTCCTGGTAGTGACATACCAAACATCTCTTCGTGTGACATTGCAGGCGACACCGGGCTGCCAATCGGATTCTTCCTGTAGGATACCGAGCTGCCGAGACCCTCCCCCGCCGACGGCAAGTGGTGGGTACGCGAGAGCGTGGACAGCACCGAGTCACCCATCTTCAGGCGGATGCGCTGCACGTGCAGGTTGGTGGCGACGAACTCCAGACGCTGCTCGCTTTTCAGTCGGCTCGGCTTGAACGTCATCTCCCCCTTGCCTGTCCAGCACATACAGACGATGAGCACACAGGCAATCTGTGTCAAAAGACGCGTATCTTTTGTTCTCCCTCCTAACCCCTACATATCTGTATTGCCGTGGTTGGCTATCACCTTGGCTGGTGTTTCCGCTGAGTCTTGAGATGTTGCAACAAATATACGAATACAGTCAACTTCGCTAATAACGACTGCGGATATATACACAACTTTGCGGATAACGACACTCGGCGGGGCATCAGAAAAGTATCCTTATTCACGATGTGTCCTTGTACCGGAAGTCTCATTATATGTATACAGGTAGAATGGACGTTGCTCTGGGCATGGGAATTCTGTTGTTATTCGCGCGAACTGTCGTTATATCCGCAGTCGTTATTAGCGAACTTGACTGTATCTTTTATGAGTCTATCCAAATCCTACGAAAATGTCAATCAAGTCTCCCTGGAGTCCCTTTCTTTTGCATGTCGTAACTCCATAAACACAAACAAAGTCTGTGTAACATGATTGTCTACAAACAAAAACAACAAAGCGTCAATCAGATCCTATTAATCTACTTCAACACAAGTACATGTTAACTGATCTTTCACCATTGCTGTGATTCCCACCTTTACTTTGTGGGCATGTAAAGCAAGCGGCAAGCATCCAGATTATTCTCACTATTGTTGTCTGATGGGCGCCTACTTGTTCGTGAAGCTCAGAGTTGCAACACTTTCTCCCTTCTCTTCTTGTTGTACATCATGTATATTATTATTATTATTGTGAACATTTCCGCGTTGAAGCGCATCAGTAGTATGGTGCTGAGTTCACAGCTTCGCTTATGCTGAATGGCATGGTTTGGCTTGGCTTGTTGTATGCGTATGCAAGTACAAAAGATATTTTCTACAGTCAGATGTAAAAGAAAACAAGCTTCACGCACCTAGCAGCAGCTCCAGTCGATTGATCAGGTCAGTGTAATAGGTGATCGTCTCCTGCAGGTCGGCTTTGAACGCCTCGCATTGGCCAGACCAGGCGCTACTCAGCTGCAAACCATACACCATACACACGCATGCATGCATGCACACACACACACACACACACACACACACACACACACACACACACACACACACACACACACACACACACACACACACACACACACACACACACACACACACACACACACACACACACACACACACACACACACACACACACACACACACACACACACACACACACACACACACACACACACACACACACACACACACACACACACACACACACACACACACACACACACACACACACACACACACACACACACACACACACACACACACACACACACACACACACACACACACACACACACACACACACACACACACACACACACACACACACACACACACACACACACACACACACACACACACACACACACACACACACACACACACACACACACACACACACACACACACACACACACACACACACACACACACACACACACACACACACACACACACACACACACACACACAAACACACACCAGCATAGCACACCATCATTGAGCTGAACCGGCTCCGGTCCAGCCAATCCGGCCGACAATTGTAAAACGTGTAAGTTACAAGTGAAGTTCACATGTTCGCACTACCACCCGCTACACGTAAAACACGCACATACAGTCAGACCTCGCATAACCGCACACATCCGTTTTCCACAAAATATCCGGATAGGCGAGGGAACCGGATAATCGAACACACACACTGTATGTATGCAAGACATATGACCGGATAAGCGAGGTCTGGCTGTATACGCCATGCAACACAACGGAACATGAATTATCGCTCCGTGTAGTGCGTAGGGCTGATGGAGGTACACCCATGTCTTTCTTATCCGGGCAGTCCGGGACCGGGCACTGCCCGTAACCTTGAAATGTCCGTAACTCCGAATCACATACATTTTGATGGGGAAGTGCCAGAGATCTGGGATATGACGTCATCACTTCAACATAATTGCCAAAAGAGTAGTAATATTTCCACTAAGACTTATCCAAAGTGTGCCCGGTAGACCGAAGTGCCCGTAACTTCGGGATGCGGATAACCAAGGTATGAGTGTACATGTATTGCAGATAGATACTGACAGATAGATACTAAAGTTAAAGACGCCATTAGTTCTACTGATATCCACACAGCTCAGTCTGGTGCGACTGACCTTTCTAAGGTCCAACAGTTGTAACATGAGACTGCGATCTTCGTCGATAAATATCCGCCTGCAGGAACATGTCGGAAGACACCACCAAAACACGAACACCCCGGGGGGAAATCATGACAGGCACGGGAACAGCAGCACAATATCTAAATATCAGTATACACGTAGGTCGAGTCCTGGTAGGTCTCAGCCTAAGTACAGCACACCGAGTCCTTAATCCTCTACTGAGCAACTACAGTGCTCGATAAAGTCCGATCACGCGAGTCAGGTACAAGCAACGGGCGCTGTGCAGCCCAAGACCTGCGAACACTGGGATGGTCGCAGGCGCAGGGCGGGTGCAAAGCGGACACACTCGACCAGACGTCACTGAGCAGCACTGTACAGCCACACAGCAGTAGAATATTTTACTGAAGACACAAGAAAGGGGAGAGAAGTAGCAGGACAAAATAACAATGGGAAGAGTAGGGGATCCACGAAGGAACCTGTGCTGGCGAGGCAAACCAACAACGCCGACCTGTGGTCTCGGCGTTATCGCAAGCTTGCGCACCATGAGACTTTTACGGGGAGAGGGGAGAAGACAAATTGGAGACTTACAGCAGCTGTATAGGTACCGTCCACGTGTACATGCTCTCTCCCATCAACTCCACTGCCTTGATAGACCTGTCCAATTGTCTGTCAATAGCAAGGGAAAACACACAGTGGAAAAAACACGTGACAGGAAACACACAAGAGTGAGCACAAGGGAAGAAACAGGATTCTAATTCTTCGACAGATTCCAATCTTAGTTGGCAGAACTTACCACCTAAATTTCATCTCCACCTGACTGCATCAGAATTCCACGCAGTTACCTAAGGTGATCCCGCCAAGGACACTAACATGGCACGCTTCCAAAAACAAGTGCAATAGCAGAATATTTTACTTCTCCCCCATTAGCTTACCATATTTTACTGGTTAGAATTTGACCTTTCATAAAAAATGAACTAAAAATTCACCTTGCTCTGATTTAGCCCATAGTGGTATCAACATGTTCGTATAAGAAAACTTTGCTGAGCACTCTCGGTAGGCTGCTCTAGTGCTGCTGCATTACGCATTGCCCGCTACTTTTCGTAGTTAGAGCACTCTGGCGCTAGAGCGACGAGCTACCTTAATGTCTGTGGTGTCTCTTTTGCACCATGGCAGGTAGCTCGGCTTGCTTAAAGCTCGTAGCTGTACTGATGAGGCCGTTATGGCCGAAACAGCTTGCTGTCTACAGCATTGGGTATAAAAAAAACTTAAAAAAGTTCACGGTTCACGTGAGACTCGGCTAGAGGCCGTGTTTCCACATCCGCAGGAACGCCACCACCCTCAAGGATCAAACGTTCGTATAGTGCCCAGCAAGTATCTCTGAAAAATTTGAGTGATATTGGATTATCCATGTATTATTATTATTATTATTATTATTATTATTATTATTATTATTATTATTATTATTATTACTTGTAAGTGCATTATCGCGAGTGTGGCGGGATTGTGCCATTATTATGCCATTCAGGACACCATACAGAAAATGAGGAGACCACACGGATACGCAACGTAGCGGATAAGCGTGCCTGGCGAGCCCTCAACAAGGCTAATTGGACTTGAACAACGAAACAAATTATCCCAAACAATACAAGTTATCTCTGGCTGTTGTTGGCTTCTTCGCCTTCTTGTTCAATAGAATCGTACCTGATCTTTCTTTCGTTCTCGACACAAAGTTCTGCATTGTACACATTCTTCATACCTAATAGGTGTCTTCTACCTAAATGTACCTGGCCCAGAACCGGCTTTATAGATACTACTGAAGTTGTTCAATAGCAAATGCAAAGTCAACAGGACTACTGTATTTAGTATGCGCTAAATCCATCACCGCTTGTGAAGCTTAGCATAGTTTTCAATATTCTACCGCCTATGTATATGAAGGCCTGTGGTGGCAATGTGATTCACTTGAACCTGTGAGTGCGTTTTTCCAAGATGACTTCAGAAGCAGACATGTGAAACGATGCGCAGAACCAGAGGCAATGTACCGACGTGGCAGTGCAGCAACCGCATGGCAGGCGTGCTGTGACAGCGAGCCCGAGTTGGGTGTCTGCTGGAAGTGCTCCTGTAGCGTCGAGTAGGAACTCCGTGCCTGCTGGCAGTGCTGCAACTGCAGGCATGAGGTCGACTCCTGGAACGGTCACTATGACTATTAGTACGTTGTCGAGTTCTGTGCCTGCTGCCGCTTCTATGTGTATTGTCATATCCCTGGAGAGCGGGCCACCGGGGAAGGCTGGATTTCCGACTTGGTTTTGACTGCAATGCTCATGATTGAACAAGCTCTTAGAGAAGAAATCCAGACTCCAACTGAACATTGAAACCAGATAGCATTGCGTTTCTGCTCGGCACCTCACTAAACGACACCATTGTTATACGACCAGGCAGGAAGAGCTGGAAACTTGTGAGAAGTGACAAAGAAGTCAAGGAAGAAGTGAAGAACATTGAAGAAGAGCACCAGTAATCATCAAGGAGGTCAAACAGAGGTCACCTACTTTTCTTTTTTTTGTAAGTACGAGTCCAATGGATTCTGATGGGAACATTCGTAGGCAGGTATGCTGGAGTGGGATAGACCTTTTAAAGTTTATTTGTGTGTTTTTCGGTCAATTTTTGGCCTATCCCGCCTTTTTTCCTACCACGATTGCGGCAGAGTGGTTGGTGCCATACCCCTAGTAAAACCCATACATTTCTGAGCTCCGTGACACATTAGCTAGGTTGTGAATGTCTTCCTTTAGCCAGTCATCATTCGGTTATTTTCACATTAGATGTGGAACCGATCATGACAATTTTCGCGGATTGGCACGTCAAAACGCATGATTGTGACATGGTGATCGACATGATTTTGTGACCGTTTCTTTCTACTTCCTCCGCGTCATCGAAATTGTCGCAGTTTGACTAGTGACTTGTCACTTGTTACTGACAACTCCATAAGCTAAGCCATTCAAAACTTATTACACAGTATGATAGTCTGAAGACTAGTGTAACGTTCCAGGACAGTTGGACTGAGAGTCTTCATGCAGAGATGAAGTCCTCGTCGTCGCTGATGTCAATGGACGCAAAAGTATCGTTCTGAAATATTTCAAGGAAGGTTGAAAGTTGGTCGCGCCTCATCTCAAACGCTTTGACTTTCTCCACAGGACAAGAGCTGCTATGCTTGTCGTCTGCTAGCTCTGGATGATTTCTATTTCACCACCAACGAAGCCTAGTAAAAATACACGATCGTTGCGAGGTCGGTTGATTACCGTCGGCGGAATCACCTCGATCTTGAAATGACCTTTTTTTTAGCCGTGGCATGCCCATTTTTTTATTTTAGCTGTGTGGTCACAGCTCATGCAGGTAAGTGTACTATCACGTCCAGCGCGCCCTCTTTTTCAGCATCACTGGTATACCATGGCCCGGTACCGGTACGGCACCTGCGCGTGCATCACTAGCACTACGTGTAGAGTCTACACGGCTCTTGCAGGCACAATCATGTACTGAGTGTCTCAGCCAGAGCGACAAATTTTATCGCTGTTGCAAGCATTTAGTTTGCTGTCCCCTCGATGTTTCTCCAAGCGCTGCCACTTGTTCCACGAAGTCATTCTCACCCCAGCTAAGGTAAAACAGTGATGAGGCTTGAGTGAATGGCCATCAGCACGAGAAATGTGCAGGCTGCAACACCTGACTGATCTCAGCGAGTCTAAATTACCATCGCAGCGACATCAGCGAAGAAATTGCGTCTAGTTCAAAAATTCCAGCTTCCAATAACAGAAAATAGACCTTTGCCGTCACTCTATACTGATGACTATCGCCTATGTCGAATTCCTTGCCTCTGGTACGAGTGCTGGAGAGTAAATACCCCGTTTTATATCAAAAGTCAAACTGCGACAATTTCGATGACGAGGAGGAAGTATTCAATACCTAGAATTATTATTATAATTCTAGGTATTATGATAGGAACACTTTGAAATTCATTTTTCATTTTGCAAGTTTATTGTTAGCACTTTGAAAGCAATAGTTCATTTTCTACTTCGTGCATGTATATTTCAATTTAGCGGTTAGGAGGTGTGGGTACGGCCATTTGCCGTGATCTGGCAACAATAGTAAACACAAGTGGAGTCTGTTTTCTATTTTGCTGCTCTTTGTCCTTTGCTATAATTATATAATGAATGTCTCCAGAAAATTTGAAGGAATTCCAATGAGAATTGGCTGAGACGTTCGTATTTTACGGTTGATGGGTCGCAAGACTCGCAACGGTAGATTACCACCCTAGCCGGGAAACTGAGACCCCAAGTACATGATTGTATGGGGGGGGGGGGGGGGGGGGGGAGGTCGACTTGTAACCACGGTCGACTTATAACCCGTTAAATACGGGCATGTTGCGAAAACCTGCATCTCCCGACTCACATTATCCTCATTCAGAGCAACAGGGAAGGAGGGACAATAGCCAACGGCAGCAAGACAGGCACACTCACATGCATGGAAAACGGAAAGTAGCTCTCTCAATGTTGCTCACGGCAGCCCTACAACACAAACACCACAGAAGAAAAACAGAGCAGGCAAAGTCAGCTTTTTGAAGGGGCTGAAGAAGAAAAAATCAAAGCAGCCCAGTGTACTTGTGATAAAAAAAAGTAAAAAAGTAAAAAAAAGTAAAAAAATGGGCCTGTCCGGGATTTGAACCCGGGACCTCTCGCACCCAAAGCGAGAATCATGCCCCTAGACCAACAGGCCACCCATGAATAATCAAGATAGAAGTTGTCTCTTGACTGAAGGCTACCTACCACTATGCAGTGGATAACTGTGTACAAGCAAGAGTACTCAATCTGCGGACAGAAATGTGTCATCCTTTGTGGACTCGGACTCTGAAAGCAAGAGCAAAATACGCCCCTAAGGCCGCGGTCACACATGAAAAGCTTGCACCGCTTTTGCGGAGGCGAAAAGCGGAACAACCGCAGCCGCTTTGGCGGACCACACGATGCAGCGGTCACACATACATGTAGACTACTGAGTCTGTGCTCCTCAACGCTCCGCTTTGGCGGAGAGAATGCAAATGCAGCACGACCTATGAAATTTTAGATGTTCTTGTCCGAGTTGAAGCGCCTTCGCTTGTACAAGTGCTGACAGGCTGCTGAATGTCTCCTGTCAAGTACACTCGTGGATTTGGGGCGCATTCACTGCGGCCCAGTACAGGTGTATTTGAATTATTATTACTAGTTTGGTTTACATCAATATCAAATTGAAATAGTTGTATAGCAGGGTGTCGTTCTTGTGTCGTTCTTGTCCGAGTTGAAGCGACCTTCGCTAGTACAAGTAGAGCTATCGTGGATCGCTGACAGGCTGCTGAATGTCTCCTGTCCTGTCAGTCCAGGTGTATTTGAATATTAGTTTAGTTTACATCAATATCAAATTCAAATAGTTTTATAGCAGGGTGTCGTTGCCTCCTCCATGATCCATCATCGACCCCAGCGACTGCGTGGATGCCTGCAGTTGCAGTGAGGGTGTGGCAGAGTACTCTACTACTCCCTGGTTGCAGTCCTAGTGTTGCATACTCTGGTGGACGCATTGCTTGGAGAGAGAAGGAGAGAGTTGGAGATCGTCGCGATCGGGGCCAATGAGTTGGGAGACGGATCCCTCACCAACTATCCACTCATAACGATGCAGTATCGTTTGCGAGATCTCCAGAACGTACAGTACATAGGCAAAGAAGAACAATATGAAAACTGAATACCAAACGGCAACCAAACAACACCAGAACTCAGCGCAGAAGTAGCACACCAAACTCCAAAGCCATCACCACGCAGGTTCCGCCAAAGCGGATCCGCGATAGCGGAGGTTCCGCTCGCATATTTTTGGCGTAGCGAAATCCAAACTTTCCGCCAAAGCGTAACTTACGCCTCCGCCGTTGCCGAGGCAACGGCGGAAGCGTAAGCTACGCTTTGGCGGAACCGCCAAAAAAAGTGCATGTGTGACCGAGGCCTTAGAGTGTTCAACTCTGCATAAGGGGTGATGACTGGGTCAGGGGCTGGATTTCAATTTGAAAACAGCCAATTCCTGAGGACGAAGCATGAACACGCTTGAAACACTTCGTCGGAGCATCATCAGGAATACATGGGATACTACATCCCTGATGATGCTCTCCTGGGTGAACATTGGGACAATCTACTGTACGTGGTGTAGCCAAGGACTGTTTGTGTGTTGCGAGTTGGGTGTACTGAAAAGATGACAAAGCTACAATGGAGCTTCAAAGTTCTTAAAAAAATCCGCTAAGCCACAAAGGGAACATGACGATCGTTTCAGCTCTACTTACCAGCCTTTGCTGTCGTGGCTGACGCTGTGCGACCGCAGCCGATGCTGCTGCTTGTCCTCCGTCAGGCGCTCCTGCGAAATGCTGCCGCTGGCACGGGGATAGTGTGAGGACGGGCGGCCAGGGTTGTCGTCCTGCACACGCACAGCATACACGCACAGCAAACACACATACAGTAAAACATGTGCCTAACGACCACCCCTTGCGGCCAGAAAAAGCGATCTTTAGCGGCAGGTGGTCCTTAGTTAGAGGTTTTCACCGCACAACCATATATGAATGTGAGACTGTCCGTGCCTGGCGAAGTGGTCTGTAGTACCAGGCTGGTCGCTAGCTACGGTGGTCTTTAGTTACAGGTTTACTGTACAGCGGTAGTAACATTAGCAAGGTGCATAAAGAAGTGGTGCCAGTAGTACGATGTCCACAATGTCCGAAATTCCTCGCAGTAGAGCTGGTAGAGGGAGGTTGCCACCCCGAACTGTTGGATTCCGAGGGGGTTGGAAAGAACATCAACAAAAGGATATTGCACGGCATTGAGAACCCTGTACTGGCTTTTCAAGTCGATTGGGAGTACCCCCACCCCTGGTGCAAGATAAAAAAACGTAATCTATTAAAAACACACACACACACAAGAAAAGGAAAGATAGGCTGGCTTACCCGCCAGCGTTGTAAGCACACTTCACCACCGGAATTGAACTGCCGGTCACCCGCTGTGCTAGGCCTGCGCACGGAATGATTCCCAAAAGACAAACCGGCAAACACATACATTCTGGGATTCCAATATACATGAAACATACAATGTAACAAAACTCAATCTAGCCGCCTTGCACATATTTACTGAGAGGCTGGATACTCTGTCGCACAATTAAACACCCATATTGCATGCACGCTGATAAAGAAAAGCCAAGAAAACCACAGCAGTGCAGCAGAGCACACACACATAGAACCTCCAAAACACCAAATCATTCAGTACGAGTCCGACACATGTCTTGTTGATCATGCGTGCGGTGTCCACTGAACTACACAGCTCATCAGTAGGTCCACGCTACCGACTCACTCACCTCACGGGTAGAACGAGAAGAGGCGCAGAGTTGTTGATGACAGCTCCTACGGTGGTGCAGGCCTCACCGAGGGCCCAAATCTACTCAGACAGCCGTGACGCCAAACACACACACACACACACACACACACGCACACACACGTACATACATACACACACCCACACACCCACACACACGCACGCACACATACACGCACGCACAATAGAGGCAACAAACATATCAGGCAACTGGCTACTGCATGAACCCCCTCTTTTGCACATCACACAAGACATGAAGGGAAGGTACGGTGCAAATTAGTAGACATAAAGCATAGCTCTTATATTCATCAGGCCTTCATAAAGGGTGCTTGGCCCCATATCACTACACTCCTTACAACAAGAGTAAGAGGAATTAGAAACGACACCCCCCCCCCCCCCCCCCCCTCTCCCCACACACACAACAACACATTCATACACTGACCACTCTGTTGTCATCCTGTGCCGGCTTTCCGTTCATATCCTCGGCGTCCTCGCCCCCGTCCAGGCAAGCGACGTCCTCCGCACTCACGTCCTCACTGTCGTCCAGCACTGACGGCGAGGAAGTTGACTCCACGTGGAAGACGGTCAGGCGAACGCGTGACGACATTGCTACACTGGTGGAGCGCAGGATGATAGTGGAGAAGTAGACTGGATCACTGGAACTCTACAACAGAGATGGAACAACGACGGCGACGACAACGGCGACGACAACAACAACAACAACACAGGGCAAAAAACTCTGAAAAAGCTCAGTCAGAAATTCAACAGAGGTACTCTTGTCTTAAAGTACAGTGCTGCTCAATACAGTACATACACAAACGTGTTACATTCGACGAATAGCAACATACTAATAACAAGCGACCCGATTCCCGTTCCTCTAACCGCCACACGAACATACCACATACCACCTACCTGGCAGATTTCTGTCTGTGAGTAGTTGACCCAGTCGACTAGCGGCGGCGTCATGATCTCAGTTACAATGTAAGTAGTGGGCGTAGCACCTTCACGCTCCTCGGGGCTCGACAGCCCTGTGCAACCTGGACAAGATAACAACACAGCGAGAGCAGTGCCAGAGATTCACACATAAAACACTAGCTGCCTGGGAAAACTGTTTAGGAAGCAGTGCAGGAATGCAGCACTCCCACTTTCCGCAGCCGTCATGTTCCCCTCACCAACATCCCACAGGCCCGATGCAAACACCATGCCTTCACCACCACACCATACCCATGGTCATTTTATCAGGTCAAAGGCGGAGTGGCACGACTGTTCCGAGTGCAACATTTATCAATATGGCGGTGTACCGTAGCAACCCGCATCGCAACAGCTCATTTAGGCACGTACATGTATACGCACAGCGTACTGCCGCATGCAGTCGTTTCGGACATTTTCAAATCTTGTGAAGCAAGTTTTGTTTTTGTGGTGATGGATACAAGTGAAGTCTTGGAGCGGTTGTATGAGACAATGCTGGAGCAGAAGAATTCCACGAACGCCTGGAAGCACCATTTCCGCAAAGTACCGAAGCGAGTATGCAACAGCCGGCACCAATACCACAACTGTTACTTCCACAGGCATGCCTACGATGCCATTAGCATCCGTATCGAATTGTCGATAGCTCCAAATACGTATGGCTTGCATCATACAAGCAACAATACACATGACCCCAGTGCTCAAAGCCATTAATGCTGGCAATGTGGCCAGGAGGCATTGTGATTTTCTTCTTACCAACTGTTAGCTCCAGTATAACTTCAGCATCATCAGGATCTGAGCAACGCACAGGTACACAAAAGAACACATGGAACATATACAGCATAGTCATCATCCCCGCCCATCCACCAGTAGCAGCAGCAGCGGCAGCAGTGGTGGTGGCGGTCTCAACAGCAGTCGTAGGACCGGCGCCACACCAGCAAAGCGGCGGCAGCAAAACAGCACACGTTTGAGCCAGTGGCATGCACCTCAGAGTCGCAGCATCAAAGACACACACTCGGAACAGACGCACTGGTCATTTTCTTCATGGCCATGCAGACTTAGCCTCGTGTGACCCAACACAGCAGCAATGCAATCACAACACAGAGTTGCAGGCTCCCTGGACAACAATACAATGCACTGAGAGTCTGGCTATGGCACTGAATAGACAGTGAAAGTGACAGAGGAATTTGCTGCCGGAGTCATCGCACCTGGTGACGGGGTTTGCGGAACTTCCTCCTGCTACGGTTGCAGAGCGTGTGGCAAGATGGCAAAATGGCAAGGACAAACATGCACACACACACACATGCACACACAAGTACACACACACATGCACACACAAGTACACACACACATGCACACACAAGTACACACAAGTACACACAAGTACACACACACACACACACACAAGTACACACACACAAGTACACACGCACACACACACACACACACACACACACACACACACACACACACACACACACACACACACACACACACACACACACACATGTACACATACAATGGCAGCACGTCAAGCACATCATTTGACCATAAGAATGGCTAGCATACTAGTATATGTATCTACATACGCATGATGAAGCTACATTAAAACCTTAGTTTCCGTTATGGGCAGATGGATGATCTGGGAAATCGCAGAAAATAAGCCAGAGCATCAGTCTGCCAGTTCTGCGGTAAATTGTGCATGGCTGGCTGGTCAAGCTCTTGTGCAATTGGTGGACTGTAACGCAGATCTTAGTTGGACTGTCTCCTATTCGAAAACGAGAGGGCTTGAAAGCCCAGAGCCCTCACTATGCTTTGTTTTACCTAGGTCATCATGCGTGGTATTCGAACTGATAGAAATAGCTTTCTAGCGCCAGACGCTACTAAGGTAACGCTTTCTGCATAGCTTCGGGCATAAAATCTTCCCTTGGCCTTACCCATTGTCCAGGTTCCAGTTGAAGCATCACAGATGATGGAAGTGGATCCTGGAAAGGAAAACAGAAAGCAGCAAGGACGTCGTGTTCTAGGTCACGCAGATGCTGGGCAAGCAACATTTTTTTCGACCACAGGCAAATTTCTAATTCAGGGAAATACAGCACCCACTTGAAAAGAATAATAGTACACATGAGCCTACGAGCCAATGAGTAGCGATTGCCCAGAAGCAATTCTACCCAGGTCAATGGCTATGTTGGGTGTTCAATATACAGTCAACGTTGCGTATAACGACACTCGGCGGGACATCAGATAAGTGTCGTTATTCGCGAAGTGTCCTTATATGCATTACAGTTGGATGGGACTTTGCTCTGGGCATGGAAATTCTGTCGTTATTCGCGAATTGTCATTATATCCGCAGTCGTTATTTGATTGTAGTGCCACAGCTGAAATATAAATCCTGGGGCGCATCAGTAGGTTAGAGTCATTACTCGTTAGTAGTGAGGCCCTAAACTAGAGAGTCAGAGTCTTCTCTAGTGTGAACCTGATCTCCAAGCACATACAGTAAAACCTGTGACTAAAGACCACCCCTTGGGGCCAGAGAAAGCGGTCTTTAGTGGCAGGTGGTCCTTAGTTGGAGGTTTGCACCGCACAACCATATATGAATGTGAGACCGACCGTGCCTGGCGAAGTGGTCTTTAGTACCAGGCTGGTCGCTAGTCACGGTGGTCTTTAGTTACAGGTTTTACTGTAGTACCAGGCTGGTCGCTAGTCACGGTGGTCTTTAGTTACAGGTTTACTGTAGTACCAGGCTGGTCGCTAGTCACGGTGGTCTTTAGTTACAGGTTTTACTGTAGTACCAGGCTGGTCGCGAGTCACGGTGGTCTTTAGTTACAGGTTTACTGTAGTACCAGGCTGGTCGCTAGTCACGGTGGTCTTTAGTTACAGGTTTTACTGTAGTACCAGGCTGGTCGCGAGTCACGGTGGTCTTTAGTTACAGGTTTTAGTGTAGTACCAGGCTGGTCGCTAGTCACGGTGGTCTTTAGCTACAGGTTTTACTGTAGTACCAGGCTGGTCGCTAGTCACGGTGGTCTTTAGTTACAGGTTTTACTGTAGTACAAGGCTGGTCGCTAGTCACGGTGGTCTTTAGTTACAGGTTTTACTGTAGTACCAGGCTGGTCGCTAGTCACGGTGGTCTTTAGTTACAGGTTTTACTGTAGTACCAGGCTGGTCGCTAGTCACGGTGGTCTTTAGTTACAGGTTTTACTGTAGTACCAGGCTGGTCGCTAGTCACGGTGGTCTTTAGTTACAGGTTTTACTGTAGTACCAGGCTGGTCGCTAGTCACGGTGGTCTTTAGTTACAGGTTTTACTGTAGTACCAGGCTGGTCGCTAGTCACGGTGGTCTTTAGTTACAGGTTTTACTGTAGTACCAGGCTGGTCGCTAGTCACGGTGGTCTTTAGTTACAGGTTTTACTGTAGTACAAGGCTGGTCGCTAGTCACGGTGGTCTTTAGTTACAGGTTTTACTGTAGTACCAGGCTGGTCGCTAGTCACGGTGGTCTTTAGTTACAGGTTTTACTGTAGTACAAGGCTGGTCGCTAGTCACGGTGGTCTTTAGTTACAGGTTTTACTGTAGTACCAGGCTGGTCGCTAGTCACGGTGTTGTTTAGTTACAGGTTTTACTGTAGTACATGGCTGGTCGCTAGTCACGGTGGTCTTTAGTTACAGGTTTTACTGTAGTACAAGGCTGGTCGCTAGTCACGGTGGTCTTTAGTTACAGGTTTTACTGTAGTACAAGGCTGGTCGCTAGTCACGGTGGTCTTTAGTTACAGGTTTTACTGTAGTACAAGGCTGGTCGCTAGTCACGGTGGTCTTTAGTTACAGGTTTTACTGTAGTACAAGGCTGGTCGCTAGTCACGGTGGTCTTTAGTTACAGGTTTTACTGTAGTACCAGGCTGGTCGCTAGTCACGGTGGTCTTTAGCTACAGGTTTTACTGTAGTACCAGGCTGGTCGCTAGTCACGGTGGTCTTTAGTTACAGGTTTTACTGTAGTACCAGGCTGGTCGCTAGTCACGGTGGTCTTTAGTTACAGGTTTTACTGTAGTACCAGGCTGGTCGCTAGTCACGGTGGTCTTTAGTTACAGGTTTTACTGTAGTACCAGGCTGGTCGCTAGTCACGGTGGTCTTTAGTTACAGGTTTTACTGTAGTACCAGGCTGGTCGCTAGTCACGGTGGTCTTTAGTTACAGGTTTTACTGTAGTACCAGGCTGGTCGCTAGTCACGGTGGTCTTTAGTTACAGGTTTTACTGTAGTACCAGGCTGGTCGCTAGTCACGGTGGTCTTTAGTTACAGGTTTTACTGTAGTACCAGGCTGGTCGCTAGTCACGGTGGTCTTTAGCTACAGGTTTTACTGTAGTACCAGGCTGGTCGCTAGTCACGGTGGTCTTTAGTTACAGGTTTTACTGTAGTACCAGGCTGGTCGCTAGTCACGGTGGTCTTTAGTTACAGGTTTTACTGTAGTACCAGGCTGGTCGCTAGTCACGGTGGTCGTTAGTTACAGGTTTTACTGTAGTACCAGGCTGGTTGCTAGTCACGGTGGTCTTTAGTTACAGGTTTTACTGTAGTACCAGGCTGGTCGCTAGTCACGGTGGTCTTTAGTTACAGGTTTTACTGTAGTACCAGGCTGGTCGCTAGTCACGGTGGTCGTTAGTTACAGGTTTTACTGTAGTACCAGGCTGGTTGCTAGTCACGGTGGTCTTTAGTTACAGGTTTTACTGTAGTACCAGGCTGGTCGCTAGTCACGGTGGTCTTTAGTTACAGGTTTTACTGTAGTACCAGGCTGGTCGCTAGTCACGGTGGTCTTTAGTTACAGGTTTTACTGTAGTACCAGGCTGGTCGCTAGTCACGGTGGTCTTTAGTTACAGGTTTTACTGTAGTACCACGCTGGTCGCTAGTCACGGTGGTCTTTAGTTACAGGTTTTACTGTAGTACCAGGCTGGTCGCTAGTCACGGTGGTCTTTAGTTACAGGTTTTACTGTAGTACCACGCTGGTCGCTAGTCACGGTGGTCTTTAGTTACAGGTTTTACTCTACATGTACTACAGGAGACTTTAAGCTAGGGGTGAAACAATTATATCGAATATTCGAATACTCGTTTGGATTTTTCGAATAAAATCGTACTCGGAATAAATCAGAGTACTCGCTCATACATGGTACATACATTTACCACAGAAGTCTGCAGTTTCAGAGCAGCAGTCAGCAGATATTGATGTGCAGACTGTGTGGTGAACATTTGCACACGAGTAGAGAGAGCCCAAATGACCCACCAACCAATACACCCGAGAAAAGAACTGCCAATCGGTTCGGTCAGGGTTGTATCATGTGATTTTTGAGGCGGTTGGTGTGCGATTTTTAGGATATCAAGAATACTCGAATACTCGAATATTCGATCGGAGAAAATCAGAGTACTCGAACTCGGGATCTCAGTGCCAACTTTCACCCCTACTTTAAGCAAATACCACACTGGGTAGTACCCCGTACCTCTCCAGTCAGCTTCATGTAGCGATCACGCAGCTCTGCCAGGATTGAACGTTGCCCGCCAAAACTGAAACAGAATCAGAATAGCCAAATGAACATGAACAGAAGCCGCAGCAATGGCAGCAGCGACAATGGTAACAACAGCAATGGCGACAGCAGCCATAGCAACAGCAGCAGCAATGGCGACAGCAGCCATAGAAGAACACCAACGATGGCGTTGACAATGGTGGTGGCAGCAGTCCTTATGCCGGTTCATGCATGACGTCATGCTTTATCTGACAAGTGAAGCCCGCTTGGGTGTTGCTCTCCCGGTGTGCAGGAACTCAGCGTTTGTTTTTAGTGGCTAGGGTAGTTTGTTGTGAAGTTTGTCGTGGAGGTCGTGCTGTTGGTGCTTGGCGACTTGCAGAGATGCCTCATCATTGCTGGACAGGAGACTGCGCTCTTGAACATTATTCTTTAGAATTGTCACATGTTGTCACATGTTGCACCAGAGGAGGTACCAAGTGTGGATGTAGGTGGGAGTGCGGGTGTCAGAGAGAGTAAAGTAAAAAGCAATGCACCTGTAAAGAGTACATGCAGTTCGTGTGGAAGGTGATGCCGCGGACTGGTACGAAGAAGTTCATCTGATTGAACAGCAATATGCTGAAGCTGTATCAAGAGCAGGGGATGTGCTGGAGCAGCTAAGATCAGAAAGGCCCAGCAAAGCCACCAGCGTCAGCCACAGCCCCGCAACAAGAGAACGTGCGGCAAAGATAATGGAAGTGAGGTCGTTGCTGAAAGAAAAACTGGAACAGCACGAAGAAGAGAAAAGGAGTTTCTCAGTGTTTTGTGATCTGCTCATCAATGGTCAGTTGCGGGACCAAGTCGCACCGCAACATATGGTAGCAGAGGATGGTTGTCGAAGTTGTAGTAGTCACGTGTAAGCAGTAGTAGTAAGAGACAGTAACTGAAGCAAGAATGCCAAACACCACAAAGAAGCAAAGGACACTGGCAAAGGCCCAGTTCACAAACAGTAGAAGAGCGCTGCTGGTAGAAATAAACCAGGATGAAGCAGACAAGAAGAAAATACTAAGGGCACTGGATGACCTCAGTGCTCTTGCCACATCCACCATCGCCTGTGGTGTGGAAGGTGATGCCGCGGACTGGTACGAAGAAGTCCATCTGATTGAACAGCAATATGCCGAAGCTGTATCAAGAGCAGGGGATGTGCTGGAGCAGCTAAGATCAGAAAGGCCCAGCAAAGCCACCAGCGTCAGCCACAGCCCCGCAAAAAGAGAACGTGCGGCAAAGATAATGGAAGTGAGGTCGTTGCTGAAAGAAAAACTGGAACAGCACGAAGAAGATGAAGAAGAAAAGGAGTTTCTCATTATGCGTCACAATTGCTAACTCTCTCTCCCTGTCTATAGTGATAGCAAAAGAAGATGTCTTGGTCAACATCCCAACAATATATTGAAAGGTGGTACCTATTTTCTTGTACTAAAGATGAATTAACCGTTCGCTTACTCACCGATCTGGCCACAGCCTACGAGCTAAGACCCGTGCTGCTTCACCCGGATCGGGTCGACTTAACTCCCATGGAGATTGCGGAGTATCTGTGCAGGGTTTCTTCTATGGTGTTGATTAGCGGTGAGAAACACCAGCGTCTCCCAAAGATCATCGTTGACGGCGTAGAGGACTATGGATCCTCATCATGGCGGGATACAGGCAGACTGCTGCGATGCTGGGACGACGGGCGTAGATCGATGTTTAACCTCTCCAAGGCTGAAGGTGCCCTCGACAACGTCGAGGAGACGTTCCAAGATGCGGAGAAGATTGAAGCCGAGGAATTCATCAGGTTAATAAAAGATCTGAACGAGAGGGACATCTTTCGACAAGACCGTGATATGAACAAGTTTACAACGAAAGCTGTTCGGCTGTCGGTCCTCGCGACGAGGATTACCCACATTGTTGTACGTGTTGGTACAATTGATATTGACGAGCAAGGTCATCACACCAAGATGCCCGAAGTCGTGTGTGACAGTATAGAAAGCCGGAAGCGGAAGGCAGTTGACAGCATTGTCCGTGACGAAGAAGATCTGGGTGAATCGCTCGTCACGATCCAGGCATCTGCGTCAGCCCCTGTAATCGAAGTTTCGAGAAAGCGCTCGTGGGTCGTACCGTCTGTAGATATCTTTCATGACTAAACTCTCTCTCTCTCTCTCTCTCTCTCTCTCTCTCTCTCTCCGGAAAATGATCCGAAAAAATGAAATTACAAGTCAAAATACTGCAAAACTATGAGTTCTGATTAATATAAAATTGGAAAAAGTGAGATAACATTGACATTAGAAATAGTAATATTTTAGACATCGGAATGCAATATTATGATGTAGGGCAGGACATAACACCCACCCCTAAAAATCAAAATTAATGATACATGCAGAATTCCAAATCATGACACCATATTACCTTATTGTTTAGGGTAGAGCATAACACCCCAATACATATTTTCAATAATACCCCTTTTTTTTTAGGTCAGGGCACCCTGACACATATTTTTATCCGCAAAAAAACGGGCCAAAAATAATTTTCACCGCAAAAATGGGGTACTATTAGTACCCCATTTTTCAATAATACCCCATTTTTTGGGACCCGCGCGCCCCCTGTGCCAGAACCCGCTCGTTACCTACTACTACTTGTGGTCTGCTCATTGATGGTCAGTTGCGGGGACCAAGTCGCACCGCAACAATTGCTGTGTACCTGGATGCACCCAGAACAGTAGCGGAAGCGTTGCTGGAGAGCCTGTATCCTTTCACTCCTTTCCCAAAGATGAAAAATTGCATCACGAGTGGATTGTGAAAATTCGTCGTGATGAAGGCGAGGAATTTCGTGTTGTCGACTCGACCAAAGTCTACTCAATACACTTCGAGGAGGAATGTTTCTCTACTGGAGCTCGCCGCCGTCCTGAGGAGAAAAAAGGCTACCTCCATAAGGGGCCGTCCAAGGTTACCAATCATATTTTCAAAACGAAATGTTTTCGTTAGGGGGTGGGTGGGTTTGATGGAGTTTCGTTTTGAAAATAATTATTGAATGCAGATGGAGAATGCCCTGTTACTTCTGGGTGTCGAAAATTAACATCAATATTTTATTGGAATTCGTTTTACCTGCAGAAAAGGTAGGTGGGTGGGTGGGGGCTGAAAAATACTAAAACGTTTCGTTTTGTAAAAACAATCGGTAAACCCGGACGGCCCCTAACGCGGAGGAACTTGAAGAAAGATGCTGAGCCAACTATTTTTTTCTGGAGCTCAATGCCGGCGAAAAGAAAGCCTCCTGCTGAACGAACCTCGCAGGCACCGCCAAAGCGAAGGTGTGCTGTTGCATCTGCTGCGTATGGTGCTTGTGCGGAAGGAGACGAACCTGACACAACGCCAGGAGCAGCTGAGCCTGATACCCATGATCACGAGTGCTGCGAGTGTGTTCCAGAGCTGAAGGCAAGCATGAATGTGCTTGTGACCGAAAATGCTATGCTCAAATTTGACATTTATACAAAAGAGAAAGACCAAGGAACTACAAGTTACGCTATACTGTCCACTAACACCACCAGTTACTAAACAATCAGCTCATGCGATAACATTGCACGACACTGACCTACGGTACTGACGTTCCACAACTAACTGGCTAACAGCTCTAGCACATCTTGAATGCGCCGCATGAGCTGATTGTAACTGGTGGTGTTAGTGGACAGTATAGCGTAACTTGTAGTTCCTTGGTCTTTCTCTTTTGTATAAATTAAACCTTGGCTCTCCATCTGAGTCCATTCAAATTTGACAAGAAGACATTAGAAAATGCATTAGAAAATGCAGGAACAGAGGAGCATCGGTTCACCATTGATGACATCAAACACAGCGACTCCCAAGTTCGGTACTACACTGGGTTCACTTCGTACCGTGTCTTCCTGGCATGCTATGATTTCCTTGCTCCGTCAGCTGAAGTTATGCGCATGTGGAGGGGCAGTGAGACAACTCCTGACGATCAAGGGAGACAGGGAAACAAGCCTGGCCCCAAGCAGAAGCTGCCTGTTATTGACCAATTCGTTCTGGTTATGGTGCGTCTTCGACTTGCACTTGGAGAATTGGATTTGTCTCATCGATTTGCCATTTCTCAGACCAGTGTTTCTCGGATATTTACCACATGGATCAACCTCATGTACTTCAAGTTTCAACAACTCCCAATCTGGCTCTCTCGGAAGAGAGTCGACAAATTGATGTCGCCATGTTTCAAGCTGTTCTATCCATCTACCCGTATTATTATTGATTGCACAGAGTTTTATATCAACACACCCTCTTCGTTGGCCCGTCAGTCAGCATCCTGGTCTGCATATAAGAATCACATTACAGTCAGACCTTGCATAACCGCACACATTCGTTTTCAACAAAAATATCCGGATAGGCGAGGGAACCGGAAAATCGAACACACATACTGTATGTAAGCATGGCATATGCTGTAAATTGGTAACCAACGGTTTTCTTCCGGATGGCGAGGGATCCGGATAAACGAGGACCGGATAAGCGAGGTCTGACTGTACGGTGAAAGTTCTTATTGGTATTGCACCACATGGCCGCGTCACTTTTGTATCTGATGTGTTTGAAGGCGCGGTGTCAGGTAAGTCCATCACAGAGCAGTCTGGTCTTCTCTCCCTTCTTCAACGTGGTGATTCAGTGATAGCCGATAAGGGATTGGATATAAAGGACATGTTGGTCAGCGTGGGTGTTCGTCTTAATATTCCCCCTTTCAAGGTTGGTGAGCGACAGATACTGCCAGAAGATTTGCACAAAACGAAGAAAATAGCGGCTGTTCGTATCCACGTGGAAAGGAAAATGCACCGCATCAAACTATTCAAGATCCTGTCAGGTGAAATTGATGCAACGTTTTTTGATTTATTACAACAAACAATAGTTGTATGTGCTATGCTCACCAATTTCGAGCCCCCTCTGTTTGCTTGACGGGTCTATTTCCGTTCGATCATGCAGTTTTATTTTGCTGCTGTTGCTTTGGCTTGGTCAATTTCAGAATAGGAAACTTGCGGCGAATTGCCGTCATTTATTACAACAAACAATAGTTGTATGTGCTATGCTCACAAAATTCGAGCCCCCCTCTTGTTGCTTGACAGGTCCATTTCCCTTCGATCGTGCAGTTTTATTTTGCTGCTGTTGTTCAAACCTTATCTGCCCTGACCAAGACCCAATAACATGTAACGTTACGTGTACCTGTACGGTGTGCATGCCGCATTGGCACGCTGGTAGTCTTTATTACATACAATGTGCATGTGATGATGAGCTGCACGCTGTATATAAAATAATGGAAATGGTAACCCTCTATCAAATTCCAATTTGCATCACAAGATCAAACGGGCAGAATTACTATACCCTTCAGCTCCTCAACTGTCAGGTCAGATGGGTTCCTCCCTTTCAAGGAAGAGGCAGGAATATCCGCCTCGACGAGTGTCAAAACACTTGCAGTCGCCATCGCTCGAACAATATCTTGATGCACGATACTGAAATAATTCGAAAACGATCGAGGAGCTGAAAAATCAACACCCAAGCGGGTCGCGGCCCCGTGCGTGACGTCATTGGTATGACGCAACCGGCATAAGGACTATGACACACTAGTAACTGCAGGTTAGGGCAGGATCACGGTGACATCATCATGACATGACAACAATGCTGATGACATCATGATAACATGACTACAGTGCTGGCACTGCTGACTGTGTGCTGAGACATGATCCACATGAACACGAGGACCAAGCACTAACCTCGCCTTGCGCAACGACGTAACCCAATCAGACGCCTCTCTTTCCGAGTGAGCGGCGAGAAAGAACTCCTCTCCAGACGTCTCATTCGCTACACAGCAGAACAACAACAACAAACGATTACACATCACTAGAAGGTGTAGGAAGCTACACACCATAACTAACTACGCCGTGTGGATGATCAACCAGAATTTCCAAGATGTCAGACGTGAAGAGGAACATATTGATGCGTGCTGTGGCACTAGAAACAAGCACCAGCATACCGCGCGTGCAACTAACCGATCCGAATAGCGTGCTTCCGTCCAGACAGATGCTCCCGCTCAATACTGCATCCCTCGAGGATGATGGCACCCATGCCTTCAGACATCTGAAGTGGGCAGAAGGAAAGCGATAGATGGTGTTTGGGAAAAAGCGAATCAAAAACATCATCCCAAACATGAAACAGCAGGAAATTGAGTTGCAACCTTGGCATTAGCGCACCAAGTTTGAGTTGTGATGCAGGTGCAGAGGCTTGGCCATATGTTCATGTTGAGAGATACATACTGCAGCAATTGCACATCAACGTGAGCCAACTTTTCAGATTAAAGCCGCAGGACATTTCAGAAACAAGTCGCTTTCTTACCTCGGACGCCGACTTCAAGTACAGGAAGACATTCCCTTTTAGCCGACACCAACGCTGAATGTACTCGGCTAAAAACAAAAACACAGCAGGAAAAGAGCACAGCCTCGGTCACCGCCTTGAGCCACCATCACCGACTGCACAATGATTCACGCATGCAATTTAGCAATTTAGTGCGGGGAATATTATTGTAAGCGGTCTTCTACGCTTTCACTATTTTCACGCTGCGGTGCATTTTTCATCACTCCTACAGAAAGCCTAAACATGTTACAGTCGACTCCACTTATAACGAGCTCGCATATCGCGAATGTCGTGATATAGCCAACCATTGTCCATGTCCCTGTTTGAACCCATACAAAAGTGACCCTTTGTAACGAACTGTTTTCGTTTATAACGAACCGTTGCTTGTAGGGCGGCATGATAACCAAGTGCACTCATACAGCCATGGGCCACATGATAACCAAGTGCACTCATACAGCCATGGGCCACATGTCAGTGATGATGTGTTGTTTGTATAGTGTGAGTACATTTCTGTTATACCGAGCTTCGGCTATGAAGAACTGATTCTCCTGCAGAATGGTGTTCCAGGTGCATAGCCTGCAGTGTTTCCAGCAGGGAGTAGTACAATACCGGTATTGTACTACTCCCTGGTTTCCAGGTTGCCTGGAAACCCCCTCCGGGGTTGCAGCGCCGCCGCCGATGCCTTTGAAAACTACAGTAAAACTCTGCTGAGTGCATGTAGTCACCAGATTTATAAAGTGACAGTGAGGTGCATGCTGCACGCATGCAGTGCTTGAGTGAGGTGTGAAACTTCGCGAGTGCTTCGTCCACACCAACTAGCTGCTGGACAACTATGGTCATTGCAAAAGTTGTCTTTCAGGTTGAGTATTTTAATACAAATTTCTTAAAGCGTGAATGAACCACAACACATTGGCAATAGTAATGTAGAGGTACAGATTGGGCCTCTCAGCACCTTGGAATTTGAAGATACCCTAAAGCTTTTTCACGGCCGACACCGCAAGGGGCTCCACCCCCTGGACCCTCACCGGGGGACACCCCCAGACTCCCATCTGGAAACCCACTCCCAAACCCCTCCGGCTACGCGCCTGGTGTTCACTATATCAGGAGTCGACTGTATGTACCGTAAAGTACCGCCAGAGTGCCCCACCATCTCGTCCTTTCGTGGTCGTATTGTGGAGGTGGTCTGCTGTCTGTAGGTCATACGACACGAACCTTGTACACATATTCCACATTTTGCAGTCAATCCGCACCTTCGAGCGGACACAAGCTCCACACAAAAATCTGCCAAGTGTGCCCGTAGTACACTAAGGTTCTCACACCGTACAAACTTCGTTGCACTCTGCCATACGATTTTCCTTTCCCTGGCTGTAAAATCAAGGTGGGGCGCTCTGGCGAGACGGGGCGCTCTGGCGGTACTTTACGGTATATTGCAAACGTTGTACTATCGTCATACTGTTTTATGGAACAAGAAAGGACTGCTCAATTTGGCCAGATCCAATGAATTTGTAAACCATCAAAGTTGACTGCAGTGCGTTTCAAACGTATCGACCTCTGATTTTTTGTTAAACGTCGGGCGAGCATCCACACCACAATAAAATCTGCGATCACTTTGTGCATACAAATTTCCAAAAATTGGGTGTTCGCTATCTGATCACTTAGAATTCCATACGAGACAATTTGGGGAAACTGCCTTAGCAGTAGCCCAAACAAATTTCCCAAAAGCTCAGGACAAATTTGAATTGTTCGGAAAGTTTAGAGAACTGGACTTTTGAAAGGCACTGTGTTTAGAATAATATCATGACAATGATAGATATGACATCTCTACAGTCAACTTGGCTTATAACGACACTCGGCGGGGCATCAGAAAAGTGTCCTTATTCGCGAAGTGTCGTTATACCCGAAGTCTCATTATATGTGTCACAGTTGGAAAGGACTTTGCTCTGGGCATGAAAATTATGTCGTTATTCGCGAATTGTCGTGATATCCGCAGTCGTTATTAGCGAAGTTGACTGTATCTATAATTATATTTGCTTGATAAAATATGGTGGTAAAGACACACTTGGCAATATGGCGGTAAACACACGCCTGCCCATATAATAATATATTGATACCCTAAACAATTATTATTTCAAAATCATAACGTTAAGATTTGAAAATTTAATTGTTTTGGGTATCAATAGATACACTGTACAGCTGTACTGGTGTTTCCTGACACAAGCTATGAATAGGAAACGAACGTACAGCGACCAGCGTCATTCTCTTTCACACACCTGAACGGAAAAATCCTTTTTCCAGCATCCACAGGCAAGCCTCCTTGTCACATGGGCAAGCTTGGTTTGCCATCCACGTCAACACCTTCTGATCAAACTTCATCCTGGATAGCACTCTCTGAACGTCCTCCAAATTATAGCGCAAGGGTTACTCACTGATTCGGCAAAAGTAGCGCCACGTCGATTCGTAGCAACATTATTTGCAGCCACAAATCCAGAAAGAGAGGAGTAAGAGCTAGAGACTTTCCCAGCCAACCAAATCTATCCAGTTGTCTTGGACACCCCAGGCATTTCATCTGCCAATCCTCTGCTGCCTGATCAACAATTATTTTAGACCGAAGGATGACGAAATCATCAAGGACTTAGGTGATATGTGGAAATGACTTGAATTAATCAGCTATCCCACAGCGTGATGCATCATCAGGACATAATTGTTCAAAGACACTGTCACTGACTGGGCCTGTGCAAAGCAATCAACAACGTTCTCCTGAACTACTATACTAGGACTGTGTGAAGATGCAATAAAAAAAAAGCTTGCACCGTCAAGCGCAAACACTAACAAGAGAACACACCTCCATTCCCACTTCGGAAACACAATCTCTTTTCATGAAAAGGTGCCTTGCACACAAACACTGAAACAGACAAGACAGCAAGCGCCACCTGCTGGCATCAGTGATCTGCTATGAAATGAAAAAATGTAAAAATACTGACTAATCAATGATGATTGATGTGACACAAACTCATGCAGGCATGACCATAGTTGTACAGCGTGCTAACGCTACGGTATATTCCGTGGTAACGAGGACCGGCATTGACCCTTTTTGGTGTTTGTCCCACTTCTGACTCGCTACTACGTAGTATACTGTACTTGTGGATCGCTAGATAGCTGTCATTAGTGCATCACTGCGCCGGTGTTTTGCAGCACTACCGTTTTCCTGCTTCAAGCGCGCGCCTTCGAGCTTCGCGATTCGATCGGAGGTTTGGGTCACGTACCAACGCAAGGACAGTACAGAGTTTGTACGATAATACGAAAGATCGTAGATCTACGATTGGACACTGCATTTATCGGATCCGTCCGTACCCCGTCAAAAGAAAGTCAAAGCAACATTTGACAGTTTCTTGCTTTTGGTCAGTGTGATAGAGAGAAAAAGTGCGACGTCGTCCTGCATCTGCCTGAGTGACTGTGAGCGTAAATATAGAGCAAACCTCTCTTCAGAGTAAGCATGGCGGCTGCGTACCCTCCACCTCAGGCAGGTGGCCAGTCTGAATTCAAAACGAAAGTCGAGATTCGGATCAAATGTTCGGATTTGTTGGGAATGGACGTACTGTCCAAGTCGGATCCCCTTTGCCAAGTGGAATTGGAGAATGCGGGAAAGTACACAGAGGTATGATTTCTCAAGTGGCCATCGTGATCGCTTGTGTTTCACATGCATTTTCTACAAAGTACAATGAATGCGAATTTTCCTGAGTGAAATTATGTAATTTTTTTATCAGACAAAATGAAAATAGTCTCTGCGCAATTGAACACACACACACACACACACACACACACACACACACACACACACACACACACACCACACACACACACACACACACACACACACACACACACACACACACACACACAAAGATTTACCCTGATCACAAAGTATCCGAGCATTTCTGGGCAAGCAGTTTTGAAGGCCCTTTTTGGTAAGGGCCGGGTTCCACTGGCACTGCGGCTCCGCTGCTCGTCATCCGCGGCTTAAACGTCATCATTACCATAGTGACCGCGGCTCAAGCTGGAGCAGGACTCTTGATCAAAAACTGCGAGCCGCATTCGCGGCTCGACCAGTTTCCCGTACTTTGCATTGTTTTGTACACAACAGTTTTAAAATTCAAATTTTATTTCGTTGCGCAGGCCAGAACACGAGGGTTTTTTTATTTCACGCGCGCGCGCAGGCAGGTAAAACATCATCAAAAACCGTGGAGCATGACCGCGGTACCGCGAATGACGAGTGTCAGTGGAACCGCGCTGCTCCGCTGCATGCAGCCAAGTGCCGCGGAGCCACAGTGGACCCCGGCCCTTAGCCAAGCTGTTCTGATAAGTCCTTCTATCCACTTTGGATTAAATGCCCAAAAACTGTAATTTCACAAATTTTCGGTGTACTTTTATTTTCGGTACTTTTGGTGCGTCTGTTTCATACCTAAATTTTCAATACACCAAACAAACACTAACACACATAGTTCAATAGGGAACTGCTACTCCGTACCTAAATTTTCTGTTCACCTAACCTGGCCTTTGCCCTCATACCGAACATATTGAGCACCTACAATTTCTGAAATTAGAGTAGTGTCTCTATTTCAATGTATATTCTGATTCACGAGGGAAATGTGTATTCTGATTCATATTGCGGGGCCAGGACAATAGCTTTACAGCCCGTGTGTGAGTGCGTGCACGGGAAATAATATAATTATATGGCTGTTACGCGCCAGAACGGCACAGCCGTGAGTGCATGTATCAGAGGCGACACTGTCCGTGTCCACACTCGCAGGCGAGTTGTGCAGCATGTATTGCACACAGCAAGGGAATTGCACCTTCTAGTTGCAACGGTGTAGGCTATAAAAAGGATGGGTGGTGGTCGGGGATGCAGTGGCCCCGCACAGTTGACTTACTTCACGTTGCGCTGATCCGGAAAATTGCGGAAATGTTTCTGCGCCCAGTAGCGTCTGCACGACACGTTCGCCTCACTCTGAATGCAGACAATGTCTGAATGAGTGGTGAGGGCAATATCATGAAATACAGGCCACACACTCTGATTGGCTGTTCCCATGACGGCACACTTGTGACATGCACTACACCGTCCCCGTGAATCCCGCAGAATCAAGTTGAGTCTGCCGAATTCACAATGTCCCGCAGAATATTACGAAAAACTACATTCTGTGGAGACTCAGGTCATAATTCACAGCCAAACCAACCTGCTCATGACTTTCAAAGTCAACTTGAAGTGTATTTTTGGAGCTTTCATATTTTGGACCAGGATTTCAAATATTTTTTCATTTAAATTTATAGTAGGGCTGAAACGATCGTGGATTTTCACCTATCGATTACTCTTTAGCTTTAACGATCGATTTATCGATGATAACCGTTAGCAAATATTGTCCGAATATTGTGCAAAAATTACTCTGTTTCCAAAAGATAGGCCTTCATAATACCAAAAATTTGCATTAGTGACAGGGTAGCTCAGAAACATGACAGTTTAGAAGTCAATTTAACCTCAAAGTATGCACCATGCCCCTGGCAACTGCATACTCACAGTGGAAACAAATTCAAACTTCACAAAAACAAGGGTTTTCAGTAGCGGTGAAACGAATATTCGAACATTCGTTCGATTGATCACATTCGAATATTCTTTAAGTCGCATTCGAGTATTCGTGACGTCACTTCGAATGCAGTGCACGTTCATACGTGCACGCCAAACACAGTACAGTGCAGTGCGTACAGCCTGCCTGTGACTTTGTACTGCATGTTTGCACATGTATGTGCATACTGGACTGCCAATGTAGCAAACAACATGTATAAACTTCGAAGTAGCCTTATGTGGCAGTGCATTTTATGTGGCACTACTGTTTGTCATACCCAATAACAATGACAACATCCATCAAATGACTGAGAGGAGGTCATGTGATGTCATCTGTGTTACCAAAAGAATATTCGTTCGTTCGTTCGTTAAGCCAAAGAATATTCGACTACTAGGTTTTGACATTCGTTTCACCACTAGTTTTCAGTACTTTTGAACTCAAAATCCCTAACGAGTAATCTATAACGTAACGATTACTTGATTGATAAGGAATTATCGATCGCTTACCGAGTAATTGGTATAATCGTTTCAGCCCTAATTTATAGGGACAACAAATTTTGGTGCGGTTGGGGAGATTTTTCTGTTTTACACTCATTTTCCTTGCGGAACTGCCGCAGAAGAATGATTTGCAGAATTTCCGCAGAATCTACTGTTTTCTGCCTCAGAATTCTGCACGGTGGTCTATATTCTGCCGCGGAATTCACGGGGGTCAGAATACACTGGTTCACATGTATCAGTTCATGCAGTGACCCTGACACTCAAAAGAGCGATGAGACTCTATGTGTGTGTGCTATCCATATTCCATTGCAGTTCATTCATAAAAGATGATAATCTTGCTTTTGCCGGTTTGGGCCATAAACGTTCCAACTTTGAGTTTTTTTAAGGAATATTTTTTTCCAGTTCCCTATGGAATGCGCTTCCAATTATGATTATTCATGGTCAGTGTCTGGAACGTCTTACCAGAGGTGAAACATAATACTGTAGTGTCGCGTATAGGAGCATGACTCGAATAGAAGCCGATTTTTCGAAGCGCGCCATGACACAGAAGCATGATTTGAATAGAAGCCGCTCTGTGCAAAGACACGTGCAAGTACTTGCACGGTACATGCGTGGCAGTATACATTGCACAGTGTAGACTGATGAGGTTGACGTAGAAGCATGTTTTGAATAGAAGCATGGTTGGAACCCCGGCTTATACGGCCGTGAGCACCTGCACTTATACGCGACATTACGGTAATTAAATTCATAGGATTGGGAGAACGTCGAATTCAAAGGATCGGTCAGGAAAGTGAACTGCCTGAAAACAGAGAAAAAAATGCCAACTTCTCGACTTGACAAGTCAGTGTTTACCTATGTGTGCATACAGCATGGGCAGCAAGTACATGTATAGGCTACTCCACACAGTAGTGCCTTGCCACTGCTACAAGGGTTGGAGAGAAATTCGTGCTGGCGGTTGGGGCTGCATTTGCATCCTGTCTGATAGAAGTGTCTTCTTGCTGCTGCTGCTGTTGTTGCTGCTGCTGTGCTGCTGCTGCTGCTGTTGTTCGTGGTGTCCAGGTTGGCCGGACAGAGGCAATAAAGAACGAGTCCAACCCGGCGTTTGTCACCGCCATACCTATCGACTACTGCTTTGAGGAGCTGCAGCACCTACGCTTCACCGTTTGGGACATCGATGACAGTAGCAAGCCGCTAGCTGATGGCGGAGCGCAGGCTATTGGAGCTGCAGAGGTCAACCTCGGACAGGTTAGTACTACGGGAATGTGCTGGAGATAAGGACTAGTCTCTTGTGATGGTGGTAGTGCTGTTACCCGTAGTGTGGCAATAGTGAGTTTCTGCTACACGGACTACGTACCAAACTCCGTGTCAACTGCAGTGATTAACAGTTACTAGTACTGTGAAGTGTGACACGGATTTTTCGTACGTTGCGCCGGTTCTGCTGTGCGTAGCATGCTCGCACTCACCACCACATGTACTCTGTGCGATCAGTTTTCACACCGAGACCAGTCCGTGTGAAGCGCGCTTGGCACGGAAAACGGCATGAAAAAATCCGTGTGAAACTTGATCCCGTACCGCTGCAACGTTTTCCATACGTACTTTGGTACGTTTTACCGTGTGGCAGAAACTCACTAATTACCGTTGCCTGTGCTACATCAACTGAATAAGTCTCGTAGGCCGTCTTCTGTCAGTGCTAGTCCGGTTAGGGGTGGGAGTATAGCTTTTCATTCGCTTTACAACTCTCAGCATGACTTAAAATGTCATGCTGAGAGTTGTATTTTTTGTATTCATTACGTGAAGGTAGGGGAGGGAGGGGGAGGGTGGGGGCTATGATGAGGAATTACAAAAAAATATGCTTTTTAACGGCCGGCAATTTCCCGCTATGCGGTATCAAGATAACATAACTCCTCACATTGCACAACTCATCATACACTTTTGTTGGGCAGCTAGTAGTAGCATGCTTAAGCATTCTCTTCACTGCTTTTTTTTCTTGCTCTGTGTACAGATTGTTGCGAGCAAGTCGTTCAAGCAGGAGTTGAAGCATAAGGAGAAGAAGGCCGGATCGATTACTGTGAGTTAGGCTGGCCGTGACTACTCTCCTGTCACATACTGGTGTATGTCGTGGGTAGTTGTTTCAGTCGTTAACAAAATCACCAAATATTTGCCCGTTCTGTTTTGTTTGCTGACTGTGAAAATTGCAGATGGTTGCAGAAGAAGTGAGTCAGACATGTGAAGAGGTCCACATGACCTTCGCGGCATCTCATCTCGATAAGAAGGTTAGGGCACGTGTGTGTGTATGTGTGTGTGTGTGTGTGTTCGTGTGTGCGTCTGTGGTATGTGTGTATGCATATGTGTGTGTTACTCTTTTTCACACGCGCAATAGCATTCGCTCTACATCGACATTGTGTTGTACTGCAGTACAAGCAACATACAATTACATGATGTATATGCATCCGGTAGAGTCATGTGCCGAAGAACGTGGAGCCCAAGAACGTCTAGCCTGCAATGCTAAAAACGCCACAGCCTGAAGTTAAGAACGACGCTGTTGGTTTTCTGGCAGCCTTTGTGATACATGTGTATGTAATAGTGCATACGTATGATCCAGTACGAATGGTTTGTAAGAAAGTGCTATAAGAACGCAGACATATTGCTGAAAAATAAGAACGTCCGAGGGCTAACCCCTTGTAAAAATAAAACGTTTCTAGGACGCACGACTCGACTGTAGGAGATAAGAAGCTGCTTCTACCAATAATACCCAAGATCGAGTCACAAACACCCCTGCCACCACCCCTATTAGCATTCCTGTTAGCTTGTCCAACTCCTACATGTATAATGTAGTCTAGCGGCTCTTTGTTATGTGGAGCTCTAGCCTTTGCTATTGATCATATTTGTTAACAGTTCCTGCTGATGGGTTCCACTTTCACAGTTCCTCGATAGATGTTAGCATGAATTCTAACAGAGGAAATAAGTTTAAAAGATAGATCATAGAAGTCCATTCAACCAAGCATACTGATTGTTTTACTTCTTTCCGTTCCCCGTGTTTGCTGGCAGGACTTCTTTGGCAAGTCCGATCCTTACTTGGTGTTTTCGCGGCAAAACCCCGACGGCACTTTCACAGCAGTGCACAAGACAGAGGTGGTCAAGAACACGCTGGATCCTGACTGGCAGCCGCTCACCGTCCAGTCAAGAAGTCTGTGTAATGGCGATGACAATCGAGTTATTGAGGTACGCTCTTGTGTGTGCTCCGGCTGCCCGACTCGGGTGTGAGTGACATGCTGTGCTAATGGATCACTGGTCTAAAGTGACTTGTTTCCGTTTTCGTTGGCAAATGGTTGATCGGAGCTTCGAGAATGCTTTATGTTCAACCACTCTTTTATAATTGCTCTGAGGTCTCTCTCTCTTTCTCCCTGCCACATCATAATTTTGCACATTTTACTGTAATTTCTTTGACTTACGCGAATGCTACTTGCGAAAAGAAATACAAACCTGGTCATTACGTAAATGCTACTTCGAACTACTTCCAGTAAATTAAAGGAAACAGGAATTCGTCGGACTGGATGTTGTTGGTGTTGGGGTGGTAGAGTTGATATTCTGTCTGTTACTCTGTTGTTTGTTCTGCTTTCTGCGTATGTTGTGACTGTTGTTGTGTTTGTACTGGTACAATAATGTATGTTGCGTACGCTGTTGTCGCTTCTTTGCATTGTAGATTTCTTGTTTTGACTGGGACAACGACAGTGCAGATGACCTGATCGGCAGCTGTACAACAACGCTGGGTGCGCTGCGCACGGCGTCTTTACCATTGCACGTAAGTTATGAGTTTTAAACATTGTCTCCATAGCTGTTGCACTGTGGTAGAATGCCATCACAAGACACTGCTCAGCATACTGGGCATGGTAGCTGTTGCTTTGAATGTCATCAAATTACACTGCTTCATCAGTCTTTGCTTGAATGTACTCCTGCTGGGCAAGTTGCGTTTCCTTTTGAAAGTCGTTGCATTGAAATTCGCCTGCTTGCAACTCACTAGCCAAAGCTCTCCATTGAGAATCATGTAGTGGGGGTGGGGATGGGGTACTGGAACTTCATGCTGCACTGATATTCTATTTGTGCACCAGAAGATTTGCTGGTGTAGACGTGTTTCTGAACTGTATGCATGTGCTTGAGTGCTTTGTGTTCCGTATGGTGATATTCACAGCTCGACCTGAAGAACTCGAAAAAGGCAGCCAAGAAGAAGAACTACACCAACTCGGGCGTTCTTCATCTCCGTCACTTTGAGGTAGGCGGTTGTGTGTGCATGCGTGCTTGTGTGCGTTTGTACATGTGCGTTGGTCGTTCTCTCTCTCTCTCTCTCTCTCTCTCTCTCTCTCTCTCTCTCTCTCTCTCTCTCTCTTTCTCTTCACCTTCGGCAAGTTGTAGCACCTAGTTGTGCTCCCAGTTGTTGTTCTTGGGAGTCATTATTCTGTATCCATCATATTTTCCCACTTTGCGCATGTAGCTACGAATGACATTGGCTTATGACTGTATGTGTGTATGTGTATGTTTGTGTGCTTGTGGTTCAGGCTCTCCGCCTCTACTCGTTCTTGGACTACGTGTCAGCCGGTTGCGAAATCAATTTTGTTGTGAGTTATAATTCTGAAAGAGCATAACCTTTACCACACACCGGGTCTAGTGGAAATATCTCTCAAACACTGCGTTTACTCCAAAGATACATGAATGCTAACCTCTGCCATGCCAGAGCCATAGCACTGGGATGTCAGGTGGTCTGGCCAAATGGGATACAGTACTGGACCTGAAATGAACATTAGTGACCAAAACCCCCGTTTAGCACGAATTGGGTTGGTGGATGTTTTCGAAAATGCCCATGCCTAATGCTGTAATATCCAGTCCATGGTCCGGCCATGGGCTGGACCGGGTGTTTAATACGGCCCTGTATGTAGATCTGATCAGAGTTTTACTTTTGTTTCCCCCATTCTGCTCCAGTTTTCTGTGTTCTATAGCATAGCCCCTGTCCCACTTGTCCGGGAATGTTTTACTTCTGCTGATAGGAGTATGGGGTGTTTGTGATTCTTCTACCCTGCAGCTTTGCTTGGGCCTTCTTGTCGAGTTGTCTGCTAATGCCTGCGCATGCATGCGTGTGTGTTCTCTCTCGTGTTCTGATGTTCTCGTAGGTTGGTATTGACTTTACCGGTTCCAATGGCAACCCGTCGCAGCCAACGTCACTACATTACATCGCACCTAACCAGATGAACCAGTATATGCAGGCCTTGTGGGCCGTTGGCTCTATCTGCGAACAGTATGACGCGTAAGTTCACGGCCTGTTCTTACTTTCGTTGTCGTTAGTTTGTTGAGTTTGTCCTGCTGTCAGCATTGTTGAATGTTGGATATCCGTCTTCTCCGTGTTCTTATTGGAAATACTCATTTGTGTACTTTGTTTCCATGCAGTGATAAGCTATTCCCAGCATTTGGCTTTGGTGCTAAGATCCCTCCTAATCAGCAATTCTCAGATATCTTCCCGTTGACGTTCAACTATGAGAACCCCTATGTACAAGGTATGGGTGGCGCTGTTTGTGAGCTGTCGTATTCGAAGTTTGTCAGGTCTCTAGTTGTTGCTGATAGTACTGATTCTGGTTATCATCTCACTTTTTCTCTCTCTCTGTCTCTGTCTCTCTGTCTAACTCTCTCTCTCTCTCTCTCTCTCTCTCTCTCTCTCTCTCTCTCTCTCTCTCTCTCTCTCTCTCTCTCTCTCTCATGCGTGCATGCATGTGTGTGATTCATGCTACCAGCATGCCTAAACGACAACAGGTAAACTCTTCTCAAATTCAGAAGTTGAGAGCCTCTGTGTTGATGTCGTCCCCTGCAGGCATTCAGGGTGTACATCAGGCATATCAGCAATGCCTGCCACAGGTAGCACTGTGGGGCCCGACGAACGCTGCGCCAATCGTCACACGGGTAGCGGAGATGGCACGCGAGGCACAGAAGACATCACCAATCAAGGTACTGGCGTTGGCTAGGTACACCCTAGGACCCTGCGTATCTTTTCCCAGTCACTTGACCTTGGATTTACAGTGTGTCGGCTATATACTGTAGAAGCCATACATGTATATAGAACAAAGTGCCAATTCTAACGTATTAGCGAGGAGAAATCTGCCGTTAGCCCTTTGCTGCCCATTAAAGTGTATACGTTTTCGGCATACCCAGACCAGCAGGAAGAAAATTACTCATAGCTCCAACACGAAGCATATTGTCAAATGTAAACCTATATATTTCTGGAAGCAGTATATTCCTAGGAATCTAGCGAACTCGATTTGATCGACATGTCGCTTTTTCAATGCTCTGTCGAACCGATAGACGTGTGTCGGTTCAAGTATGCGTGGGCAGCAAAGGGTTAAAACAGAAATCGTTATACAGAAATCGATTCATATACTGTTGCTATTGAGCATTGAGAATGAGTGAGAATCGTTACCTTTGTTACACGTAAACTGGTCAATTTTAGGAATCGTATAGATGCGCCTCATTAGAATAATGGCTTTTGCAGTAGTACAGATTTTTATGTTCTCTGGAGGTACGTTACACAGCAGTGTCACGGTACTGTTGTGCTGTGCATGATATTCTGCTGTGCTAGTTCATGCACTCACTCATGTCACGGAATGTCTACATCTAGATTAGTAGTGCAGTGAATTTTCATTGTAGCGTACCTCCAGGTGATAAGAATCAGTACTTTATGGCCAAGATACTGTGTATCCAAGGTCAAATTGCTGGAAACGGATACCCGGGGTCCTCAAAAAAGTACTTTATATCCAATGCAAAGAAAAAGTTTGTTATATCCACGGTAGTTTATTCTGCACTGTTTCATTGCACGTGCTTCACCGTTAGAAACCTGCCTTTGTGCTTCACACATACGTGTGTGTGTGTGTCTTGTGTAGCGTTACTTTGTCCTACTGCTGCTGACTGACGGCGTGCTGACGGACATGGAGGCGACCAAGGAGGTCATTGTGGACTCGTCGGAGCTTCCGCTCAGTATCATCATCGTGGGCGTGGGCAATGCCGACTTCCACGACATGAACGTACTGGATGCGGACGATGGAAAGTAAGTGAGACCCGCGCAGTGCGTGTCACGCTTTGTGTTGTGTTGGCGTTTCCGGTGTCTTGCTCTGTTGCTGAACTGTGCCTACAGATTTCGGACAGCAACAGTCGATCTGCTTTCAGAACTGATTACTGTTTGGCCTTATGTGTACCACAAAGTTAAATAACCCTATTGTTGTTAGAACTCAAATCGTGATCCACGGAATTATTAAATCATCTAAATGTGAAAACATGGTGAACAGTGTGGCACAAGTTGTGCGCTAGAGTCCACCGACTAGACCAGATTTTTGAACAGTCAGACGTGCACAATCTAGCACGAAACCGACAAGGCTCAATGAGGATGTTACTTTTCTCATATCTCTCACGACCCCTACTTATCTATCTGACGTGGTTGGCTAACCTAACACCCACTCTCTTGACATTGGCCGGTGTTCCCACTGAGCCTTGGCTTGAGGTGTTGCAATAAATAAATAAATACCGTGCCCTTGCTCAGTGCTGTGTGTGTTGTGTGTGCGTGTCCATGCAGACTGCGCTCGCGCCTGGCGGTTGCCACTCGCGATATCGTCCAGTTCGTTCCCTTCAGAGACTTTGCAAAGGTGAGTACCAGCAGCCACTTGTTACTGTGCGTGAGCACCTCCGTGCATTCTTGCGTGCTCGCGTGTTCTCGGCGGTGAAAGTATCTTTTGATTTGCGACATTCTTGCTTTGCTGTGTTGCCAAATGCCCATACTTGTCCGTTTTGGCGGGGGGGGGGGAGGGGGGCAGTTGTTTTTGTCTGCTGGCGTCATCGTTTGCCATCTTTTGGCCAGAAATAGCGTATGGTGCCGGGTATTGCGGGACTAATTACTTCGAAGTACTTCCGTCAACTTGGAAACGCATCTGCGATGTTAACTGTACATGTGAAATCTAACAATAAACACCCTAGAGAACTGTGTCGCATTGCCACGAATAATGCTGGCTGTACGTTTCTTTCCCTGCTCTTGCATGCAGAGCTCACCAGCTCACTTGGCCAAGGCAGTTCTGGCCGAGGTCCCTCAGCAACTGGTCGAGTACATGCGCAAGAAGAAGCAGAAGCCGGTCGGTATGTGAGAATGCCGTCGCGTGCGCTCACGGAGTCGTGGTGACCGGTGTGTGTGTTTGTGTGTGCCGTGTGTTCATGGCACATCGCTACGCACGCACGTACGCACACTTGCATCGCAATCGCTGGCAGCGCGCACTCGCGGCACGAGGCAGGGTGATGATTCCCTTCTCTCGTGTCGGGGCACAGACATTGCTGCAGGGGCTGTCGATGTCTCTGGCACTGAATTAGGAGTGATAGGTTTGTATTTTGTAGAATTAAGCGCATGGCTCCATGTCAGCTCTGCCAGCCAATACAGGCTGACTGTTGCCAGCAATTTATGTAGTTAATAGGGTGTGTATTTTGATACTGCGAAACTGTACTTTCTTGTCGAATTTATAGCGGTTGACAGAACTTTTCCGTTCCTCTTGTTTTTGTCATGGCGCACGTGCTGATCATCATTTTGGTTCGGAATCTTTTCAATTCGGTACCGAACACCTGGCACACGCTTTACTTGTCACCCACCATCCCTCCCTCTCCTACTCACATCCTATCGAACACTCTTGACCTTATATCACATGGTGCGGGATGTTGATGCATTCGCGTAGCATCCAACTGGGTGAGCGTGGCAGGTACAGACGCGGGATCTCCCGGATTTCCGACTTCTAATTTCTTGATTCTCTCTCTCTCTCTTTCTCTCTCTCTCTCTCTCCCTCTCTCTCTCTCTCTCTCTCTCTCTCTCTCTCTCTCTCTCTCTCTCTCTCTCTCTCTCTCTCTCTCTCTCTCTCTCTCTCTCTCCCTCTCTCCCGTAGGCACTCGTTCGCTTTAGCTTTTCTTGTCCTCCTGTACATTCATTGTTGTACATTCGTTGTGGTGTTTGTATTATCGCTCCTTATCCTTCGCCATTGTAATTTATTGTAATTTTCTAGTGCATACATAACATACGTGCATGGCCGTGTTGCTTTCTTGATCTAGTCATGACTCTCTCTCTCTCTCTCTCGGCCCTTCTTCTCTCCTTTTAGGCAAATTCTTCTCTCTTTTTCGGTGTTGAGATTTTCACAACTCTGACCATTACCAAACACGCACATACGAGTACAGTGCTGGCGTGGTGCATTGAACACTAAACGCATTCTACGGGCTGGTTTAATAGATGCAGAGTTTCTCATCTCAGCAGGAAATCGTGATGCGTTCGCGAGATGGTTTTCGTTGCACAACAAGGAGTCGACTTTCAGCTGGTATGCGACCACACATTTCATCCCAGGATGGGTCGTGCCGTACACGTGCATGGTCACAGAAAGTTAGTTATTTGCATGGGAGTCTTGACTCAGTCTTCTTTATGTCTAGAGCTTGACACGACCAAAATAGTGGAGTTTGCATGCATGCACAGTCGACTCCACTTATAACGAAGTCACATATAGCGAATTTCGGTGGTGAGAAATGCACTCGAATTTCCCGTCGACGCCTTCCTGATACGGAGATTTGGCACTGCACCTGCGGAATATACTACATGTACTATGATTTTGCAAAACGAATAGAACTTTTACCGTGCGAATTAATGGTGTATTGAAGTACCGTAAAAGTCCGTAAATAAGTACCTGCCCGAAATAAATACCCCCTTCATTCTTTTGACTCGGTCCGTTGAAGTCAAGTCAAGCCCGATAAACATACTGCCCGAAATAAGGACCAGTATTGTGCGCACACGCAGCGTGTAGCATGTACATCAAAATGACTTCTCCACTACACACAAGTCAGGTCCGAAAAGTTAGTTCGTGCCCGAAAGTTAGTACACTAAATTCGAAAGTAAGTACGTACTTATTTACGGACGTTTACGGTATAGGTGAGGAGCAGGACGTTGGGTCTATTCCCTGGTGCAGAGCTGAACAGTCAGTCTGGTTGGTGTGCTCTTGATCTCATCAAGTCTGGCCACGGTCATCACCGTGCACTAAAGGCAAAGCGACTTGACCGCCAAGGTTGCTGCAACGTCACCCAGTCAGAGTCTGACCAAGATACTTCGAAGTAGCAAACTGTGATCACTGGGCTCGGACAATAAAAATGTCACTCGTACTTCCTAAATTCCAGATTCTCTCTCGTCCGAACTAAATCATAATAATTATACTGGTAAAAAACTAACATCTGATGGGAGGAAGATTCATTAGTGACGAGTACAGCATGGTGTCCTTTGTCATTACGATCAACACCAATACCAATACTCATGAAGCCAGGGGGGGGGGGGGGGTAGAAACAAGACCGGAATGATGCTAGAAAGTTGAAAACATTTTCATAGGGAGCCAGCAGGCGCTTTACCGATGTAGGAAAGAAATACTCCGCCAGTCTGGTATTTTTAATGTCAATTCATGCGTCTTTGTAATGTGGCGGACCGTACTGCGCTGTTGCTCATACACGGGACAACAGCCAAGAGTGAGCGAGCAGCATGGTGTGGCCGGAGATAAGGATTGCCGAGCTAGTCTTGTGGGAGGGAACGGCCTAATGCACCTTCTTGCGTCTCAGCGACTGCTTCTGCTTCTGCTTCGTGCTGGCAGAATCTGCAACAAAAATGCAACACAACAAATCATCAAGTCTCTGTGTAAGGGAAGGAATGGAGTTGTGCTTGGTGTTTGAACACACACACACACACACACACACACACACACACACACACACACACACACACACACACACACACACACACACACACTACTACTACTACTACTACTACTACTACTACTACTACTACTACTACTACTACTACTATAGCATGACTGCCCATTGGGCAATGTCACCCCCGGAGGGGGCCAGAGTTTGGAGGGCACACACACACACACACAGCGTCAGCAGGCAGGGGTGGAGAAACTCCTGTTGCACAAAGCATTTACGTACATGTAGCAGTGCCAAGACAGTTCAAGAGCGCTGCAAAAGCAAGCCAGAATGACTGAACATGCGCACTCGCATACCCCCACTGCGTGACCCACAGCACTACAGAGGTATGCCAAACTGAGCCAAATGTATAGTAAGGTCAAGCATGGCTCACGGTGCCCATACATTACACTACAGACAAAGTGCACACGTATATCATACAGTGCTGCTCAATGAAATCCAGTCACAGAGTCACTCGAGTACACGCCGGGCGTAGCACGGCCATAGACCTGCGAACACTGGGCTGCGAAATGGTGGAAGGCGCACACTTGAGTGACTCGACTGGATTTCATTGAGCAGCAGCATTATATTGTATGCTAGCGGTATGTCGTAGCGAGTAAGCGTTCACTGACCTGGACTACTAGTACTACCCCAGACCAGTGCGTTGAGCTTGCGGCCGGCGTAGAAGATGGCAAACACCAGCGAGAACATGGCGACGAAGAAGACGCCGCGGACCACCGGTGACATGACGGTCATGAACGGATAGACCCAGAACCCGCCGTAGTGTGCGATGTAGAATACTCTGCATGCCGGCAGCGGCAGAGCAGCAACACACACACACACACACACACACACACACACACACATGCACACACACACATACATGCACACACGCATACACACACATGCACACGCACGCACACACATACACACACACACGCATGCATGTGTACAACAGCACACCACATAGTAGCATGTACACGCAAAGACAAAGAATTGAATTCAATTGCCATGGTGACCACCTGAAGCAAGTGCCCCGACGCTGTCTCCTGTTTTGCGATCAATCGACCATCAATAGGATGGCACCTCTAACACACGCTATGTCTCATAACACGGAGGTTCAGCAAGACGAATTTCACGTTCGTGTTCGCACTCCGATGAAAGTCGAACTCAGTGACGAAATTCGCGTAACTTAGGATGCGGATTAGCAAACGGAATTCACACTTGCATGGCGTTGACAGGTGGTGCATGTGTGCAGGTAGTACAATGTATTGACTTTTTAAAGGACTGTGCTGAAACGAATCCGCGATTCGTGTTTCACCTGCTTTTCCGAACGAAAAATACGAAAGTTCGAAATCCAGCTCGCGAACCGAAAGATTTTCGCGAACTAAACGCGAAATCCGTGATGCTAAACCGCCGTACTGAAAATGCTCACAGCATGCAATGCTCATACACGGAACCTGGAATCTACTTGAAGTCTGCCGCAAAGCACTTAACCAAATCCGGTGTACACGATGCTGCATTCATTTCATCTAGTTGGCAACATTAATTTTGTAAAGTAGCCAATGAGAGCGAGCGGAGAGCAATACGTTCTCGACACGGGCCCACTCGAAAGCATAGCTACTACGCCAGCCAGCCGGCCGAGAACAGACTTACATTGATGTGTAGGTAGCGCCGAACGCAGCCGTCACCGCCATGCCAACCTTCACACTGGGGTACTTGTGTCTGACAAGCAGCATCTCTATCATCACCCACACGCCAATGAACAAATGCTACACAAACAAAGACAAGCCAACGGAAACACAAGCAGCATCTCTAATTTTCTCTATCATCATCCACACGTCGACGAACAAATGCTACACAAGCAAAGACAAGCCAACGGAAACACAAGCAGCATCTCTATCATCATCCACACGCCGATGAACAAATGCTACACAAGCAAAGACAAGCCAAAGGAAACACCTTATCCAATATAATAATGACATTGCTATAGAATTGAACACCTGTATGGAGGTTAAAAGTGAATGATGTCAATGTGTTGAGTCACCGGAACTGCTTGGAACTGCTTGGAACTGCTTGGAACTGTTTACTAGTAAATGCTGTAGTCACGTAAGTAACATGTGTGTGGTATGCCTATCCGCCAATGCGTACAGCACACACTCAGTCTGATTATGTGTGTGGTATGCCTATCCGCCAATGCGTACAGCACACACTCAGTCTGATCATGTGTGTGGTATGCCTATCCGCCAGTGCGTACAGCACACACTCAGTCTGATCATGTGTGTGGTATGCCTATCCGCCAATGCGTACAGCACACACTCAGTCTGATCATGTTTGTGGTATGCTTATCAACCAGTGCGTACAGTACACACTCAGTCTGATCTCAACTTACGTCCAAGTAGTTGACGTAGAACGGAAGGTGCTCATCGAGTTTGGTCGGGAAAATCAGCTCACGATCGTAGATGTATATAGGCCAGAAGATGCATACGATAAACTGCAAGAACATACACACACACATACATACAAACGCACACACACGCACACACACACACACACACGCGCATGCGCGCACACACACACACACGCATGCACACACACACACACACACACACACACACACACACACATACGCGCGGACACATATACAACAAAGTATATACCTGAAACACTCACCCACTGGTACAGCTATATCCAGCTAGCTGTATCATCACTCATCAGTTATACGAGTGGCACACACTTCGACTGCTGGCACAACGTACGAAGCGAGCGGCTGGACACCACACACTATCCAAACTCCATCAACGCATGAACACAGGAGTGGCACTGCGCCATGCCAGTCCACTGCTCTAATGCATGCGCTAACCCTTCCTGTTGCTAGCATCGGACACTATGGGAAAGGATGACCTCACTCGATCACATTGCCCAGCAAAGCTCCACGCCGGTTTTGCACAGAACGAAATATTCAAAGTGAGTGGAATGCGTGGGACGAGCATCCACACGCAAACCTGATCCGCGATGAGCTCAATCTTACCGCGGAAATGTGGTATTACCAATCGGAATTTGATGTTGCCAAGTCAGCTTGGCAAACCTGCATGACAACTTGTTCCATTCGAGTCTAATCTGCTGAACTTGTTCCCTTCAAACATTTTCGCCTCATGGCGCATAGTCAGATGACGTATGTGCGAGGTTACCGAGGCAGCAGGCATGTGGCCCGCATGGGGCACGGGGGTACGTGCCCCCCCCCCCCCCCCCTAATCATTTCGACCTAGGTTCAGCATGCACATAATGACCATGATGACATGCACCAGCCATCCTACACATAAGTTATGGTGCGGATGAAGCGGCCGTGCACCCCCCCCCCCCCCCCAGAGGGAGACCAGTTACGCCCCTGGGCTGGGCCTATCAAGTATACACACCGCACTACCTTGGGCTACCGTTAGAAATCTTACCTCCGACAAAGGAAACGCTAGCGTGGCAAATACTACATCGACTATCTTCTGTAGGCCGCAGACCAGAGCCCGTGGGGCACGCAACAGTTGCGCAACGTCTCCTATGGTTGCCATGGCAAAGAAGCCTAATTGGATGTACTGCAACAACAATACGAAGATAGCAGACGGCTGGCAACTAGAAAAGACTGAGATAACACCAATAATTATAACATATACATAACCTTTTCGAATTCAATTGTAATAATATTATACGTCATACAGGGGCGTAGCACCCGCTACGACTGGTACGACCATGGCCGTACCACTTTTCGAAAAGTGTGGTCCGTCTGGAACGTGCAAAACCGTAATAAAAAAATCAGGATCCATCGATGCATACATAATAGGGGTGAAACGAGTATCTATTTTGACCAACCGATCACTCATTCATAATATTCGATCGAGTATCCGATTATTTCGAGTATTTTATCGAAATTCAAAAGCGCTAGATTTGTGAGTTCTCGACTAATTCGGAAGAAATTATCTGTGAACATAGAACAAAAGTCGCCAACGTCTTGTACAGAGTGTAAAGTAACGATTTTCACCAGTACTTTCATTATCTCAAAACAAAATGACTTTACTTGCCGTGGTGATCGCATCGTCCAAGTCATAAAATACTGACTCAAAGGCACGAATAATGCGTGCATACCAGTTGATGAGCAGTACAACAGGAGTTTTTGAAAAATAGAATGCCAGTACTAAAAAAAAAAAAAAAAAAAAAAAAAAAAAAAAAAAACGATCGAGTGCAAAATTTCGAATACTCGCTCGTTTGAGATTTTCGAACGAATACTCGAATATTCGAACTAATCGTTTCACCCCTAATACATAATGTATTCAATGCGCATCAGACTTTGACCATTTTCTAGACTCGTACTAGTAGATCTGTTATGCATCTGCAGTCGTACTGAGTACTGTACTCGACTCGACTGCACACTGCGCCTGAAGTGTGCCAGAAGTTCCCAGAACGCAGGATTTTGTGTCTTTTTTACAAAATTTTCCCGGGGGAGGTCCCCCGGACCCCCCTCCAACACGGCCTTCGGCCGCACCGACCTTTTAGGCTTTGGTCGTACCACTTCCAAAACCCCTCCTACGCCCCTGTCATAATTTCTCATAAAGCTAAAGATCGACTTACAACCGGTGTGTCTAGACAGGCTGCGAGACAGTCTCCAGCGCGGTATCAACGAAGTCCATCAGTGGATGACTACCTGGAGACTAAGACCTAATATCGCCAAGACTGAGATATTATTCCTGCCGAACTCAGAGCCAACCTATGCATTCACTCTTCCCGGATCCCTCACAGACCTCACAGTGGTAAAGCAACACAAACATCTTGGTTTGGTCATTGACTCAGACTTATCGTTTAGTAGACATGTCGACTATATCTGTAGCAAAGTCAGTAAAGCTGTTGGCTACCTCGTGTCTCGCTGCTCCCACCTACCGCTTGAATGCATTCGCCTTTTTTATCATTGCTATATTCTCCCAATTTTTCTCTATTGCTCAACCGCCTGGTCATCCCTACTAAGTAAATCGTTCATGAGTACCCTGGAAGTCCACAATAAGAGGATACTCAAAGTCCTTTTCCGCAAACCATCATACTTTCCTTCTGCCGAGCTGTATATGTTTAACACCCTCCCTATCTCTAGTCAAGCGGATCGAAAACTGTGTATTGTTGTTCATTCTATTCGTCTTGACAAAGCCCCGCCACACTTGCGTAAATATAACTGGTTTCTTCCCACTCGTCCTACGCGCAATCCCTGCACTTTACCTAAAGCCCGAACCTCAGCTTATACCAGATCTCCGTTTTTCGCTGCCTATTCTCTCTGGCTGGCCCTGCCTCTATCAGTAAAATCGTCTTGTACGCTAAAGGATTTCAAGGCCAACATGAAGCTCGTGTTCTAATAACTGCTAATTCTTCATCCAGATTTGTTTCTCTTTGCCTCCAGTAATGTGTAATATTTATTTATTTTTGCTTTGTTTTTGTTTACTGCCATGGCTGGCTACCGCCCCCTCCCTCCATATTGGCCTATATTCTCTGGCCACGGGAAGGTGAAATAAATAAATAAATAAATAAAAATGCGGTGCATTTTCCGTACACGTGGAACTAGTGTACAGTCCATTCAGAAAAAACGAACTTCTAGCTTTTGGCCATAAATGGGTCAAACGTTGAGTTTTTTTAGAATTTTTTTCTGCAATCCTCTATGGAATCCTCTTCCAATTATGTTTCTGAAGTTTTTTTCTCCAAAAAGCAAGCCATAACAAGAATAGGATTTCGGCCAGGTTTTGCCCCCAAAGCATTGAATTGGGAAAAACCATAAAAATCCAGGCCGTTTGACCCCGTCTGCAACAGTGCATTGTGCGATTCGAACCCCAGTTCAGGTACCCTTTTTGGACCCTTTTTCAAATTTCAACTGCACTGTGTACGATGAAATCACGAAAAATCGCCAAATACGGGAGCTCGCCAGAGCCAGAGCCCATCTTTTTATGAATGGACTGTAGTGAGCTGCAACTTTTCAAGCACTACATCATGTAGTATACAGTCCATTCATAAAAAGATGGGTCCTGGCTCTGGCGAGCTCCCGTATTTGGCGATTTTTCGTGATTTCATCGTACACAGTGCAGTGCTGCGAACTTTGAAATTTGAAAAAGGGTCCAAAAAGGGTGCCTGAACTGGGGTTCGAACCGCAGAATGCACTGTTGCAGGCGGGGTCAAACGGCCTGGATTTTGATGGTTTTTCTCAATTCAGTGCTTTTGGGGCAAAACCTGGCCGAAATCCTATTCTTGCTATGGCTTGCTTTTTGGACAAAAAAACTTCAGAAACATAATTGGAAGAGGATTCCATTATGGGATTGCAGAAAAAAATTCTAAAAAAACTCAACGTTTGACCCATTTATGGCCAAAAGCTAGAAGTTCATTTATTTCTGAATGGACTGTAGAGAATTAGTTTAGTGTCAAGTAAAGATTTCAGCCACTCACCATATTGATTTGTGTGAGATACTTGTACCGCTCTCCCATCCTATCGTATCCAGGAAATATCTTATTCTGCGCGGCCAAAGCACTGAGTCGCTGGTATTCCTCGACGCGCATAAACACGTACACGCCGGTCACGAACGAATGGAACAGGAGCACAAGCCATATTGGAGACTTGACGGATCGCTCTGCAGCCATGGCCCCAATCCGATCTAATAACTTCTAAGCTAGAGCTCAACCAGCAAACTGCAATAAAGAGACAACCTTTCGCTAAAACTGCTGAACGATAGCTGCTAAAATACTATTCTTTTCGTGACGGCCAAAGACACCCCACCCCAGCTTGCTCCGCGCGGATCTCGATACTCGAATGGGTCGGCTGCTTGCAGTTGCAGGTACGTAGATCTACTAGTAGTAGTTAGAAGTATTTTGTGCTCCAGTGCTGAGAGGGATCGAAGAAAAATAATCAGGCAGTGCAGCTCTTCAAGTTTTCATTCAAGAAAATAATGTACAGTAGACTGCACTTGCAGCAACTCTGTCCTTTGGCTTTGACACCAAAATAGAGATCCGAGCTACGTGTGAGCGTGGATGCTTTTCCCGGATCGGACGTAACATTTGCCGCCCCCCTACTATTAGTTCATTCTGTATACAATGTAGACAGGCATGGCATGGACAAAAGATTGGCAATCTTTCCCCCAAATGCAAGAGGCCCGGAGGGAGGCAAGACCACTTGTACATGTACATACGATGATACATTCGGAAGGTTGGCACGTGCGAAGTCAGCATACATCTACGTAGTGCATGCAGTTGGTGCAAGTACTACTAGTACTATCTAACATGTTTTTCGATTTTGACAGCATGTTACAAGGCGAGGACGCGTAGTGCTCCTGACTACAACCATAAACCGGTTGGCAGAGTCCCGGTCTTGCGACCATTTGAACCGTATTGGGAAAACCCAGGTTCGGACCCTCGTTACTCTACGGGTTGGTAGGATTTTTATAATTTTCGTTTTTTTGTGTTGTAGAAGTCGTCGTGTTGCCGCCGTAGTATTGTTCACGTTGCTGCCGCTGCAGGGATCACGTCTGGAAGGATGTGTGTAATTTCGCCTCCCACCATCCTAATGCCACGAAATGTGCTACATTATCGTGCCTGGCACAGAGGATCGAATCGCATTGCAGCACTAACCTGCTGAAAGACAAAGAGAGAGAAACTCTCCGCACTGAATTCCTTTCCAACGGCTACCCACTGGAGACCATCGAAGGGGTAATCCAACAGGTTCATCGCCGACACCGTCAACAGCAAGACCGACAACAACAACAACAACAACCGCAACAGCAACCTCAACAACAACAACAACAACAACACCAACAACAGCAGCAGCAGCAGCAGCAGCAGCAACAACAACAACAACAACAACAACAACAACAACAACAACAACAACAACAACAACAACAACAACAACAACAACAACAACAACAACAACATCAACCGAGACCGGCTTCCAGTTACACATACCGACCGCTCTCACTACCCTATGTCCGTGGGCTATCGGAGAAAATCAAAAGAAAAACGAAGAACGCACCATTCCGTATGGTTCACCGGCGATCGACCACCCTGAAGAACCTGCTCACAAAGAAAAAACCCCCGCCTCCATCCATCAAGGACCAATACGGTGTAGTGTATGCCCTGAACTGCGCCACCTGTGGAGCTGAGTACGTGGGAGAAACAGGAAGACGGTTAAAAAAACGAATGGAGGAGCACCAAAGAGACGTCCACAACAGGAAAGCAGACAATGGTGTGGCCAAACACGTCCTGGATACTGGACATGCAATTGATTGGGCAAATCCCGTCATCCTTCGCCGAATACCCCAACTTGCATTACGGAAGTACACAGAGGCATTCCTGATCAAAAGAAGACAGCCAAGTATGAACCTTGATGCTGGAGTAACGTACACATACGAATGGCTGTGACATTTTTAAGGAGAACACTCTTTGCCTGGCAGGCCCCTGACCAACACACACTCGCAACGATACACTCACCAACCGCACAAAAACCATATTCCCCATATGTCACGAAAATATAATTATAATTCACACATAATTCACATATAAATACATAAAACTACATATAACCTACATAATATAGTTACATATTTATAATATTCCCTATTTCTAGTACACGTTACACACACTTACATATAATTACATGATTAGGTAACATTGCCGTTGGTCCAGGTCATCCGTCATAATAATAACATAAATCAATGGCAATTACCCGTCCATAATTTTTCCACATAATTACATACAAATTTCTTACATTACGAGTATATAGCACTCAATCAAACCAACCCCCCCTGCCTTTTCTTCCTGTGTATTTTCCAACTGATCCAATTCCTTCCTCCTCCTTACGCAATCATACCACCTAATCCCAACTATTCAATTGCGTCACTATGTCGACTGGAAATTTCAACCTCCCAAAAAAATTAAAATTTTAATAAGATACCTCTTCCATAGACTGAAAATCAAAGTCTGAATAGAATCCGCAACAATTTCCACTTGCAGTTTCCTTCTCGCAGGGCTTCCCACGGCCACAGACAATAGGGGTAAATCTACCACTAGGACAGCTCACCACCCACATTTCCCCCTCCATAAGGACACTACTGATCAAATAATTGAACCAACAACCGAAGATTCCTCCATGTATAAGTATCAGTATCAGCACTATAGACGACTGCAACCACTCACAAGCAACAGTTAGTTACCAGCTCTGATCCATCTACAACCTTCTCTTCGACTCTTGTTTCCGAACAACACAGCGCTCAGCAGGCAGTACCACGCGAACAGATTACAGCATCCATTCACCTAGAGACTAGACAGTTACAATAGGGGCGCCAATATTTACTGCACTCTGCAGCTCTCGCTATACACAACAGGCACACTCGACCGCCGGCCGGATCGAGCCGTTTTCCTCGGACCGGAGATCATTTTCGATCTCCACCAAAATAAAATAATTAATCCACCACACACGGTTCACGTGGTAGATTCGTACTCGGACCTGACCACCGCAAACCCAGATCAACGGAGACCGCACAACACATCCAGAACAAGCGGTATGGACAACGCCCGGGTCAAATATTGACCCCAACGGCGGAGATGCAACGCACAATCGCGAAAGAAGCAAGTCCGCAAGTACGACTCACCATTGTCGGAACGACGAGGACGACAAACGCCCGGCGCCCCGGAGCACCACGCGCGCCAGCATCACCGCACGCAGATCTACGCGCGATCCCCGCGCACGACCTACGACACCACGCAAGATCGACGTCTCCAGAACACAACTCGCGAAGACAACAAGAAGCCATCACGTCGTGTCCGACTACACTCCACATATCTTCCTCAGCCTACGTTCACCTTCGACGTCGACGACCATCTTACCAGCTCCTCGGACAACCTGGAGAGATCTCCCGGTAAGTCCAAAGTCAACACGTGTGTCTCTCTCAGAGACCCGCCAGTGAGACTTCTCTTCTCCTTCGATACACCAATAACCGCCGTCCTGTCTGTGTGTTTTATAGCTCCGTCCACCTGACAGAAGACTCAGCCCACGCCACGAAGAACGTGATACAACACTAACCCCTTCATCAATAATTAATTAGTAAACAATTTCTCGTTCAACAAAGGATTAATACCGGAGAGCCCAAACCCCCTGGGGGGACGCACAATTAATTAACTACGAGTGAACCCAAGACGGTCCAGCGCAACAGCCGAGGTAAGCAATGCTGACTTCCGACATTTGATCCCCAAAAACCGGTGTACCTCACCTGAACAACATACTGGAAGCTGCACTGAACTTATGTTTCCATGTTACCAATTGCAACATTCCACAAATCATTCATAATTGAAGGAAAAGTAACCCTGAAGCTGATTCAAGAAATATAACTCTGTTTTATTTGTGGAATTCATGAGGTCCGTGAACAAGACTATTAGTATTACCAAGACCAACAGCCACAACGAGAACAACACTAAGGAGAACAACAACAACAACAACAACAACAACAACAACAACAACAACAACAACAACAACAACAACAACAACAATCAACGACAATTACAACGACAACAACTATTACAACAACATCAACGTCCATCAACACCCAGACCACAACACCAACGTGCAGACGGGGTGTTCCGACGTGGTGAAGGCCTACCCATGGCCTCGTCGGGACATCACCAACCTCGTCGGCAGCGAGCACCTTCTCACAACAGTCGTCATGGTGATGACTATGACTGTTACAGCTGACGAGCTGAGAGAAGGACGCCATGGCCATATGGGCAGAAGTAAGAAAAAGAACAAAAGAACAAAAGAAAAAAGAAATAAATCACAAATAATTTAATTACAGAGGAAGACAAGAAAATAACATCACAAATCCTTCCAGACGTGATCCCTGCAGCGGCAGCAACGTGAACAATACTACGGCGGCAACACGACGACTTCTACAACACAAAAAAACGAAAATTATAAAAATCCTACCAACCCGTAGAGTAACGAGGGTCCGAACCTGGGTTTTCCCAATACGGTTCAAATGGTCGCAAGACCGGGACTCTGCCAACCGGTTTATGGTTGTAGTCAGGAGCACTACGCGTCCTCGCCTTGTAACATGCTGTCAAAATCGAAAAACATGTTAACTACCAAGCAAGGCTTCTGTATATACTAGTACTATCTACTACTACAACTACCAGACTACGTACAGTCATGTAGATCTACCGTAACAATACATGCATGACATTGTACAGCCCTCTCGTTGTACATGTACCCCCACCGGTCACCGTCTCTAGGCCATCGGAGCCTGGGGTCACTTGGCACGTACATTGTGTGGGTGATCCTTCGGAGGGGGGGGGGGGGGGGGGCATGTACATTGTGCGGGTGATCCTTATACTGGCATTTTAATTTCCGGCCCAAGGGGGGTCCCCCGTCGGTTTCCGAGGAAGCCGTAACTTTTTTCGCACCAAACTATTTTTCCAGAGTCCATCTACTCACAAGAAGTCGTTTTGCACACCTTTTTGCCCATCCCTGTACAACTGAGTCCAGCTATGTCCGCGCAGAGTTAGGTGGACCCTTAACCCGGGTTCTACTCTAGCTGAGAACCATAGCCGGCGCCTAGCCTAGGCTAGGGAGTCGTAAAAGCTTTTATGACTATCTGCCTCTGATGAGAACAATACAATGAAAAGGCCCTCCCTCTGAATAATCCCCCCCCCCTTCCTCCCCCCCCCCCCCCCTGGTGATCAAACATATTGTGCAAGTATAAAAAGAGCTTTTTAAACAAGATGCACGTTATTTCTGACGCGAAAGTTCGTATTGTGCATGTCAGCGCTGCAGCGGATTATGTATGACAGCCTCTTGTTGTGTAATATGGGCAAAATAAACACAATGAATAGATGCACGTTATCTCTGAGCTGACGCGACGTGGAAGTTCAGCTCGCGTCATTTGGCTCGCGCGTCGAAAAACAACGCGAGTGACCTGCGGCTCACGTCGAAATTTGGAGTTTTACGCCAAATTTGACGTGAAATTGCGCGTCACGTCGGAAATAACGTGCATCTTAACCTCTCTAATGCATGGAAATGCAACATTGGCACAAAAAATTAAGAGTGTATCGCTTACATGTATGTTCTTGTTCGTGACTGGTGGTATCTGGATCAAAAGTTCTTGTTCCCGTTTCTGCCGAGCCGTGATCATTTCCAGTAAATTACTGTAAATTACTGTCGTTACTTTACAACTTTACTCTGTTATTCTTTGCCTTCTTTGTTTTGGGTGGCGCGAATGTACAAGACTGGACAGTAAAAATAGTAGTGGCACTAATTGTGCGTTTCACGAGCGTGATGCATTTATTCGCTGTAACACTGACACCAGTGCAGTGGCAATGGGCCTGAGGGCCCAGTAGATTTGTGGGGGCCGGGGGTGTCTAGGCTTAGCTACTGCAGCATGCAACTTTGCAAGCGAGAGTGCAGTGGACTGT